ACACGGAAACGCTTTACATTCAATACATTTTATCACGATGGTCCTCGCTCGACAAAGCAACTCCTATTCTGGAAAAACATTTGCCCTGTGAACATTATGCACGAAGATTCTTTCAACTGATCGTTGTAACTGTCACGTTTAGATAAGATCCTGCACACATTTTCTGCAAACCTGCAAAATTTTTTATTCCTCAAGTATTGTTCTCTACGAACGTTGTAAATCTTCTTCAGTTTGAAGTTGAGAGGAAGTTTTATGTCCCTCCGTTTACGTCCCTGGTAGAACCATAAAAAGGCAAGGTGATGTTTCACAATTCAAGCAAGGAGAAATCCATTTCGTGTTTGATACACTTTTGAAGAAACTGCGTCACAACTTGTGCAGTATAAAAATTTCTCCTGTTTTCCTCAAGTTCATCATTTTGAATCCGTGTTGACCTTCTCTATTCCTAACCATCTTCGTTCTTTTTTATTTTTTTCCTCCACTTCAGAGTTTTTCCTCTTTGGCAAACTACAGCTATTATATAGAATTCTTTTTCCAGCTGACGAAAATTTTCAAGGACCCATGGAAGTTACTCAAATATCGTTCAACAGCTCTGCGTGCTAAGATATCCACTAACTTTTAATTTAATAATCAAAGTTTTGTAATAATTCCTTCCGACGTGCCTATCCTACATTAAATCGATTCCGGTTCATTACTTTCTTCTGTTCGTTCGTTAACTGCCAAGAAGTATGAAGATCCAGTGAATGAATGTTATCATCGATAACCACCAGATCAAACTGCGACACTGCGAAAGTTTAGTTAAATTTTTTCTTCACAACCCTTCATGGTTGATAAAAAATAAAACTGTGGATCGCTTCAGGGACGGCGACACAATGCAGTATACAGGATATTTAAGTTCAAGGTTCAAGCAACCGTTGAAGTACTAAACAAATTTAGAGTTAACTTTTCTAATCGTCTTATGTCCAATTCTGTTATCATCAGATAACTGATTTAATTCTTGTTTTGATCTTGTTGAATTGCTTCAAGGAAATTTTATCCCCTTCATGTTTTAAGAGTGACTAAAAATCTTAGAACGTAAGTGGGATATATTCTGAAGACTGCCAGCTACAATTTGGTTTCAAGATCTTTTATATTAAAAATACAGCATAAAGACAGCAACTTTCGCGTTATAAAGAGGAGGAAGGGTCTACAGGTTTCTGACCTAGGGTGTGGCTCAAGGAAGAATTTTAATCCAAACCCTCCAAACAGAACTTTAGACTCTGAATCGAATCAGACTCTATTACAGTGGTTCACTTCACCCAGCCAAAATCATAAAGGGGTCTAAAATTCTGATTGGGAAAATTTGCGAAATTCTGCTGGGTAACCAGCGATAAACTGGATTTCGTCCTCTGGTCCGTTTCTGAAAGATCCTAAGAACTTAACTGGCCCGTGAAGTTGTTTTGTTTTCATTCACGATAGGGGTTTCAAATATTTGAAAATTATACAATAAAACTATTAGCTAAAGCAACGAAATGGACTGTTTAGGATGTCAGAACCTGCTTTTCTATTCTTTGAATACGGCTACGTCCAGTTACCCGGCGGGACTTTCGAGAAGCGGGCGCCAGTACAGTAAGCTATGCTCTTAGCCACTTCATGCCATGAAACTGTTAAAAGGACTGCAGTTGGACAATTGGCTCTAACAATGAATTCCTATGCACACTGCAAATTGGATTTGTTCAGATTTACGGAAGCTCGAGTGGTTTTCCCTGAAGGATTTCTCATTACGAGGTTAGAATGATTAAAGAATTTCCTTTAACCATGCATGGTGATGACTGATAAAGTCTTTGCTAACTATCGGATATTCAATCACTGACGAAGTTCTAAGATGGACAGTTTCCCTGCAGTATAGCGATATTTCAGATTACCAGTGGAGCTGTAACCCATTTTAGTTTTGGACGTTGATTAACAGCGGTCATATGAAAAATAAACCAAAAGCTCTCCACATACTAATGAATGCTGTAGTCCACAGGAAGATGGAACCAGATTTTACCAATAGCACGTAATCTGGAAATGCCAACTTCTTTGATGATCATGAGAAACGTCAAGGTTTGTCTTAGTCGAGAAATATCTCTTAAATTTTCTGGTTTGTCATTTGCAGGTGAGTTAACTTTCTCTGTCCTGAACTATCATTGTAACCGCTCCGTTCAAGCTTGCCTCTTCGTTGTGTGTCCAACCTTTCCAACAGTATCAGTCAAAGGCTAAGATTCACTAACGACATGTTACGACGATCTGGAACCAACTCCAACGATTCTTATTTAGAAACTTGAAGGTTGTGTGGATTATATCAGCGATAATTAACCAAAACGGAACAACACCATACTTACACTATTGCTCGCGCTCACTGGAAATGAAGGCTTCTAAAATGTAGACGCCTTTTCCAATATGAAAAATAAAACACGCTACATGTACTTATATATTCAACGATTGATATGGTATAGGTGACAGGGTCAACAAAGAATGATGGTATAATCTCAATTCCCGACATTTTATTTCAACAAAATTATACTTGTACACGATCCATCAAGCAATGTTATGATGACTGTAGACAGAAGAGTATCCATTTAATTCTTTTAGACGTCCTCTTTATAATATTTATTATGTAAAAGACAGTTTAAGTAATCAGATAAGGACTTAAATGACACGTTATTATCAAAAAATATAATGAATAAATAAACAAACGTATTTTGTACGCGTAGCGTGCCTATGTTTCTTGGTTTCGTTTAGTCTAATTCCGTTATTCAGCAATTAAGAATGATTTCCAAGATCACAGATTGAGCTACATTTCTATACTGCTGTCAGTTTGAGTTTACAAGATAGAGCATTTATGCCGGAACTCATGAGCAAATCACATTTCAATGATAGCCACTTCATGGAACTTTTCCAAAATGCGTGCATGGTTTATTTTAATCTCACGCTACATTATTGCGTACAAACGCATGTAACTCTAAGCCTTAATTAAAAGGGTAATGACTTTTGAGGTATTCTATTCACATCTCTCCACGCGGGAGAGGGTGTTCTTTCCTTTTTGAGACGATGTGTCACCCGAAAGGGAACCAAGCTGGCGGTAGTTTACAAAGTAGGGATTTCAGGACTTTTTATTGGGTTTTAGAGACTGTCTATTTTAAGCCTTCCTCTTTGGGATTTTGAGAGGTTGACGAGATATTTGGAAAATTCAGGGGTGTTAATAAACATTTAAAGTAGGTTTGTAGGTTATCCGCGCCATGTTATTCAAAAATATTATCAGCTTTTTGCCAGAATTGTCGCAAAACTTACCAACTGATTAATCCATTGTTGATCAGAAATAAAGCATTGCATACATGCTGGTTTAATAGTATTACATACTGTTTATATTTCCCCAATACTCGTGTGAACAATCTTTGACACTATTTCCCCTCCTAGAAGTGAAAAGTTTTTGCCAACGAAAGGGAATTTTCAGACAAACGTGAGATATTTAAAAGGTTTTGCACGATATCTGGAATGAACTCGTGTTATCAGGAAAAGTTTTAAAGATATTTTTGCAATTTCATGAAATATTTGTGGAAAGGCACAGTCTATCCGATAGCAAATCCATTGACTATACGAGAAAGAGGTTAGTTTCAGTGTTCAGTGATAAACGAAGACGATTCATTCTCCACTTCAGTTTTACAGCAACATACAGTCGAGAACTTAGGTGAAGCATATCACTTTCTTTAAAGCGATGTCCTTCGAAAATAGTGTTGGTTTGGCTTCAAGACAAAGCTTCCCAGTAAGTGATAACAAGTCACCACCTTTCATTACCCTCCCACATCTCGCCAGGCCTTGCATTAGCGTGGATATCAGGAACAAATCCAATTTATTTTCTGTTAACGCATAGCGCCATCTTCATTAACAGAGGATTTTTTCCTGCTAAATTCAAGAAAGTTAGGCTGTATTCATCGCGTATTCACTGAAAGCATTCTTCATTTTTCCTCATCTAAAACATTGCTTACATAGCGCCAACACTGTGGGTTTCGTCTCGACTTTCCCACACGATCAAAACAACATCGAAAACAAAATGTTATTTAAAGGAAGAGGATTACACCACATAAACATTTGCTAAATGCTTTCATAAAACGCGTTAAGATTTATGACCGGCACTTTACATCTCTCATTAGATTTTTTTTTTTTTTGAGTCAGCACCGTCATGTCCACCAAGGTCGAAGAACGAGGAACAAGTTTGCTTAATGTGCTTTTATTAGCAATATTTTCCTAACCTGCCGCCTACGAAATCGTATAGACAAAAAACTATCCGATTAGGTAAGGAAAAAGTATTTTCATAACATTCCAAGGGCAGTTTTGTTCTGCGGAAGGCACGCCTTGCAGTTTGAGCCTGCAAAATCATACGACGACATATCGATATTGGATAGACTTACACCAGAAGGAACTTACAGCTGACAGAAACTATGCGATCACGCCAACAGACATTCCATGTTCCAAGAGTTTTCGCCCATTTGCCGCCGGCCGTGCAAGTTCAAAGTAAGCCGAGTGAATAGTTTCTACCTCTATGCAAGGTTAAGCGTTAACGATTTGAGCCTAACAGCTTAATCACATCTGATATTTGTTAGGTAGCCGTAATAATGGCTTATAAAGGGGTTCGATTGTGTAAAATCATGCAACAACGTGGCAGACTCACGGTTACTCAGATATGCTTTTGTTCTCTCCTTTCAACAACGGAAACACATTCGATAGAAATAGTCGAAACAAAACAGTGCTCTACGGAGCTTGAATTTTCGGAAAATACATGATAAATGAGGTATCTCTGTCGATCACTGTTTAAACTTAACCGAGATATCTTCTGCACACTCGTCTTTCTAAGGGCTTTGTTTGAAGAGCAATTAAATCGAGCGCACAGCCAATTCGCCATTAGCAAAAGCCATAGCTAAATGTACACAACACTAACTTATCCATTTCTTAAAGAAGAGATGCGACAAGTCAATGCACCTTACCGTATGTCCATGTTGACCACCTGAGCTTAAATACTGTTCCTACTGTGTACGTGGCGAAATGAACCGCGATCTTCTCCAAGCAGCGACAAAAGCGACACCAGACTATAAAAGTCAAGAGCGCCTTGCTGGAACCTATTTCAGCAAAGACATGCCTGCTTTGTGTTAATCACTCGCATTGCGGATTAATCTCTCTTACATTCGTAGCTTCTCAGTTTTCCATTCTAAGTAATTGAGATGTAAACCGACAAGATAAAGCGATGGTTTTTTGTTCTAGTTGGGTGGCTTATGTTATTTTAACCTAAGTGCAAAATTCGTATATTACACGGTCAATTCAAATTCCGGGTTGGACAAAATGGATGTTATCCCCACTTAAATACTAAATCACTCCCTAGAACAATCACAGACACCATTATTCACGAATAACCTTAACGACATTTCGTCTAGGACTCGGGAAATATAATGAGCTTCATTAAGTCAAAGCATCCGAAACCACTATCAAATATCATATCCCAAACGGCTAAAATTAAAACGGTTAATCTTTATTATATTTATCAATTCTCAAAAACTGTCAATCTTAAAATACTCTTAACAGCCCACCTGGTATCGTAAAAGCACTCGTTTCTCAACACCCATCTTTAAGTTACGGACATAATACACTAGGAACAAACTAAGCAAAATACTAATTTTTGGAAATAATTATATTATAAAATATATTATATGATACTTTGACTCTAGAATAACTCTTTTAAAGCTTTAGTTGTTTGTTTTCTCTCCAGAAACACCGAATTGACGCGCTTATCCTTCCCTACAGGGTTACTGACGGCCAACACTTGGTTAATTGACGTACAAAATTTTGACGAAGAAAAACTTTCAGGGTAGGCCAACCCAAACAGGATAGGCAGGATTTATAAGCTGGCGACATTGGACTTTGATTGGTTGACGTCATAACAAGATTCTTTCCTGAAAAATTATTCACTCGAGTTCTGGTCTTTGTTCTTCAAGGGTGGACTTGAAATCACGCGAAAACGCCAAAAGCAATGGCATTCCTTTCAAGGGCTCGGTGCGTTTTGGTACATTGTGCAAGCAGAAACTGAGAAATTTAATCGAGCATTACAGAAATAATGGATTTAAGGTTTGAGTAGAAGGGTCAAGAACATTTTAAAGCGCTGTTGCACTATTCTAGAGGCAAAACGCGTTGTAAGTTACAACTAACAAATAATCGCGCAGTTATGAATAATCCACGACTCTAAGAAGACACGTTAACCACGCGATTCCCAAGATTTGATCGGCAAATCTCCTTAACAGCGGCCATATTCTTTCTAAAAAAATTAGTTAGGAGAATTTGGTGTTGTATCAAGAAGGCCCCGTCTGGTTAAACAGTTTTTTAAACATGTCAATTCTCATCGCATGTTGTTGGATAATGTATTAACAATGTTAGGGGAAGTTAAATGTTGGTCGATATTGTGAGAAATAAAGAGTTGAGTAAGGGTGTTGGTTCAGTTTGCAATATAACTAAGTAAGTACTCTTCGTCAGCTAGACTGCGTTCAAAAACAGATTGGACTCAACTTGGCAAACCGTAGTGGAATCAACTCAAAGTAACGTGGCTTTAGAGGTTTTTTTTTTTATCCTTTCCAATCTCAAAGAAAAGAACACCTAAGCTGATCAAGTTAATATTAGCAGTAAATCTAAAATTGGAATTGTCTAGACCAAGATTAGCTATTATGAACACTGGATAAACAAAGGAAAACAAACCATAGAGTTAAGAAATTCAGCACACAAAGAAAAAACAAACAAAAAAAAACAAAACAAAACAAAACCGTGCGCCGAGCCCTACTTTGTTCTTAAAAATATGTCAGGAATCTTGGGTTACCTTGACTGTGAACTTAATTCAACCAATTAGTGGGTAGCGTCGGTAAGGTTTTCTTTTCGATTAGTGGGTGAAAAGTTGTAAAAAAAGCTGATGGCGGAAAATTTCCGTCAATTACATACGATTAAATATCTGACGTGTTTTGTGAAGTACTTTCCATTCAGCTATGCACCCGAGGGTACTGTGGGTGTTAATCACATAAAGGGGCGATAGATGATGGATGATTGTTCGGCGGACTTCTGAAGGACAAGCAACGTATCTAATAAAATATGCACCGGAAACAAGCATCTCCATGGGGGACATTTTCCAATGACTTTATCTTCGAGAGTTTTTTTTTCTTTCGTAATTAAAGGTTTTGATTGAAGGGATTAAAATCATACTCGCACGCTCACTACACCACCTAGAAATTTCTAAAGCCTTTTAGACAACAACTTCAATGAGGCAAAGGCCCGTACTCTTTGCACTAAGTCTAAATGCACTTATCATCTGTTAAAAGTGGTCAAGTGCGTAGAAGGTCCACCATATAAGGCGCGTAAAACAACATGTTGCAAAACCTTAGTTTCTTTAGCTTGATGTAAGAAGATTACGCTTAGAAGTCACGTATAGCTGAAATCCTCGATCAGATCTAGAAGCTTGTGTATATTGTCCTGTAAGGTCTGCATGTCGCTTTCCAACGTCTGCAGTGTGGATAACAACTGTAAAGAGAACGGACACCGTTCAGTGTTGAAGCCTTGTACGAAGCCGTAATGCAACAGTAATTTTTTTGGGCTAAACCGCCGGCGCACCTCAAAGGACTCTAATACGCCTAAACGACTACATGTAGGACTTTGTGTGGTCGAGGTTAAGGGGCTGTAAATAGTATAGATAATAGCAGGATGTGTTCGTGTGCTCGTGAGATAATGAAGAAAAGTCAAGTCGGTAAAGCCGGCTATCATGCCGAGAATTGGCTGACGAAAAAAAAACGTAAAATTTTACCGACAGCTCTTGACAACGTCATGGTTCGAAAACTTACGCTAAATTTATTAGGTTGCTTTGCACGTTGCCAAAATTGACTCATAACAAACAGGTATTTAAAAAAACACAAAAAAATGACTTTCAAGGGGGAGCGTATTGAATACGATGAAATGAAAGCCCTGGGTGTTCAAAACTGTATCCATTCCATCCGATGTTCGTTGTCTCCACCTTAAGCAAAATGCTCTTCAGAAAGGTAACCTCTTTGGCCGAGTTGAAACAATTACGCCCTATATAGAAGGCTTCCATAGTAGTATTGACGCCAAATTAATAAAAAGTGACATAACTGATGTGTTAGTTTTTGTATGAAGACAGACCTGTACACATTTGGACAGAAGTTCGTTGGTAGTCGTGTCCGTTACGATTAATCTTAACACTAAAATCAAAACTGACTGGACCATAAATTTGCGAGAAGGGAAACTCGTTTTTATCAAAACCAAACTTAGCCAGATTCAGAACATTTTTCATCAGAAGCAGATAAATGACAGATATATTTTGAGCACGAGTTCAATTCAATATCAATGAGGTTAGGCATAACGTTGTTTCTGCAACGGCAAAAGAAAAATATAAACTCGGATTTTTTCATTTTTGTTATCATCCAATCCTTCAATCAATACTGTCAAGAAATAGAAAATAAATCTTACACAAGGTATGAGATACAAAAATTATTATTTTACGTGTCGAATGGCTGAAGGCAGACGGTAAGAAGTTCAACTTTTGCCATTTGCCATGACCACCATGTACTGGAAAGCAAAATTCCTCTAATACGTATTTGGCATGAAGAAAGAACTTTAGAAAATTAGAAATGGCATCGGATGACGAAAAAGTTCAAAGAGATTCGAGTTATGCATGATCTACCAGAAGGATCGAAGTTCCCTTCATGATAAATATAGGTCCGTCGAGCGTGCACGCGCGAGTAACTATTAATGACCTCGTAGACAACAATGAGAATGTACTAGAAAGCGTGCATCACAGCAAGCGAAGGTCAGTAACCATATATATTAAAGTTCACACGGCAACCATGTGGACAATCAGACATGGTTTGATGCTACTCTGGTTTACAGATTTAATGAATGTAACCGAAGAAGTTACAATTCATAGACCCAAATGAATTGTAACTTCTTCGGTTACATTCATTAAATCTGTAAACCAGAGAGTAACATCAAACCATGTCCGTCAGTAATCATGAACATGAAAACATTACGCGCGTCTGATTGGCTGAAAACGTGTGCATTTTTCATGTAACACGAATGCAAAGTTGTAACACTAGCGCAATTACAAATAGCGCGCGCGCTGCCAAAATCTCGTCCGTTTTGACTCTCTGTGATACGTTTTTCATGTAAATTATTAACAAGCAACAACTATATTTCTCCTTTAATTTAGTGTAAATAAGCACTTGTAAATTTTTAAAACACTACAAACTGAACTCGGCCTACGGGCTCGTGCAGTTTTGTTCTCTTTTGAAAAATTGACTTGCGCTTATTAGCACCAAATTGCACTCCAAATCATGTTGTTACCTATACTAAACCGAAAACAAATTTGCTCAGCCTCTGGTGGATTACTATGAAATGCAGAGTATGAGTTATAACCACAAAGCAATTATAGAGAGATAGAATTCTCAGCGCCTAGGACACGTACCTCCTTTTGACTGGCATTTTTAAGCTTGTCTATACCGCTCATTTGTCGTCGTTTTGTTTTGGGAATCTTTCTTTTGATATCAGGGAAGTGTTTCTCACAGATTTCACCCAGTTCGTCTCCGTATTGTTGAAGTTTGTCCATACTGTCCTCCATCAGCGACACAACTTCCACTATCTACGTAGAAACATGACAAAACAATAAATTTCGAAGGCTCTAATTGCAAAGATGAACGACATTCACGTCTCATTATGGGTAGAAGACAAATAGAGAGAACGAAATTGGAGTGTTAGTAATTGTGGAGGGAAGAAGACCGGAGAACCTCGGGAAAACCCGTGATGCAAGGACACGAACCAATTAAACAATCAACCCTACATGACCCAAGCCTGGCGATCTGGGAATCGAGCCCAGGCGACAATAACGCTCCAATCACAGCGCCATAGGCAAATAGTACCCCTTCATTCCCAAGTAAGCTCGTCGCAGGAGTAAAAATAACTTCTTTCTCAAGGTTTTCTTAACTTTTTTTTTTTTCAGTTAGTTGTCATTTTTTCTGTGTATTCTTATCACTCGCGCGACAGACAAAGATAAGGGGAGAGTTTGCTCAAAAGTGAGCTCCATTTGTACATTCTTTATCACATCTAAAAATTAACTGACAAGTGACGCAGAATATATGTATGACAGACGCGTCATTTACAATTTTAGGTGGCACTGAACTTTCAACACGGCCTCAAAAATATCTCAAGTTAAGGAGAATAATCTTGTTATGCTAGTTGAAATAGGTTGTAATCGAATTTGTTCGAATCCGATCACAACAGGCATACAAAGCTGAAATTAGTAAAGGTATGTGGTAGCATAAAGCTGTGTCCAATGGAAGTAAGAGACGAAATGCAATTTGAACCAAAAATTTAAGGAAGTTCCACGAGGATGTCATTGCATCATCTGAAACAAACATGCAACTTTCCAGTCCTCAGTAAACAATAAATGTCTACGCTGCTAACTCCCATATATATATACATATATATATATTCCCATCCTTCATTTAATCAAGTAAATAAGAGAATTCGAGCTACAATTATAAATGGCTTTGCGCAAAAAAGTAGGCTAGATTTCATCAAATACAAAAGTGACTTTAGATGACCAAGGTCCGCTGAGGTAGTTTTCATTTGATTGGGTTCTTTTCTTGATTGTAACCGCCGTCTAAGTCAGACATATAATTTGCAAAACTGGGCTTAATATGCTCAAGTGGTGAAAGAGAGCTTCTCTCTCCAACGGGATGATATCTCGCACAATACTCACATTCACGCTGAAGCTATGCATCAAGTTGGAAGAATTAACATCAAAGTGGACACGGGGGTGATATAGTCAGCTGGCAAAGAGAGATTTTTTTCGCTCAAAAGAAACGAATGGAGATTCTGTTAAAGCTTTCCGTGATCTGTGCTGGCCAGATACTCAAGATATGATGTCTTGTAGCCTATCCATATTCCTTGTGCCAACTATACAGGTATTAGCACCATTAGCACCACCTGGTGTGTGAAATCGTTCGCCTGTGTAATTCCTCGGAAATCGGAACAAAATCACTGCAATATGCTTATTACATCAGCCAAACGATCTGTTTAAAGGGGTAAGTTTCTAAAGAAACTGTGGTGCTGCGTCGGTGGGAGAGTATAGCAGGTAATTTAGTGTTAACAACTAAGTTAGCGGTAAAAAAGCTTAGGTTTAAACATGCGCACTCCCTGCTTTGTTGAGGTACTAGAGTTGTATCGTCAGAGCGATACATCGTCAGAGCGATACATCGCTCTGACGAAGGGCTAACCTCGAAACGTCAGCTTTTTTACCCTTTACGGTGGCTAATTTACGTTTTCAACCCAGTTGTTCACTTTCTATTGGCCGTCATCGGAAAAACTCACGTCTTAAATTACTGACATTACGAAAACGTGGAAATCTATGATACCCACTCTCAAGTTTTTATGCGCGAAAAACAAACTAAATATTGCAGATAATTAAAAACTCCACACAAAATGAAAGCAGACTTCCTGAAAAAGTTAAAGTGAAGTTGAAAATGCGAACATATTTGTAACAGACCACGACGCCAAAAGTACTATCCAGGAAGTTCTTTTAGTGTATCCTTGTATAATTTTCTAAAGCAACTTAATTATGGCATGACAAACATTTTTTAACCAGGAAAAAAAATGTTTTGTCAATACATCGCGTTTCTAAATTAGGCTATGTGGAAGTCTTCACACGAAGATTAACATGGAAAAGAACGTGTGAAAAGAACCACTTTGCCGATTAAGCGGGTTTAAGTGACGTCAGTAAAAAACACTGCTTTCGCGAAACAACTGTTTCCACAAATAATTAATCATTCAAAACAATCTCGGAGGCTAGTTATTGACCCCTAGATATAACACGAGTCTTATCGCGCCTTGGCACTTGTTTAACTTTTATCGGTTTACGTCAAACTGTCGAGCGAACGAGAGATCTGCGTCACCTAAAGAGAGTAAAGCGCCAAATACTTCATCAGCTCGACTTTTTAAACAATAGAACCGTGCATAGAGCGAGGTTGATTACATCAGTAGACAGGATTACCAAAGGATAAACTTGAAAATCTCTGGAATACGATAGGCGCTAATTGAGTTCTCAAGAGTCACCTCATAGGTTTCCCACACACAGCGCAGCTAGCAAAAATTCTCAAAAGCTGTAGCAAGAGACTGATTCTGCTAACGAGTTTACCTTGTTAACACAGATTGCGTGATGACAGAAGTTACAACAGCTCTTTTCGCACATTCTTCCCTTCCCTGTATTCAAATACAGTCTCCCGAGAAGTATACAACTCTAGTACCTCAACAAAGCAGGGAGTGCGCATGTTTAAACCTAAGCTTTTTTACCGCTAAATGATTCATTTTTTATCAAATTACTACAGACAACGAGCGATGCTGGTAAAGTCGTGTAATGGTCGCCACAACGAAATTATTGAAAACTTTGAGATAATATTTCATCGGATGCCATTTTCGTCTCCAAAGGCCATGCACGCCAAAAACCAATGACATTTCAGTCGCTACTCTCGCTCATTCACCTCCATCTTTTTATTTAGGGTTTACAATAAGTAAATAAGTTTTAGCCACTCCTCCCGTGTGCTCAACCGCTTTAATTTGTCTGGGATTGTCGTGGGAAAAACCAATTTAATTTCTCAGCCGCTATTCTCCTTGGTTTACCAGAGGCCTGCTCGTTGCCCAAGCGCGAGCGGTAATGCGCTCTCGTGTGCTTACTTAATTTGGATAGCTTGTTAGAGATGAAAAGAGATGAATGTGCACTTAAGTTGAATGCTTCAGTACGTTTTCTATGACTTTCGTAGAAACGTCTGTGTGTAATTCTCCGTTTGCAATAAAAAATAAGTTACCCCTTAATCCAGGAAAATAACTTGTTTGGTAAAAATACGAAGAAGCTCTACGGTAAAGCGGCTGAAAAAACAACAAAACAAAAAAAAAAGAAAAAGAAGAAACAAAAAAACAGGTTCAGACCTGCTTGTTTGATATCACAACCATAATTTTGATAGTGATAACGACACATCTGAGGTCACCAAAAAAGTTATGCCACAAATCAGGCGAACCCACCAAACACTTCAGAGGACAGAATAAAGCTAGCTTCCAACAAAGGAGTTTGTGATTGGCAGGTTTTATTCATAACGGCGACTCAGTAACCACAAATCTATAAGCCCGTTGTCGAAAAAGAAGAGTGCTTTATGTATCTCTTAAACATGGACTGTCAGCGAACAAGTCATCTTACCTTTTCCGTAGAGGCTTGCGCGAGTTCGGACGAAAGAGAAATTTCTTTGTTATCTTCGTTGGACAAAAGCGTCATTCGCTTTTGAGTCTGAAAAACAAAGTACAAATTTCAAACCCCTCGTGTACACGAATACGCCGGTGGCGTTTTAAAAAGTATAGACTTATTAACATGGGCATAGAAATTTATAAAGGGAAAATCTGCACTCGAACCAAGTATCCCCATCTAAATTCAGCATCTTGAGAGTCTGAAGTTTTCCCCCGTTTCTGAATGTTAATTGCCGAAGGAAATCGCAGAGACACTTTTTTCTCAAGGTGTTTGTTTGCTGACGTCATAAGCGTGCACAGTAGGAGTATGAAGCGCGCGCGTGCGCGCGTTATTCCATGAATTTCCAAGCGACGTTATATATATATATATAAACAAATATATTTGGACCCTGTTCTCTTTTGTTATCAAACAGCTTTTTGTACCACTTCTCAAGTGGAACATGCGTTTCTTTTCGTCTCTCTCCTCTACACTAATCCGCTGCTTGAGACGAACATTGAAGCTCTGTTAATGTGGATTCGTACCTGTTCTTTGAGCTCGTTCACCAACTTGTCTTTTTCCGCTTTAAATTTTCGCACCTCGGCGTCACTGCCAGCTGTGGGAGATAACTCCAGCAGCGCGATGTTAGCATCTTTTTCAGAGATGGTGGCAAGTAAAGCATTTTGCCTACAAAAAAGATTTAAACAAAGATCTGTTAGCCATTACAAGTGCACTTGATAAACGATAGACCAATTAGTATGAGCAGACAGCTAACGACCAGAGCAACCTGGAACCTTATCTCTGTTCACTCCGATTTGCTTTCTCGACCACTTACAACCGAACGACGACTAACCCCGCCAGTTTTTAAGATTTTAATCAGAGAACTTGAATGATACACCAACATGCGAAGCGTACCTCTGAATAGTTGGACAACTAGTTGGGAGTAACATCAAAGAGATCAAAGGGGGGGGGGTAGTTACGCGGTGGGTAGAGCCCCTGATGATGACGAGTGAGAGGGGAAGGAAGACGGAAGAGGAAAGGGCGAAAAGCGGGAGTGAAATATTAAAATTTTGTCATTACTGAGTCATTCTTCTATAGTGAGACGCAATGAAGGGCGGGAAACTGGAACCAGGGTGCGAAAAGCGAGTGAGGAGTTAAAAAATCAGGATTCTAAGTCATTGTTAGACTATATAAAATAAACTTACGGTCATCCCTTTAATTCTCTTTTCTCCTTATTGTAGCAATATATTCATAAGCAAACAGGTAGTGAGAATAAACAATCTCATCAGCTAAAGGTTTTTATCTCGCGGAGGCAACATTTTAGAGTTCCTATTATGATATGTGGGAGTTACGAAGCCTTCGAAACAGCTACATGTATCAACGCTAAAAATATAACATATTTACCTCATTTCTAGTAGCTGTTCTATCATCCCATGCCTTTCAGTTTTGTAGTAAGACAGGATGATGTCATTCTCGTTCAAAGCGAGAACCAGGGACGCGTTCTTCGTGTTCGTTACAGCGGTCTCCATTCGAACTCTTTCCACTTCTGACTCCATTTCTTCCACACGATGTGTCGCTGTCTCGGCGTTCTGAGCCTGCTGAGCCAGCAGTTCTTCGCGTTCAGCAGCAATGGACACGCTTTCAGTGAGGGCTTCTTCCAAGACCGCAATTCGCTCGTCCTTTTTCTGCAGCTCGCTCTGTGGAAAAATGGCATTGCTATCGTTTTAAAGCAGTTTCAAACCATCTAATTGCCTAGATGCCATAACATCTAAGGTACAGTCAAAATTCTTTACTGTAGACGTTTCAGAGAGATGGCCTTTAAAGGGAGGTTGAGGGGAGGGGGTCGGGTAATATGACGCATGTTACTTTCGGGGTAACAACAGCTTTAACTTTTGTAAAATAATACATACGCATTGAATTGCTCCCGGTTAAGTTAAAGACACTTTGCTAACGACTGTTACATATCAAACTCACTACACGAACTAACTTCGAATAAATTACGTAACGCCGAAGTTCTATAACTGAAATTTACATGTATCTCATGCGTTTCTCATAACATTGTTCACTCACTTTCATAGTTATATTAATATAACGTATCTCACTCTTATATTCTATAAACTACACTTATAGACTGAGAAAACATTGGGTCTGTTGTGAAGTTATACGACGCAACGTGTGGATCAAGTTGCGTGACCTTACAAAAGATAGGGTTTCGTCATTTCTTCCCAAGTGGACTAAACACTGCCAATATTTACTCGCTGTTCATAGCCTGTAGTTCATTAAGTAACCCTGTTCAAAGCGATGAGTTATTTAACTGTATTGCCTCTCTAAGACTCGAGAACCGAAATCATACCCTGTCCGGCGACATATATGTGCTCCCTCTCACCCGCTATTAGATACACAAACTACCTGGAAGAATTCAGCTGTCTCGCCTTTCTGATCCTCTTTTTTCTTGACCTCATTCAACAGCTCGGCTTGTTTTTCCCTTTCAAGCTGCTGATTTCTCTTCACACCGATCAACTTCTTGCTCTGTTCTTTAAGCTGCCTAAAGAGAGAAAATATCAACGCCATCTCTATGTGCTGAGGAAAAGGCAAAGAAGGCAACCGATAAATACAAGCTTTTGAATTTCCTCACGGGCTTTAAATTGTTGTTCCGCAAACCATACACTCGTATGTTTGCTATACTGTACCAAATGAGAAAAGGAACGATTGCAGGAAGGAATGAAGAAACGAAGATACGAAAGATCAAGGAAAGGCACGAAGGCACGAAGGCACGAAGGCACGAAGGCACGAAGGCACGAAGGCACGAAGGCACGAAGGCACGAAGGCACGAAGGCACGAAGGCACGAAAGAACGAAGGAATGATCAAGCAAACGAACAAGCCGTGAACAAAAGGAGGAAAGAATGAACAAGAGAGGGGACACGCGGAAAAAAGGGTGAGAGGAATTAAAAGTTATTCCACTTACTTTTCCAGTTCAGTTATTTTAAGGTCTTTCACTTCACAATCATCCGACAACTCCTTCACTTTTGCGTTCTGTTCTTTCAGTTCTTCTTGTAATTTCTTCATTTTGCTCTCTCTGCTCTTGAGTTCGATTTGTTGTTTTCTGAGATCTTTTTCCAATATAGAGATTTCAAGTTTTCTACTGCTCAGATCCGACGTCACTTGATCCGTTTTGCTGATTTTCTGAGGAATTAATAATACTATTGTTACTATCAAAGGGGCCATCGGATGAAAGAGTGAAGATAATAAGGGTGACGGTGAAATTAACGCACACAAGGGGTTGTTAGAGCAAGAATTGGAGAAGCACATGTTATATTCGTTTACTAAAGGTCGCTGGCTGAAAAAAAAGTGTAAAAGACTTTCATTTGTGGATTCATATCGGTAACTTGTGTTCAGGAAATGTTTTAGTATTCCATAAAAACACCATCCAAATTGCCTTTTTGTTTGAGTGACCACGACTTCGGACGACACGCTGCAAGTTGTGAATGAATGATTGAATAAATGAGTCAATCGACTAATTTATGATCAAAGAATTACAACGTTATATCTTTTATTGGAAAAAATGTTTGCACTCGACGTCAAGAGCGCCATATTGGCTGACTAGCAGAATGAATATCGGCCATGTAGTAAAGTGAATTAGCATCAGTTGAACTTTTATAAACAAAAACACTGTTTACTTTCAAAGGAAAAAAGAAACGGTTAAACTGAAAATGGCGTGGGTGAAAACGTTTAGTTGCTAGTCAAGAAGGGACATTCATGAACCAAACAAAGTTATAAACCGTCTAAGTGTTGCATCAATTTTTGGACAGCTCGATATTGGTTAACTGTTTTGCAAAACACTTCCCGCCCTTCTCATAGATGATTTTTACCGACTAGTCTTGCAACTGAAGCGAAAAAATTCAAATATTAATCATACCTCGTCTATCTTCTCTTCCAAATGTTTAATTCTCTCTTGAGAGGATAACAGTTTGGTGTTTTTTTCTTGTAGCGATGTCTTCAGAGACGAAACCTGTTTCTCCAAGCTAGCAACATCCTCCTGCAAAAGACAAACGAGAACGCGTTGACATAAGCGGTTGATAAATGCAACAAACAAGTAAAACTCCTACTACTGTTTCTGAAATAATCAGAAAACGAGCAAACAGAGCAACTTTCGAATGAGCGTAAAAAAGAAAAAATGCTTTCGTTTGCGTCACATCAGCGAAAAGCTGCCCTTATCATGACCTTATTCAAATAAATTATGTATGTATATAGGTTATTCACCAGCCAAGGTCTTGGATACCGCCCGCGGTACACAAGACAGAAGGCACAGTTTTTCCCAATACGGACCGACCTTGGCTGGTGAATAACTTTTTTATTTTTTTTCTAAAACCTAATAAATGGTTGCGAAAAGCACGTGAATGATAAAGGGCTGTAATTACGGCAAGATTCTCCATAAACGGAACAATTTATGAGCGAGTAGATGGCAGAGAAAACAAGGGCAATGCAAATGAAAGAGAGAGGTTTCATCAAAACATATTTATTTGCGTAATGATATTAAAAGGTGATTTAAAAGGCTTCCCAGAAAACTTCGTAACATTTTTTCGAATACCGCCCGCTGTGAGCGGGCCGGATGGGGAGAATACTGCCCGCTCTCGGAACCAATCAGATTGCAGGATTTGTAGAATACCGCCTGCTCACGAACTGAGAAAAAAATAAATGTATGTATGTCACAGCGCTCTGTGATTGGCCTAAAAACCTGGCACCATTTTGTCAACCAATCGGATTCAAACCTCGAGACTTGGTCACCCGCGCTTTCGCGCGCTTTTGGCCGTTTACGTCCGGGCGTGTCTAGTTCTTAACTTATACGTCGCACACGTACAAGCAGACGAAGAAATAAAATAATGGCGATTCTAATACACTTTCATCAGAAGGAAAGAAACAAACTTATTAGAGCAGTAGGACAAAAAAGTACCCTCAACACTTACGTCTTTTTCTGTGAGTTGTTCCCTCAGAGATGCGACCCTCGCTTCCAGTTTTTCTTGTGATCTTTTGACTCGGTTCACCTCCTCCTCGTTTTCAGCGCCGCTGCGCTGCCTTTGACTCTGTAGTATCTCTATTCGCCTATCCTTCTCGCGGATAGTCGCTTCCAAATTGGCGATGGTAGTGGATGACCCCGAAAACTCAGCCTTCATGGAAGACAATTGAGATTTCACACTTACGACGGTGGAATCTTTCTCGTGTAGATCTCTCTCGAGACATTCGCACTTCGCAAACCAAAAAAAAGTAAGTAGTTAGTATGTTTCCCTCTTTTAACCATTAATAACAGAAATAACGTAGGGTTTTCGGTCCATGTTTGTTCACTGCTTCCTTTTAATTGTGGGAATCAAACGTATATCTGGGCAACAAACTCAGGAATTTTTCCAGAATCTTACTATCCTTCTACAGAAGCTTATCACCTTCTATTATTCCACTCTCGATATTACGAGACCAATCGCGCGGTCTCTGCAGAACGGTAGTTTCGAAGCCCTACCCCGCCTCCTACTTAAAATCTCCAACAATGCTAAAATAGCGTTTAGCCGAGGCACTTTGCGTGAAATTCAGCTTTAAAAGATCTCAAAAAACCATGCCAGTTTTAAATAACGGAAAATTAACTATTTCTCGAGGAAATAGCAGTTCCGAGGAAGAATTACTTAATATATTATATTTGGAATTGAAGGATTGATTGTGCAATTAAAAATTCAGGTCCTTGCCTTTTGTTTGAGACTGTTTATCTGTCTTTCTTTAGTATTCAGTACACTCTGAAGGTTCTCTACAGCATAGTAATTCTCTGAATGTTCTGTAGACACTGACAACAGTTTCTTCTCCTTCATTCTTAACAGCTCTTCTCTGTCATCCAGTCGACCACGTAAAGACTCCAGCTGCCACGAGTCAATCAAGCAAAGCATTTAGTGACATGAATAGATTCAGGATGAAGGTGTTTAACAGAAGCATTCTGGCCAAATGCTTTCTACAAACACCACAAGGCCTTGCTTTCCCGAGAATAAAACGAATTGGAATATTGCTACACTGTGCTCTCCATGGATGGTATGACAGGTTACCCCTACCCTCCTCCCCCATACAGTTTTGTCAGGTTTTTTCACAAATCACTGGTAATTATTCCCACTCCTTTAAGTGGATGAAGGCCCTGTGAGTGTTCAGTGTCTCATCCCAGAACACAACACACTGACCCAAGTCAAGACACACACCAGGCCATTTCCATTCTCTACTCATCATCTAATTTTTCGACACTTCCATAATCCCTAGATAATGAAAACAAATTTCTTCAATTTTTTTTTATCATAGGAGGTTTAATCTACAAAATTCACCATCTTCATGTACACAGAAATGACTCCTTGTAAATATTACCCATTAAGAACACAAACTTTGGGCGTGACAACAAAGGAAACTTGCCCATGACAAAACTAAATTCAACCATATACTGATAAAGGTTGAAATAAACTAATACACAACAATGTCATTGAAACTGAACATATGTAGTGCACATCAATAGGAATATCAATCAAAATAATATTAAAACAAATGGACCAACAAAACACACATCTAACCTCACTCTGTAGATTCTTGATATGATGTTCTTTGGCTGACAAAGAGGTTTGTAACACAGAAATGTGTTCTTGTTGGTTGGCCTGATGAGCTTTCAGTGTTTCCAGTTTGGTTTCTGCTGCTACTAGTTCTGCATCCTTCTTACCTAGATCCACTTTAAGTGATTCAATCTTAGGACATACATAAAAAACAATAACTAAAAAAATTACAATAAAACAGCAACAACAACATCACCTAGATCAGTTGTGTACAACTCAAGAATGAAGCAAATACATTTTTTTTTTCAGTTGGCTTAAAATCACATGGGTATGTATTGGCCATTGAGTTTCATTCAAATTAATTAAATTTACATAAAATTCATATTGTGTTATGTTTCAATTTTCCAGATGTTTCGATTTAGCCCTGAATTTCAACCCATGAGGGCATAACATTATAACCTTTATCAAACTTTTTGCTTGTTTAAATCAAACACTTTTTAGCCTACAAATGTGACCTGACATGTACTTTGCCATGTACTCTTAAATATAAACAGGCAAAAAATGACTTGGAAAGACTGTTCATTTTGAATCAATTGGGCCGACAAAAGGGTGCTTTTGAGACCAAAAATGACAACATGAAAAGAAAAAAACACTTTGTCTTTCACAGTAAAGAGAACTTTAAATATACATCTCATGGTACAATTAGTAACAGCAGAGAGATGAATATCCACACTCCAAAATACCCACTTGTACTTACCTTGCATTTCATGAATTTTGAGTGGCTTTCATAAACTTCAGATTGCTTCCTATCTTCCTCTCTCTTCTTATCATCTTCTGAAGCATTCTTTTTGAGATTTTCCATCTGACAGTATATCATGATGATCACAAGAAGTTAATGTATTGCTCACAACAAACGAATGTCAAATGTTCAGTGTAAGATACAGCTCAATACTAGTTCAAATTGAAAGAAAATGAAAATATGTTTATCAATATTGATTGCATAATTGTAAATCCCAAAGATTGTTGACTGCATTTCATCCAATATTAGATAAACAAGGTCAAAATACATAATTGATCACTTGTAAATCAAAACTTAACATATAGATCAAATTTTTTATAAAACAAATTAAGTTATCTCACACCGAATATCAAAAGTAAACTTGAAACGTTCACTACTTGCAAAATTGTAGCTTTTAAGACAGCTTTCACTTAAACAGTTCAGGTATTCAACAAGTCCACAAACCTCTGCTTCCAGCTGACTTATTTGTGTCTCCAGTGCGGCAATGTGGCTATCCTAAAAACAAAAACAGTGAAATGACCACAATATCAGAGACGTGACCTCTTACTCCTTAATATTGAGAGTGAAAAGTTGTTTCAAGAAGAAAAAATTTTAGACTGGTAAAGAAGACAAGTAGAGTTTAATTGATTCATGCACCCAATGTAACCATTAAAAAAATCATCTACTGTACATTCCATGCTGTTATTGATTAAGGTTGTAAGTCATGTTTACTAAACATAACTGCCTGTCATATTGTTGTTGTCTAAGAAGCAGTCTGAGTGAATTTCGAAGTAGAAGATCACTCAAAATTTCTTGCAAACAGTACTTGTTTTGATTGTTTGGGAAAGGGCTAACATAACAAAATGCAAGTTGATAAACCTCTCCTTTTATAATATAATGTCTTGATGCCCATTCAATCATAACATGAATAAAGTAAAATACCATATCATATTTGAAAGCATGTGATGTAAAGGTACCAGCATACAATTTTAGACATGCATCTCTTCTAGTAAAAGATGCATACATGTCCTTTGAAAAACCTGAGTTTGAGATGATAACAGACTAACCAATAGGAAACTAAGATATTAAGTTACACTGTCATTAAAATATATCAAAAAAATTTGATATATTTTAAATGTAGCGTGTTTATGAATGCATCTGCATGAGACAGCAAAAGATTACTCTTAAGTATTTTCAAGTTGGTCAGCATCCAGCATTTTCTTTATTTGAAAGAGGATTTTGAATTGAATACAAACACCCGTTTATACTGTACACTGCCCCTTATCTAGGAACAATTAGGTCAGCACTGGAAGTAAATAAATATACAACATTTTGATTTTGATCTTGGTAATTGGAATTGTTTTTGTAATAGTTGATAAAGGAACTACAAGTACATCACTATTAATCCATCTAAAATATTTAGCACATTTTTCAACTTTTTCATCTTTCTAATAGCTTTAGCTTGTTTGCAGCCACAGCAAACAATTTTTAGGCATCAAATATTTCAAGGTTTATACCCACTCAACAACAATTCTCTGAGACAAATATTAATCCATCTAAAATATTTAGCACTTTTTCATCTTTTATTTAGCTTGTTTGCAGCCACAGCAAACAATTTTTAGGCATCAAATATTTCAAGGTTTATACCCACTCAACAACAATTCTCTGAGACAAATATTACCATTATAGCCCCTTTAATCATTAGATAAAATAAGACAACTTTATTTATTCAGGGTAGCCAGAGGATGCCCTGCTAATACAAAAATATTTTGTAACAAAACCTTGTACATATGACAAAAACTAATTATTGCTAAAACTTTCAATTAGAAACTCCAACATAGTAACCTACATGTACATCTACCATAGTATAATAATAGTCAGAACTAAATGACTTGTACAAAACTATTAAAAAACAAATGAACAAACAAACAATCTTGCATTCTAAACTAAAATGGGATCAAAAATATAACTTTTTCTGAAATTTCTTAAAACTACTACAGGTTGCACCTTAGCAAGGCAACTTCTGGGTAAGAAGGAATTAAAAGGAAAAGAGAAAAGTTGCTCTGCTCTTTAACACTAGTAGACCTTTCAACAGTGATGGCCTGCTCACACTTATTTTTAGTTTATAACAAATTTTAAATACCTTAGCCAACAGGTTTGCAGATTGTTTTAGTTCATCATTTACATTGTTGATTTTAACATTATCAATTTCCTGAAAGTAAATAAAACAAAAATGGTTAGGGTTTGATCATTAAATGCTGCATTTCATGAAGCAGCTACTGACTGCATTTTCCTTTTGTTCACAGATGTAGTTACATAGAGTGATTCATGTAATGAACAAGTGTTTTTCCAACCCCCCAAGTAAGTTATTACATAATGAAAAAAAAAGACTTTATTTTATAAGGGTAAACCAGATTTCCACATGGTAATTTTCATCTAGACCCTAACAAACAAATTGGAAACAAACATGGTGAATAAACATAGTGTTGTAAAAATCTCAACTGGCAGGAGGTAGATCAGTTGGCTGTATACAAAGCACAGCCAATTAAGGAGTTGAACTCAAGCTAACTGAGAACAAGTCCAGTGAGTGGTAAAGAGGAGGACTTGAACTGGGGATGACCAGATGTCACAAGACCAGCACCCTTGACAATAGGCTTCTCTGTCTTCATAAACATTACCATAACACCAATAAAATGATGTTAAGAGAAATCTACAGTTCATATATATACATGTATATAATAGCTATGGATTCACTAGTAGAATGAGCAAAAGGTATAACCAATCAGAACATGCATCTAAAGGATTTTATTGATATGTACATGTAAACTACAGGGTATTCATTAAAAAGTCTAGTAGTAGGAGAAAGGGGTAAATAGACTGCCAAATACTTCTCCAAGGCTGAATAAAATATAGCCAAAGACATCAAAATCTAGCTGGTAAATTTGATAAAGTAAAGAGAGAATTCTCTGATCTTTGATGCTGAATGAACAGCTAGAAACATGGTACATCAGTGATACGTGTACTAGCTCTGGCAAATAAATACATGTATCCATTGCAAGACATGTTACATTGTACACAGAGCAGATGCAAGATACTTGTAGATGTACACGTAACAACATTTCATTTGGTTGAAGGTTTACAGGAAAGGATAAAGGGGGTAAGTTTCTAAAGAAACTGTGTCAGTAATGACATTACCAGTTAATTTGGTTTTAAAATTGAGTTGATATAACTTAGCCACTGTTAAGAGTTTTTGAAGTTAATGTGTCAAGCATTAACCCTTCATCAGACAGAAAAGAGAAAGGAAAGGGACAAAAGAGGAATGTCTTAATTGGCAGTAACAGGCATTTTGCCATTTTCAGAGTCAAGTGATAAGTTATTTTTCAGTTGTAGAACCAATAATATCATAAAAAATTTACAAATAAGTTTTCATGCATCAAATTGTGTCTGGGAGTGATTGACTTCCACCACAACAAATTTTTTTAACACCTTCCCCACCTAGGGAGGGGTAAGAGTGTCATTACTTTATTCTTTGAGTTTACCAGTAAGTAATTGTCAGTATATATTAAATCATCTTTACAATATCTAGGTTATGAAAACTCACAATATGATCCACAAATGGAAATTATCTTAATACAAAACCACATCCTCAGGACTTCAAAGCTGAAGATTTCCTTCATTGTGTACATGTATCAGTTTGATCACACTGTGTAACAGAGTCATGGAATAGCAAAGACAAAAAAGAGGACACAAAAGATCAATTAATAATTAACAGATTTTTAAGTACATGTACCATTACCTCTCGCAAGGATGAAATTGCTCTATCCCTTTCATCAATTTCTTCTCTTAATTTAACAAGTTGATTGAGAGCTTCTGCAAGCTTCTTTTTGTCAGCATTGTGCTGTTCTTTGTGCATCTCAAGCTGCTTGGATTCAAGTCCTTTATTGCTTTGTATCATTTCCATTAACTGAGTTATAGTTTCATCCTTAGCCTGTATTGCTTGCTGTTGAGCTTCAAGTCTGGAGCTCAATTCCTCCAATGATCTTTGCAGTATAAATGTCTCATTGTCCTGTCGATCTTTTTCACCTCTTAAAAGTTCTAACTCGCGCTGAATTCCATCCTGTGAATGTACTGAATGTGATGAGGATGAAAGGGACCGCCGACCAGTTGAAAGGCGATCTGTTTGTTCTTGCTGTTGCTGTAACCGTTCCTGCAGATCTCGAATTGTTTCAGCTTTTTTCTGAAAAAAAAAAAAAAAAAAAAAGGAATAAATAAATTTAAGTTTTAATCATTTTAGACTGGGCAAGTCAAATGTTTGTTTATACGAATAACATAAATCCTTTAATTAGCCTCTATTCATTTCAAATCAAGCAAAAGATGAGGGCACTTGATCAAACAAGGCACTTATTTAATCTCTCCTAAGAGTGGCCTGCATAATGATATAATTTTTTACAAATTAAAACCCCTTTTTCAACAAAAGCAGAAATTTAAAATAAACTTGAAACTTGTTTCTACGTTTTGTGTATCCACAAGTTACATAACCAGAAAAAAATAATTGAATAGAGAGTGATACATGAGCACAGGTAGATATGGAATTTCTTTTCTAGAGTTCAACTTGATAACTCACGAATGAGATACTGAGTTGAACACAAGAGGAGAAATTCCATATCTACAAGTAACCAAGTATCATTTTAAAAAAGGGGGTGGGTCTTTAAAGAAACTGTGGTGCTGCATTGGTGGGAGAGAACAACAGGGTAATTTAGTATTATCAACTGAGTTGATAACTTAAATTGGTCACTGTGTCAGTTTAAAAGCTGACCTTTCAAGTGCCAGCCCTTCGTCCTCGCTCTGGCAAAGGACTAACGCTGGAAATGTCAGCTTTTAAACTCTTTACCATGGCCAATTTACGCTATGAACTCAGTAGATACTACTAAATTACCATGTATTATTTTGTTTATCATATAGACATAATACCTCTTTCCTGACAAGAGAAGCAAACATTTAATCATACATGAATGAAAAAAATAGGATCCATATTCCCCTCAAAAAAGTTGTTAAGTGTGCTGGCGATAAGGCTCAAGATAAAAAAATGCATCGAATCATTACAAAAACAAACCATGGAGGTAACTTTCAATTTGCAAAATTCTAAGTTATTAACCTTTTCATTACCAACAAAAGAAAACTGCACAGGTACTCAGCACGATGGGCCTGTGGCAAATATTTTTGCCCTTAGCTACAAGAAATGCCACTGCTAAAGCCTATTAGTATGTAACTTTCATTTTTTCTTTTCACGTTTTGATTTCCTTCCCTTCTGAGAAATTTTGAACATCACTGTCTGTAAGCAAAACAAATATTTCAGTGTTTTAGCAGCCACAATCCCTAAAAATGTCTACAAACAATCTTAGTTTGAGAAAGATGAAGGCTTTGCAATTCATTCATGAACATGACAGAATGGCATCAAAGACGAGTAACATGTCAGCAGCTGACTGGTGATATCAAACACAAACATGAAAAATTATGGGTTTTTTTTTCTCGTGTTGTTCTGGGTTTTTTCAGGGCTGAAAATTCTTGTAAAACACTGCAGTTGATATAATAAAAATGACTAACATCCTTTATTATCTCAGTACTTCTATAAAGAGAGAGAGAAGGGAAAGGATGGGAACCTTATTTTGAATTTTGGCTGACAACAGGTGCCTCTTTCATTTGCAGAGAGCATTGATCTGAGAAGAGCCTCAGTCTGTAAAAATACAAATGACTGTCTCTTTCAGATGTTTTCCAATACAGAGGCTAGTCCTGACCAATACAGTTGTAGCTTACATGTCCATGAGGTACATGTACCTTTAGAGTCAAAATATATCTCAGAGTTCAGTAACAATTTTACAAAAATTTTTTCAGGATTACAAATTGCATCCATCAACTAAACCCAGAGAAAAGATTTAAGAGAAAATAAAATGAAAATCTTGACTTTTTTAAACAGAAAAGTACATATGCAGGAAAAGCAAAGTAGCACAGTTATCTTGTAAAAGTCCCTACATAAAGAAAACCTGACAACACTGACCACTTTCAGACCTTCATCATGAAAGTATCGCCTGGATGAAAGTCAATCTGTTAAACTTGTGCTTCTCAAGAGGGCAACCAAGCTGATGACAGACATCAACAGAAAGAAAGAGGAGAGGAAGAATTTCTGGAGATATTCCTTACAAGTGAAATGCAACCTAATAGATGGAGAGAGTAAGAGTAAAAGAACACCTTACAGATATACCAACTCCAAGAAGGAATGAGACTCTAAGAATAACAGGCTGCAATGAGTACCTGGGTGGCAAGGAAAATTGAAAATAATCCCACCCACTTGTAAGGGGCACAGCGCACAAGGGCCAAGCAAACATACAGTATACTTTGGAAGACGGCTGACATAAGAAAACTGATAGAAGATAAAAGTTTGAAGAGTACAAAGGTGAAAAATGAAAAAAAATAGAAACTTCTTGCTATTGAAACAAGACGAAGGACAGAAATAAGGACCACACCAAGCAAAGAGAAGGTTCTGTTAACTATATTGATCATGTCTATAAGAGCATGACATTCACAATACTGCCACTGGATGACAAGGGCCTCTCAACTTAAACAGTTTAAATATATTAATTGAATTTACCAGTGATTAAAATTGACATGTACATGTCCATTGAACAGATTTTCCTTCTCTCTTCCTTAAGAATATTTCTTAATGTGAAGGGGATAAAACCAAAGAACACACAGCAAAATCCTTACAGCACAGAAAAGAACAAACAAAAACTTAACACACATGTGATGTAATGTTTTGAGGGGCATTTTGTCTCATTATTATATTATGACACCACAGCTTCCCTTTATAATTCACAAATGTTCACCATACTTATGAGAGGATGTTATGTAACAGATCATTCATGAAATGATCCATTGGATTCAGAAGTAGCATGCTCAAAAGATAGCTCTTATTCATCAGTCTCTACTGGTTGGATTGGAATTAAAAATAATGGTTTTTGTGGAGGTTGGAAAATGGGGTAATATATGGAAATCCTTAAAGTGAGGATGAGATTAACCAGATAATTATAAAAAAAAAAAGAAAAGAAACTAAATCCACAGGTGATACCAAGTCAAGATCAAACCAAAGTCACACTAGTGGAAAGTTATTAAGATACCCCCCACACAGAACTTCATCACCTAAATGAAATCTAACCCTTGCAAATTTTCCTAACCCTCTGTAGCAAATAGTATTTGTAGACAGCATGCTCAAATATTTGTCAATGAGAGAAAGCTGAGGAATTACTGGTTCTGAATTGGATAATTATGGCAGATTAGAGGCTACCAATAATTGGATCACTATAAAAATAAAGAAATTATAAAACCCATGAAATGTTTAAGTTTTGGACATTTTTTTGGTGCATGTGATATGTTTCTCAAGCAGTAGATAGATTTGCATCATCAAGAGAGCCCTTCCATCTCCTCAATTAAAAGTTCAACTAAGAAAGGACTGCTTTGATTCAGAGGAAGTATAGATTTTGCATCTTTTTGTAACAAATGACAAATAATTTAATGATACACAAGTCTGGAGATTTTAATCTAAAGATCTCTTTTTTTTCCAACATGGCAGTAACAAGAGGCTTCTAAAAATAGAAATTGGCAACAAAATATGCTACTTTTAGCTAAACACATTTTTTTAAAGAAAAAAAATTTTGAGAACATAATTAGATCATACAGAACTCTAAGTAAACTATTGTGAGCTTGATAGTTGGTGTATTAGCAAGTATACTTTTCCATATGAATTGCTAATTTTGTGAGGGCAACTGCTTAAAATAAATAAAAATGTAAGGATGGATCTATTATCTATTTTTGGTCAAATCAAACTCCTAAATCTGTTTTCCTTGTGACTTGCTCTTGAGTAATAGAAGTCAAGTTTGGCTTTCCATAAAACATTACCCTTTACATTAATGAAAGTGACAAAACGACGTAATTGTGTATCTCACATTTCTAGACGTGGTCATCACACGTATTATACAATGAAACTGCAATGGTTACACTTCAGGAAAGCTTAATGATGAATTATCAGAAGTCACTATTGCGCTCCATAAATCTCTAATAAATTTATATTATTTTACGAACCACGTCAAGAATTTGTTTCATTTGTTTGGCGGTATAGCTAAAAGCGAACTGCGACAGTGTTTCGTACCCCATGTATAGATGTATAAATTCAAGGAAAGCTTCAAGATAGTAAACCACACGTCTAATGACCTTTTATTGTTCTAAACACAATGATTTCCACCTAGGAAAAACAATACTCGCCATGCTTGATGCTTACAGCTGTCGGAAAGAGAGAAACAATTAGAGCTTGTGCCGATTGTTTGTAGAGATTTTCAATAAGAACGTATAAATAATGCACGGCAATGTAAGTGGTCTATGCCTTTTCGACACCGTTGCAAAATTTTAATCTTAATTTAGGCTTAAGACTTTGAGTACCTCTAAATCAATCAGTTTTGGGGCGCAATATCTTGACAATGTCGTGTTACTGTTGTTAAGAAAGAACGTAGTGCGTGGTTTCATTAGTTAATATCGAACGGGGCTAAGGTTTTCCCTTGATTTCCCCGCTAGTCACTTCCGTTTTAAACGAATAGACACACGTTTCATCATTTTCTGTTTATCCCATAATAAAAGATCGCCTTTATTACTTCAATCCCAAAATCCCGAAAGAAAATAACGCATCTAAATTGAGACCTTACCTGTGATTCTTCAGAAACAACGTTGAGCTGCTCTCTTAGTCGAGAATATTTTTCTTCCTCGGCTTTCCTCGCTGCTCTCTCTTTTTTCAGTTCTGGACTCCAAAACATTTTGATACTTCTCATACTGGAGTTTAATTTTGTTTCCTTGGCATCAATTTCCTTCCTCAATCGAGCGTTCTCTTGTTGCAATTCAGCCATTGTTTTTTCGCCCATATCCGCATGAGCCTTCGAGTTCGTGTTGGGTGAAGGCGAGCCACCCAGCGAAGATTCGCTCGAGGAAGGGCTCAGCTTCGGAGAATGGTTCAGTTCGGAGTTAAAAGAATACATCCTGGACTAATCGTTGATATATAAACCCCGTTAACGGTGCAATACTGGTCTGCCACAAAAACCAATCTAAATGATGGATTTACCTCTCTCGATAATATCTGTAGGGCGCGTGAACTCACATGGGTCTTGTTATTCAGACAATGAAGTACCAGTCTTTTCGTCACAGACGAAGCATTTTCTCGCGGCCCCTTACAGTGTTTTTTCAACTAATCCAGGGGGACGAAGCAGCAATTACAGCGAGCAATTGACAAATTAAGCTTAGAATAAAAAGTGTCCCAATATCTGCGCCATCAATAATGTCAATTTCGACGGTTCATTTAACTGCCGTTGTCGGGGGAGACCGCGCCAATTCGATCGCTGAACTTCACTGCCGTTCGAATAAGATGTGAAGTTTTCTTCGTTTCACCAGAGAAGAAAATCTCAGACAAAAATGCCAAGTTCGTAACCCAATAAAACGACTGGAAAGTTTTCGTCACCATAATAAGTGCTCACAGAGTCGCCCACGGATCAATAAGCCCAAACAAATTTTCAGCGGTTAACAGATGCCCATATGTGGAAGTGGTCACGCGAAGATGAGTAACGCATTATTCTCGTTATTTCTGGGTGTCACCGTGTGTTTTACAGTTCTTTAAATTTTTTATCAGACGAATACTAGATAGCCCTAAATGCATTCGCAAATGTTTTAAAATACACTAAATTTCGTTAATTCATTGCTTTTCAGTAACAAGTCATCAAAAGAGCACGAGGCAATTTCTTAAAGACATGCTCCAGCGTGACTTAAGCAAGCAACATCAGATTGGTTGCAATCATAAATTTTTGCCTATTTTTACATAGCTAAGAATAGACTTAGTTACCATGAACAATTAAATGGTTGATAACAATTTGCTTGAGTAAAGCAACAGAATTGAATGGCAGTGCCTTCTCTGTAACACCATCAAAAACTTGCTGTACCTAAACAGCTACGTAGCAGAAAATGTCTCCTTTTCAGCGAATTTGGACTTACGTGAACAAGTGATAGACGCCTTTGAAGGCTATAGTTAGACTCAAACTGTGCTGTCTAGCCGGACTTTGAGGGTCTCCCAATAGACTGGAGTTCTTCAATCCCGCAATTTCGTCTAACTTTGAACTGCTTTCAATGTCCTTCGGTCACCGGACAAAGCGAAATGTTCCGGAGTAGTTTCTTTTAAAGCTATATTGAGCTGGGGAAACGTTTAATTCAAACGACTTGCGTAACATCAAAAGGGCGGCAGCTGTGAGACTCATAGGCATAGGGCATAGGAATCAAGAGAGCATATAAGGAGAGGTTTCGCTCCCTTTTCTCCGCATACACTAAATGGAAGACACTTTCTCACAGCTTGCTCGTGGATGAAGGCACGAGTGCGCTTTGGTTTCCGATCGACTGATGGTGAGATCAGTGTAAGAAATTGCATGAACGCTTGTGGATTCATGATCTATGGACACGAGTGCTGTTTTTCGTCATTGCACGAGACTTCGGCATGGGCCATTTGAAAACTTTTCAGACCTTTACGATCGACCATAAATCAGTCGTAATGCACGCGCGCTTCATGCAATTTTGAAGCTATCATATTCTCAAAAGGTTATCACTCACCAAAGTTCCTTAGTACATTCTTGGCGCACGTTCTTCGAAATACTTTTCAACAGCTTATTAGAAGATGCCTGTCAGTTTTCTTTGAGTAGATCACTTTATGCAACATTTGTGAGACAAACAAGCTCGGTGTTTGTCGAAATATTTCAAAAATCAACTTTTCTTATTTATCTTTAAGAGCTTAAGTTTCACTGAGGAAAGAGCAATATAAACGGAAACCCAGTATTGCGCTCTAAAACCTTTCTAGGTATTCGCCATTGGCCAATCACGAACGTGATATTTTGTTGAGAATATACTGAGATCCAGCTCGTATGAGGCCAAGAGAGATTTGACTCACATTGTAAAAAGAAATTTAATTTTTTTCAAATTTTACAAGTTTTGGACGGATTCACAGCTTGGAATAATTCTTCGGATTCATTTATTTACAATACGCTTCCCATCCAGCGATACAGAACACTCTTTCCTTATTAAAATTAATTTTTTTAAATACTATTTTGCCCGTAAATAAAGAAACGAAAATATTACACATGAAAAGAAAAGATAAATACTCCTGTCGATTCTGAGCTGGCTGGCTTGAAAATTTACAAATTAAGCTTACTCAGGCAATTTTCAAACACTCAAATCGATATCGTTATCCCATTTAACACTGTGAAACTTCGTCAAACTTCACACTTCACGCTCGAGTATTGTTTAACTATGAATTATGAGCATCTGGGCAGTATTGTGTATTTAAAAAAATTCGCAAAATGCACTTCATACTGCTTCTGTGGACTACGAATCTTCATGTATTTTCGTAGTTGTCTTGTACAAGCGTTGCCTTACATTCATTTGTGGAGAGTTTTAAGGTAAAATTATTTGAAAATAGCCATGTACCACAAAATGAACGAAGAAGTCTTTTGACCACTGATATACGTATAACGGCACAATAAAAAAGTTGATGTGAGTTGAGAAACTTGACTTTAACCTCAGAGTTTAGTTGACTGAAACTACTAGTGTTAACAAAGTTTCAAGTTATGCGAGAGTGTCTGAAAACGAAAGCTACCGTTAACTGTGATATTCAAATGTACACGTAGTTAGGCGGAGTTGCGTTCCACTTGTCAAAATAAAATCAATTTCTGCATGTAAAAAGATTTAGACCGTATTTGGAACGCAAAACTATAAATGACGAAACAGAAGATATTTAAGTGAACTTGAAGGTTATTTACAATATTTTCATTACAATAAAAAGACCAACCCTCTCCTTTTTTATTTAAAAAAACATCCAATCGTGTTAATTCCCTTCATTACATTTAGATACTAGCCGGTCACTTCGCGCTTTTAAAGAACTGTTTATATTGTGATATCAAAAGGATCATCGATGGATGAAGACGAGGGGGGGTTAGGGAGAGCAGGCGTGTCTTCTAGTTCAAAGCACGTCAGAGTTTGATAAGCATTTGGTCCGCCAACATCTCTAGGAACTTTCTTTAACCTTTCATGACGCAATCTGCAACGAGAAGGAACATTCAATTCAATTTTTTTCATGGCATTCCCATGTATACCAAGTGGAGCAGTAACATCTGGTCTTGTAATCATTAGGATATTTCAGATAAATTCTCACCTCTTTCCGCATCCTTCCCTCCAAGGTGATTTCTTTAACTCTTCAGCGATAGCATGTTCGTCGATTCTAATAGTTTTCACATACAAATACAAATCACAGAAAAAAATATTAACGACAGAACAGGAGGGCCAAAAATATACCAACTACAGTAAGGTTATGATAAAGGAAGGCTTATTGGGGACCCGTCGTTATTTATCACAGGGGGGGGGAGGGGGTGAGAGGATTTTGGGGGCATTGTATGGTTATCAGGAGGAACGAGGGGATCAGGGGGAGGATCGGGGGGGGGGGGGCCGCTATAGAAAATTGACTGCCAAAGAGGGAGGACCATTATTAGGATTACTTTTGACAATTGATAGTTGTTTTAACAAGTTGGTGATGCACATTATCAGAGGACATTGTTCATAATTGCCGGCAATTTTGTCACTGAGGAAGGTATGGCTGGTTCCCCACACAACACTTATGCCGATTTTTCTCATTCATAATTATACTTTCTTCGCCAAAACAACACCTGTTTAGACGGAACTTAATAAGATTACCAAACCAAGGAAGGTTATTATGGAGCTTACATAAAATTCTTAATTTTTTATTTTCATTTTCAGTCGCCATTTTGGACATGGATCTCTTCAAGCTGTAGTTATGAGCAACATCTACTTACACAAGCGGATCTTTTCCATGAGAACTGGAGAAATACGGGATAGGTTGAGAATCCAACTACAAAGAACAAAACAATGTTTCAATTTGGAATACTCTTCGTATTTAGAGGTGCTGTAAAGCTGTATGTGCATTTTGAGTTTACCATTTACAATGTTCGGTGAATGAATATGAAAAAAACGACCGCAAACAGTGAAGGGCAAAGACAGAGGTCTGAGTATTGCATTGCGGCTGCCTTGTACCCAGACCCCTATCTACCGGGGAGGGTGCGCAAGGAAGGAATGGAACTCTGGGAGAGCTGTCTGGTAGGCTAGATGTTCAAGGTGCTTTACGTCAGGCAAAAAATAAAACAGCACATAAAAAAGGTTACAAAAAGAGTGAAACTTGGTCAAAAATCGCAGCGCGGTAGCCCACTATTTTCCAGGCACTGACCTCGTTTGCTTTGTCGGATTCTTTGGTGTCATTTTGTGACGTAATTTCGTCAGGATCATTTGCTTTAGGGATGTGAGGCACAGTCTGAGGATCCACCAGTACATCATAGGGCGCCATTGGATGTTGGTAAGACACAGGGTTTGTTATGTCCCATATTTTAGGCTGACCAAGAGTACCTAGAGCACAAAGAGTTTAAATATACTGCTGTGATTTTTGTCGACGCCAAGCAAGATATCTATGAAAATTTGTTTGAGAGACGAAAGGATAAAATCAATAAAATCAACACTAAACAACTAGCAATTTGAAAAACAAAGTGTGAACCGCCGACACTTGAATGGAAGACGGATCGACAAGAAGAGTATTTATCACCCTACGCTCTTGACTTCAATGAATCAAATTGCTCTTACTGCGACGAAGGTAGAAGAGCCAGTTTTGAATACAACTGGAAGAAAATCCCTGCGTCTGTCATCTTTAAGGTGACAGATTCTGCAGAGACGCTGAAGAACTAGTTTCTAAACTACAGGGGGGTACAAGGTACTACAGGGGGGTACAAGGTATGCTGTGAAGACAAGAATCTTCTTCATTACAATAGAACGAAACAAAACATACCAATGAAATGTCCGTCCATGGTCCACAGTCTGACTGTACAGTCCAAAGACGCAGTCATCAACACGTCAATATTCCATATTTCCAGCGGTTCAAGGCTGAAAATTTACAAATAAAACATGTCCATGATGCTGCATTTTAACAGGCAAGTTTTCCTTACCAAGTTCGCATGTCGAGGAATAATTATTCGCTATAAGAAGAAAAATGTCAACTGAAGCATATTGTTAATCAACAACAAATTCCCAGAGCTAAAATTGTGCAGCAGTGAGGAGAGTTGATACCTGGACAATAAATGTGATCAGGTTAAATTGGAGCTTGTCAGTTGTTGGATAACAGAACTTGCAACGGAGAGACTCGTCAACTATTCAGTCCATCTGCGTTCCCAAGGGGAAAGTATAATTGATAATTTGGTTGTTCACAGATGCCTTAACCATGGAATTGCTTCCCGTTTCTAAGACTCATGGTTCCTTCACAGTTGAAAGAGAATTGAAAAAGAAAAAAGAAGAGAGAATTGCTTACCTGGTGATGCTCTGCACATGTGCACGCCAAAAGAATAGACCTACAGAAACAGAGACAACATAACTCTTAACTTAAAAGAACCATGCAATTTTGATAACTATACGAAGGGGTAGGTTCACACACTCTCTAACGATTAGTAACACTCCATAGTTAAAACACGTTATTTCCTAAAGAATTTCAAAGTTATTTTACATACGAGCGCTTGCATAATTTTAGCCCCATAATTCAATGACGAATTCTTATTCTGAGGTGGCCTACCTAACAAAAAAGGAACCTTCGTTTCTGCACGATAAAAAGTACGTAATTAGGGTTATGATTCCCCATGCAGGCACACTCAAACTACACAAACTATCAGTTGCGACAGAAGGTCCTAGCTTGCAACTACTCGGAGAAAATCATTAAGTTCCACTCACGTTCCGGGGGTTTAGTGGTTTTTCCTCTCATACCGTAATCCTCGACATCCCAGACCGAGATGAAACCTGAAGAAATGAAAAGCCAAGAACATTTTGAGGATTAACAAGCCTTGAAACTCTTGGGCGACAGTATAGCCGCTGTTGGTTCTTTGCTACCAAAACAATGAAAGGAAAACTTATTCATCTTTAGTGGTAAGGAAAAGCATTTTGTACCTCCAGGATACCGTAATTGTCCACTGCCGTTTTGTTCCCCCCACCCACCCCCTCAAGTTCAAGATGTATCTCACAACCGAGCGGGGTGAATAGGTAAGAGGTGTGATAAATACGGAATACACGCACGGACGTGTTGCAATATTCTCCATACACATCGAAAGTCAAAAAATGGAATCAAACTACCATGACAAAACAAAGTCCACCATTACCGAAGCAACAACAAGAAGAACGACAAACCAAACAATCCACCAACCTGCTGAATCAGCGGTAATGAGTTTGGTATCGTTTGAAACCGACGTCAAGGTGGTGACACCATACTTGGACTGTGAACAAAAAAGAAGCACGATGAGCCTTTGTAATGTGCATGTCTAAAGATGAGATTAGGTGGTCCATGCCGACGGAACTAATCACGATTTGCGTATCATGAAACATGATACCACTCCTCTACATAACGTCAGATTTCCCTTCTAATCTTTCCATACCCTCATTATTAGCGGGAAGACTTGAGACGACTTAGTGAGAGGTTTGCCGGGGGTCTGGCACCAATAATCAGTACTAGACCCCTTGCAGACCCTTTGGCCGACTTGCATTGCACATTCACACGCTGGTGCCGAACGCTAAAAAATCGCTCACCGGAGAAAACGTAGCATAAAGAGTGCCACCAGTGTAAATATTCCAAAAGTGAATCAGCCCTAAGGAACAATAGCCACAATGTTAGTAGAGCATAAAACAAGAGCATTTCAGGGGGCACTTTTAATATCGGTAGCCTACAATTTGCGGAAAAGTTGATGTACACAGCATCTCTTTCATAATTAGGGATACCGCAAATGTACTTGACGGTGCGACACCACGAAGAATAAAAACAAACTAACGAACAAGAGAACACATCATTCAAGACAATCACTTATTTTTCAGTTTTGCACGTCCTCTTCTGCTTGGCAAAGTATAAAGCCGACAATAAGCGCCTAGAGTAAACGTTCGTGGTAAACTGGACAAAAAGCCAGAACTCTGAAAAAGATGCCCCGTTTGGTCTAACGTCAAAAGGACGTGTAACCTTTATTAACATCTACGGGCTCAGCGAAATCACATTGTAACGGAGGATATCACCTTGGTCCTAACGATGAATGGGACAGATTCGTTCGATAACATATAGTAGTACCTTGTGGTCCACTGGCCACCAGAGTGGCAGCGTCTTTCTTCATTGCTCTAGCTTTCAAGAATATTATCTTACCAACAGCATTTCCTCCATCCACTGAGAAACAAAATAAGAGCATGAAATATGACCATTCAATTAATTCCGATAACCCTTGAAAGGTCAAGAGATTAGAGCAACTGTAATTGTCTATTCGTGAATTTTTTTTATCGAGTCTCAAAACTAACCCGACGCAATTTTAGTGTTTCTTTACTTTACACCACGATTAGTTTAAAAGCTCGCACCATCCTCAGTCAGAAATCGAATCAAAATCTAAAAATGATGACGATTTGTCGCTCGCTTTTCCTTCACTTATGTCCAGAAATGCACACAGTAACGAAAATGGCAGATTTTACGAAACGGAAGATTTTTTTTTCGTCGAATCGAGTGAATGTTCATGGATTTGACGATTTTTCGTCAAATTTGTGACAGCGAAAACAGCTTGACGGAATTGATAATTCTGACGATTTTGACAAATTTTAGCAAAATTCGTCAAGGCGAAATCAGCTGGGCGGATTTGACGATTTTAACGAATTTTCGCCATTTTGGTTACTGCATGCATTTCTGGACTCTTTGCTTTATGCAGTTTGCGTTTTTTTATTTCGAGCTCTTATCGGCTCCTTGTGATATTTTCCTATGTTCTGATTGGTTGCTGGGATAATTTCGTTTGGTTTTACGTTATCTAACTGGGGTTTCAATAAAAGTCTATCATTAGCGGTCTGCCGCTTATGGACACTGAAGTTATTTAAACACCTGCTCAGCGAAAATGCACTCTGTGCACGTAGAGTGGCACTGATGCCATTTATAAAAACCTGACATTAAGGAAGCAAACCCTTAAGTAAGTTCAATAGTCCATTTTACAGTTGCGTGCTTGGCTGCCAAGCCTTTGAACAGGAGTGAGGGTAAGGGTGTCCTTGTTATGATATAAACCTTGCTGCTTTTCAGATGTAGAATACTTTGTTATCATGCTTACTAGATACTGGTCTCTATCACCAGAAGGTCACCCTCAACCTCACTCCAAATCATAGGCTTGGCAACTAAGTACATAGCTGTACAGTGGCCTATTCAAGACTCTTTGGAAATCGTAGGAAATGTATGCTGCGTCCAGGTGAAAAAATTGTGTCTCGCCCGTTATGCTTGAAGTCGCCATAACCGATGGCTTTCTTTGCGTACTTACAGTCTTGAGAAGACAAATTCTCCCCGTTCTCTTTGGTCGCAAAGGGTGAAAATATGTGGCAAAATATATGCCCCGAAATCTGATTCCAGATGATGATCTATACGAAAAGAAAGATGGTACATGTACTTATGTGGTTATCATGACGGCAAAAACAAGAGCGACCAAAAAGTGTTTCATGAAATTTAAAAGTGATTTCAATATCTATGGTAAAGAATTTTGAGACTGCGTGCTACAGACCAAAGTTCCGAGCATAATATTCCAGTTGATGAAACTGTTTTTGTACTTAGTCGACTATGGAGGCCATGAGCTATTGTACACGGAACGAGGACAACATAGCCAACAATTCTTGAGCTATCAATTGTGCCATTGAGGATTACTGTCTTTGTCTATTTTCTTTTTACGTGTTAAGGTTAAAACATGTTAAAGACTGTGAAAGCTGTTCCAAAGAACATGAGCTGATACGAACTCCAGTCCAGGTTGTTCGAAGGGTGCCAAGTTAATGTTATTCTTTGGATTCCGTTGGACAGTGCCATATTTTTAATAAACAGTTCTCCGCCGGATAGCAATTTATCTGATGGATAGCGTTATCCACCCTTAAAACAGATTGGCCATAATTTGCTATGAAACTGAATTAAGTGGTTGTACCTCGCCGTCATAACTAGAAGTTGCCAGAAGGTTTGGTGGACTAACTGCTATCGACAGTATATCTTCTTTGTGGCCGTTGACCTAAATACACAGATAAACAAAGGAAAGGTGTAAAACGCAACGTTTGCGACTATTATAATTGTTGGAGACAATTTTAAAGAGAAAATATGCTCCACTATCGAAAAGGATATAAACCATTTTACTTTTATTTTTTTTAACAACGTTTCGAAAGTGCAATAAAATGAATTAAATGTTCGACAATAAGACACCGCCGTTGGAACATCCTACTAGCCGCACATCTAAAAACCTCAACGCGCTATTCACAAACAGCTGCTGCTGCGGGTGGCGTGAAAAAATGTTTAAGTTTGAATCAAGGGTTCCTCCTTGTTTAGCTCCTTGTCGTTCAAAGACATTGACCAGAACTGAAAAAGGACGTGAGAATCTTTAACGAAATTGGTGAGCGGCCAGTTTACCAAGCAAGAATCAATAGGGTAGCATCCGAAGTCGAACTTAACACATTTGAAAGTAATATACGAAAGGTCAGGTTTCGTGTTCTGGTGTGTTGTATGGTGTAAATAAACTTACGAGGTCGTCTTTCCAGTAGGCATATGGATGCTGCACGTGATGAAAATCTTCATTATCATCCTGTTGGAAGATGTCAGAACAACATTATCAACGCAGAATTATATAATAAGCTGCATTATATACGTAATTCGATTGGGTCATATTTACGATCTACTGAAAGACAGACGCAAAGATGCCGTAACCATTGTTAACTTTGCTTCTCTATCATATAAAACAAAAAGATTTCATGTTGCTATGCGGCATGCGTCTGTTCTGAAATAAATCAGATAAGACGTCAAAACGAGGAAAGAACATCAATAAAACACTAGGCTGCGCCTCATGATATGTGCCCTTTTTGGTTCTTATTTCGACTGCGCCTCATGATATATGCCCTTTTTGGTTCTTATTTCGGCTGCGCTTCATGATATGTGCCCCTTTCTTGTTCTTATTTCGGCTGCGCCTCATGATATGTGCCCTTTTTGTTTCTTATTTTAGCTGCGCCTCATGATATGTACCCTTTTTTGTTCTTATTTCGGCTGCACCTCATGATATGTGCCCCTTTCTTGTTCTTATTTCGGCTGCGCCTCATGTTATGTGCCCTTTTTGGTTCTTATTTCGGCTGCGCCTCATGATATATGCCCTTTTTGGTTCTTATTTCAGCTGCGCCTCATGATATGTACCTTTTTTTTGTTCTTATTTCGGCTGCACCTCAAGATATGTGCCCTTTTTTGTTCTTATTTCGGCTGCACCTCATAATATGCGTCTTTTTTTCGTTCTTATTACATCCCAACGTCATCTGTGATCTATTGTTACGGACGCACGGCGACATGGGATGTATGTGTTTAACAGAGTGAATACAAAGCTCATCACAGATTGAAGCTCATTATTGGCCTCCACAGTTTTTGGTGCCGCGAGCGCTGTGGGTAGAACAACCAGCTACAGAAGCTAATGCATCGTATTTAATTTCCAAAAGTCACTTACGGAAAAAAGATTTATTCTTCTGTCCCAGCCGACAGAGATGATATATCTGTAATAAAAAAGACAAAGGTAGTACGTATTGGTGTCGATGGTTAAATTTTAAAGGGAAATGTCCAAGCTCATAAGGAAAGTCGTGTAATTTTTTGTGAAGCGTTGTAAACAATCTCTCCAACACAAAAACGAAAAAACATAAAATGAGAAAAAACACAAAACAAAACAAGAATGTTTTACTGTACCTGTTTTTATTCAGTACTAAGTAAGTCAAATCTGCCACTTCGTCCACGTCACTCTCTGGCACCAAACGAGAAAAAAAAATTGTTATGAATGAAGGTTTTTACCAAAGGCAACACGTTAGTAACACATACATGTACAAGCATGGCTCAGTTCCACGATAGTTTCTACTACGTTGATACCAGCTACTGGCCAACAGCCACACATGCACGATATTGAGGCGGGTAAACAAATTGTCAGTTAACAAGCTGTAGCACCGAGTAGCGAAGAACAATAAAGCAGTTTTTCAACTAAGTGCGGGAAAGTGATCCATAATTCCAATAGTCGTGCTTTATGCCGCTCTCTGATTGGTCAAGAAAACTCACACCACCCTCTTAATCGATCAGATGCAAAACTGAAACCAATCACGACTTAGCAGGGCGTGAAATTAACTGTTTTTTTCTGATAGCCACTTGGCTCTTAAATTCTTCAAAGTGGTAGCCAATTCAAAAAAAGTTGGTCGCCATTTTCAAAAGCAAACAAAATCTTTCTTTACGCTGTCAGCGTTCTAGATAGACCCTCCAAAATTAAGTTAGGGAAAAGATCTTTAACATGCTACAAAGTGGACACTAGGATGGATGATATACAACTTTCTGCAGGCTCATCTAAATCCAAGATGGCGTCTAGTTATCGATCGAGATGCATGTGCTACGTTTTGGAAACAAACTTAACGAGGAAGTTTGCCGCGGATTTATCTTTGCAAATCTTTTTAATTCACTATATCACTTGGTAAGGTTATGATGAAACGTTCTAGTCGCCAATTTGGCGACTGACTTTCAGGATTTGGTTGCCAAAGTGAAAAATTTAGTCGCATTGGCGCCTGTATTAGGCGCAATTTCACGCCCTGCTTAGTCACTAATGCCTCAGGCAGCTTCTTGATTTTCCTTTACTTTCTCATAGTTTCTTTGCAATTGTGTCACAACCTCCCACCCTCACACCTTCAGAAGTTAGGTAAGAGTGGCGATGAGCTCGGAGCAAGACAGTGCGATTCAATGCAAGTTGACTAACAGAAGCCTAACCTTTTTCTAGTGTTCTTAGACAGTGGCCATTGTTGTAGTTCCATATTCTAAGCCGGCCGTCCCTTCCGCCAGTTATTAACCTGTGCAATGATAAGGAAAGGATGGTTTTAAACCTCAAGAATTCTGTTGAGTACCCTAACATTTCACGACCAAAGAAGTGATGCCCCCCAAACCAGGGGTCAATAATTTTTGTAGTAAATTAACACTATAGATGGACACTAAACATTTGTCACAAGTAAAGGACAAGAAGTTTCGAGGCCCAAACAGAGGGATATATCTTTTATCTGATGAATTCTAACTTCTTTGTTTGTTTCTCCCCTACTGCCTGGGTGTATCATGGGTTTCAATAACTTTTTCCATAAGCGGCTGTGCCCTAAAGCAAAATTCAAACGCGAGAGCCTGCTCGCGACTAAAGAGACGGCGGTGAGAGGTCTTTCAGGCGATGTTAGACTGCCTTTATTAAAACCCATGAGAGCGCACTTTTGACGTTTAAGTGTTCATTTGCAGTGTGGATGAGTGATACTAAAACCCTACCCGTAATACACGTGCAAGGTTTACACAAGAGTAAGTTTCGATTGCAAGAGGAAAACGAGGTTTAAAAACTGTTGAGTACCTTACCACGATGGGAAGATGTTGTTTGTCAAAAAGTATTTTCTAACCTTCTTTCTGTAGAGTCAAAGCTCATGCATGTGACAGCTTGATCTCCATGCGCTTGTGAAAACTCAAACACTGACCGACCCGTCTCCAAATCCCAAACTTTAACCACCTGAGGAGAGAAAATGTGAGTCAAGGGACGCAGGTTAGGGGACTGGCTCCGCGAGCGGGTAACATGAAGCAAAACCTGTGTTTTGTTTTGGTCATTCGAGTGGGCCTGACAGGCGAAATACCCGCTTTGATCTCACAGATTAAAGGAGATCCTTGCAGCCAGTTCGGTATACATACTTCGTAACTTGTGAGGAACTTTTTCTGCTAAAAGAATCTTTCTAGGCAGCTTTTACCGCAGCGGGCATCAAGAACCAAGTTTTGAGGATGATGAAGAATCAGACAAACTTAAAAATAGGAAAAAGAGAGAAATAAAAAACCGCCGACGGGTTTCCTATTTTTTTGCCATTCTTTGGTATAGTCGTGAACCGTTGCATCATTTTTAGAAAAGAGAATTAATGTTGAGGAAGTTAATTCGTTTCAACTTACGGAATTTTCCGAGGCTGTGACGACATGTTTAAAGCTTTTGTTGTACTTCAGACACATCACTGGCTCCTTGTGAGTTGTTATCATGTCTTTTGAAGAACTTCTGCAATTCGAATTGAAAACATCTACCAGTTCAATGCAAGGTATATGCTGAAAGCCAAAAACGTTGCTACTAGACAAAGAATAGTGACTAATACAGCAAAGAAAACAACAAAAAGAAGACATTGTTCGTAGGTAATTTTGTACTTCCAGCTAGAATGTCTGACTTGTAAACAGTACAAACTTGCTATGTGTCGTGTCACGACCACGAAACATGATCAACAACCACGAATCTGGTAAGCTCTAAATTTTCTTCAAGTTAAGAATGCTTTCATACTTCAAGTATCAGTCTTACTGTTTAATATGTCACTATTAACACAAGTTAGGGTGAAAGTGAAATTAGCTTGTAGGTCAAAACGCCGATCACGCCTGGAATTATTGTTAGAGACCCTCTGCAAACAACCATGGCGACTGCAACGACAACGAAGTGATACAAAAGATTCAATGAGCGGAGCTAGGTTGTAACCCCAGATAACACTATCCAATGGATAAATCGCTATCCAGCGGAAGAGTGATAAAAAGTGCTCCGTTATCCACTGGATAGAGATTCATCCTGTGGATAGCATTATCCAACCTTTGAACAGCCCAGGCCTGAACAATAGACTTGTGCGTGCGTTTGAAAAGTTTGTCCTCTGTTAAACAGCAACATGAAATCACCGATTTTTGCGAGGTCCGAGAACGAGAACCCCGCGAGTAAATTATTTATATTTCTACTTGGTACTCAACGGTGCCCTCAAATTGTTAAACTGAAGACAAGGTCTGACGCTCTTTAAGATGATACAGTTATGGAGTCACGCGTGAAATTCTAAACAAAGATACCAGCTCATTTATTGAATCAAAGTTTTCGTCGGAGTCGTCGTCAAGAATGCGTAAGGCCTCTACTATCCCAGTTTCCATCGCACGAAGCGACAAGAAGTATTGCTAATCCCCCCGGGATAGAATGCCAGTTAATTGCAGGTTACCACCCACCTCTTCCCCCCCCCCCCCAAAGGAAAAAAAAAGACCTTTGCATTAGCTTTTGCTGACAGTTTGCCGGTACATCATGTTTTCTTTTATTTTGATTGAGTACCAGCAAACTTTCAGTAAAAGTTAACTAAAATAATTCTGTACGAAGAGAAATCACTGAGAGAATATAGTCCAACAACGCAAAAGAACCAACAAAGGCCCGAACCAGGACAACTCGATTTGGGGATTAACCTACAGAGAAATGTTAAACTAACCTGTTCTTCAGAGGCAAAAGAGCTATTTGCTCAGATGTGGCAACAGCAAGACCTCTACTGGCGGAGTTGTAATGAATGGCTGACAATTCACAAAAAGAACAGTTTTAGTTACAAGGTCAAGAGCAAGTAAAGAACCAGTCATTATTTTATATTTTCTAAATCAGTATACTTCTCGGCCCCAGTACCTACCCGCTAGATCTCCTCTAATCTTGTGTGCTTTGGGTCGTACAGTCAGCAGACAAGTGTGATCATGAAGATCCCACACCTGATCATTTAATTGGATCGCAACGTTAGCAATAAATACACAACAATGGATTGTCATCATTGAAACTTCGCTTGGTGGAAAGTATAATAACAGAAAATGGAGCACATTTCGATTTAGAGTCTAAATAAAAAACTGGCTCATCAGAACAAAGCAAAGCATTTTCTAGGGAACTTGAGAGAGACTTAGGTAAAAAAAAAAAACAAGCGAACTGCTTGAAAGGCACGACAACGCGAGTGACCAAGTCACCACTGGTTTTGGTATAGAAACTGATTGGTTGAGAGAATGATTCAAGATTTCCGTTCCGAACAAAAAGCATAATAACACAAAACTAAAGCAACCCAGGTTACTAGACACTCCACTGAGTGTCGACAGTAATCCGGGACTTGTTCTGCAAAACTTCACTCGGTGATTGGTCCAGAAAACTCGCGCCACCCTCTTAACAAATCAGATTCAAAACTTAAACCAATCAGATTCAAAACTTAAACCAATCAGATTCAAAACTTAACCCAGCCCTGATTTAGTCATTCGCGCTTTCTCGCCTTTCCCGCCTCTTTTCCCGCTGTTTTAACTTGGAGTTCTAATTGGCTGATGATGATGTCAACCTTCATTCCAATAGGCTGCTGGGATTACTTGGTTTTTTGTCTTTCGAAACTGAAGTGAAAACTGCTCCAATGTTGAGACGTGATGATCACACAAAGTAAGTGGAAAACTTGTTTAATAAGGTCGGGACACCATGCTTTGTCGCCATACCTTGACAGTTTTGTCCGTAGATATACTGAATATTCTGTCATCTTCTGGGCAAATAAACAAATGAAAAATCGGCGCCGTATGTCCCCTTAAAAGACCCGTCGGTTTACTAATAAAAACAAGAAACAAAATAACATCCTTAATCACGACTTAATCAGCAACTAACAAGCTGCAACTCAAAGGATTGATAGAAATTGATGAGGGTGTGTGGCAGGGGAAGGCTCTCAAACATTTGGGTTAGAGTTGGAAGAAAAAGTTTACTTTTGCAATTACAAGGGTCTCAATAACTTTTTCCATAAGCTGCTACGGATGGTGTTATAGGCGGCTGTGCCTGATAAGGGGCCGTAAGACGAAACCAAAACATGAAAGCCAGCTCGCAGGATAAACAGACCGCGGTGAGAGGTCTTATAATCGGTAGGAGACCGCCCGTCGGTAAACGGCTTTTACTGAAACCCTTGAATTAATCGAGTTTGAAATACGCAAAATTTGGAGCTGCTCGCGGGTTAAAACTAACTGAAATATTCTGGGTGGCCAGGTGCTAATGAGCACAAACATTCTTTGTAAAATTTCTTCTTTTTACCATCGTGTGGCTGAGAGAAGTTTAGATGTATCGAACTGACCATTAGAGAGAAATATAAATATGTCCTAATATTTCGATGATTCAGTACCAACATTTTTGTAGCTTGATAGGAAAACGAAGAGCTCATGTTAATAAGCAAAAATATGCAAACAAACATCCTCCTATGGAAGGTAGGTTTCTTGGCTAAAGATCCTATTTGAACATAGAGCGTTGAATACAAATTATCAATCTTAAATGAGAATGGTAAATACCTTGGAACGTAAGGGTTCCACATTCGCACAAGTCTGTCCATTCCTTCAGGGAGAGAAAAATCGATTTTAGTGAGTAAGAGATATTATAAGTACATGCTCCAATAGCTTTAAGATCATAATTCAACAGTTTAAAACTTCGTTTGAAAACTTTTAACTACAAAGTGCCTTACCACAAGCTTTACGTCTTGTAAACTAAATATATATGCGTGGCAAATATGGCAAAACATCCCTTAAGGACTCTCGAACGATTTAAATCATTGGTGTTAGGGGGTTTAATCACTTGAGTTAAGTCAAATCAGTTTAAATCAGCACGCCTTACGTTAAATCGCTGTGTTCTCTTCACAGTGCGTCTCTCCTCCTGGGGTATGTTCCAACACTTATAAGTAGACCATTAGGGTTGTACAAGACACAGAGCAATTTCTAATTGATTGTCGTAAAACAAAACCAAGTAATCACTGCAGCCTGTCATAACAAATGTTTGCGCCATAAGCAACCAATGAAGACTCAAGATAAAAACAGACAAACTACCAAAAGCGCGGGAAAACACGGGTGACCAGGTCACCTTTAGTTTTCGTTTGGCGTCTGATTGGTTAAGAGCATGGCACGAGTTTTCTAGACCAATCACAGATCGAAATAAAGCAGAACCAAAGTAATCCCGGGTTACCTCCGACACTCAATTGATATTACACCCAGAAAAGGCACAGACAGTATCACAGACATAATACAACATCAGAAAAGGGTTTAAATTACGCCCTACCTCCAGTCACAATAACATTTTTCTCTTTGCAGAAGTCAAATGTTTTGACTCCTTTGTACACTTTGAACACTGTCTGGTCACTGTCTGCCCGTCTCCTTGGCTGCATGTCACGGGAAGTGAAAGTTTGAATTTTCTTTGAAGCACCAGTGGAATCTTTTAATTGTGATTCTACATGAGTGCTCCCCATTGTTTGACCTGAAAACAAAGAAAATCTTCTTTCACTCAAAGACCGAGCTCACAAGTTACCATCTTTCTTTCAAAATTTGCTCCTAAAGTTAAGCCAGAACGCAGCACGAAGTCGTTATATTATCATGGCTGTGATTATTTAACAAAAGTAATTTGTGACTACTTTAATTTCTAATGCCATTTCATTTTTCAACCACAGACTATCTTTTAGGTAAAGTTTGCTTTCTATGCGTTAGTAAACAGTAAAAACACCAGTAGAGTGTGGGGAATATAGTTGCATTGTGAAATCAAAATATGTCCAGGATTCAACTTCAAAAATAACCAACCCTGCCTCAGTCGAGTCTCAGTTTCTCTCTCTCTAGTGTGGCTTTTGAGTCACTTCAAAAAGATCTACAGCGATTTAGTTGGGTTCCTCAGTTCCTCTTCCCATACAGTTTAGGACCTCGCCTCACAAATGAGTTCCCAGTGGCTACACTAGCCTAACACGTGACCGCAAAATCGGAATCGGAATTGGAAAAATCGGAATCGACTCCTCACCGGGGCGCGGGGAGGAGGGTAATCTCAGATTTTCAGCCTCAGATTTTATGTATTGTCAAACGTGTGACAGAACTGCTAGGTAACTCACCAATAACCAAAGCTGTTTCTGGGTGATTTGAACAAGATATAACGGCTCTCAAAGAGTCATAATACTTCAGCTGGGAAACCCAGTCTTCGTGCACTTTCCACCTAAAACAGAAACATAAGAAATCCAACAAATTGGTTTGGTCCCAAACATGCAAGCACGAAATGCCAGAAATACCATACAAAACGCCAGTCTTCCATACAAAAAAACTATCAGTTGTAAACAATAAGGGATTGAGTTTGTTGCAGTTAAGGTAAATTACATGTATGTTTGCGAAATCCGACAATACCAAATGTATATTTCCTCTTAACAAAGCTTTTATGAAGATTGCGAAACAATGTCCTTCATTCAAACAGTACTGCAATATCTATCAATAAAACAGCAGATAACTCTACCTGATACAGGTGAACCTGGCATTTTCCGAATTCACAACACTGAAGCAAGAAAGAAAACCAAGATTAAACACCAGAAACTAGGAACAAACTACACAAAGTAGCCGTCAGTGTTGAATTAGTGACATCATATTTTCTTTTCAGTTTGAGACAGCTCTTCAGTACGGGGGTAATTTAAACAAAATTAAGCACTTTTGCTACAAGAAACGAATCACAATGCCAAACAAAGTTATCTGGTTGTGCCAAAGAGTGAGTCAGTTTAAGGCAAGCAAAACTGGCCAAGAATTTAGATGGTTCTAGTTTCCTATAATTAGGCTCCTTTTGTTCGAAAGGTGGATAACGCTATCCACTGGATAAATCTCTACCCGCTGAATAGCGATTTATCCGGTGGATAGCGTTATCCGCACTTTGAACAAACAAATCTGACCCAGATTGGTCAGTTTTGTTGGAGTTACTGGCTCCATGAAAAGCTAGATAGTGAAACTATTAGCTATTGGAAATAATTTTGAATGAAGTCAAAGATTTTTCAAAGATTTTTGTCAGGATCCTCTATAAGATCTTCAAAGTTCCTCATGAAGATCTCTAAAGATCATCAAGGATCCTTCTAAGATTTTCACCGGGGGTAAGCTCATGATCCGTCCACACAGTAGTAAAACTATAATTATTTTAGACTAGCAAAATAGTAATTGAAATGGACAAACGTAACACTTATTCAAATATCATCTTGATAATTTAAAAAATATATATATTAAAGCGTCGATCAATTCTAGGCTTCAACATCCCCCCCCCCTCCAGGCAACCCACAGGCATTTCACTGTTGCCTGTGCACAAGGGGTGAGGAATTTTAAGCTTACCTAGCTGGGGTAGGGAATTTGAACTGGAAGTGTCAAGTATTTTCAGTGGAATACAAGTGTTAGATCTTTAAATATTGAGGTTTTTAAGGCAAATAGTTTACTTATGCGAGCAAACGACCAAGAAAAAAGGTCTACAAGGTCTAGGTTTTAACACTAGATCAATGAGTAGAAAGTCATGAATGCTGATTTCACCTTTTCCAAAAAAAATTGGGTGGGGCATTTCAATAAAATTTTTGCCCCAGTGGATAAGGGGGCGGAAATTTGAACTAACCAATCTTAGAAAGTTCAAATGTCTGAGGAGTTGGCCAGGGGCAGGATGTTGAAACTTTGAATTGACGGATGCATAACCTCACTTACTTACTTAAACATGTACACAATGTATACAATTGTGTCACCAGCATGGAACACAATAGGATAAGAGTCCTCATGAAAAATCCAAACTTCAAACCTTCATATTTCACACTCTGATGCTCTACCACAGAGCTTACAGAAACTTTATGGTGTGCTCAGAACCATTACTATATAAGTGTATGTGACTGCAACTGTGACAACTGTCCTGAAAGCATTATTTGATTAAACAGAATGAAATGCAATTTAACAAACTTGATGTGCGATTATTTCACGTACCTATCTATATTTACACTAGCTATCCCTTCAACTTTTGGCATTTTCTTCCAATTTCTGTAGAAATTAATGAAGAAAAATGTTAAATTTGTTAAATTTAACAATCCTCAGGTTAGTAGGTAACACTCAAAACCATCGCAATAACTAATTAAAAATAAATACCTTACAATAAAATAAGTTCTTTGTTTTATATTTTATGTAATGTTCAAATATTGTGTATCTTCTTGAACAAAAGACAAATTCAAAACACACCATGCACCTCTACACATACTTAAAAATTCATCACAAAGCCAAGAAACCTTACATTGTGATACAATCATGTAGCAGACAATTTTTTTAAAACATGCTGTCTGTCATTTAATAGAAGCAAGAAACTTATTTGCATTAATTGAATTAAAAAATACATTTTAAAATTTTTTTGCCAATCTACTTCCAAAACTGACAATCTGAATCCTTAATTTGATAATTATTTAAAAAAAAGAAAACTCTTCTTCAACAGAGAGTGTTTCTTTCATCTCTGAAATTTATGTCTTTCACCCCTAAGAGTGACTGGCATCTAATTTATCCCCTGAATCACAGAATAAAGGAAATGAACAAAAACAAAAGAAGTTCTTGATTGTTGACAAATTCTCATTGTTGGCAACTTAGGAAATGTGCAGATAACAGTATATAGAGAATATCCATTTGGATCTCATGGTGTTGAGGCTTTAAGTCTGAATAGCAAACAATACTCAAATGTGATACCTTAATGTTTCCCCTACAGAGGTCATGATGAAGATATTTACACATCCCTAAAAGGATAAAAATCACCATTCATCACTCATCTACATCATCAGTAACAACCATCATGATCATTTGGACTGTTTTAGCTTTTCATGCATCTATGATGAAATTACCTGGCTGTCTCCATAAAGAATAATACATTCATCTTGTCCTGTTGAACTACATGTAGTGAAAGAGAAAAAATGACCATAAAAACTACTCTAAACAGCTTTTCTAACCTTGCACATATGTTTAATATTCTACTGAATGTACTATATCAACTGACTAAATTGTTCTGTTTTTGTTTTCAAGAGGAACACAATCATAGCTACATGTATCAAATTATTATGAGCCCATATGGAACATGTTTTTTTGGCAAGCAGAAGCAAGTGTGAGGCATGTGTGTGAAAAAACATCAGAAGCAAAACAAGTCTTTGCTTGCCATTCATGTTCTCCACACACTCTTTTTGCAGTTGCTTCCCTTTGCCTAAAAGAGGCAAAATATGCCCTGTTCAGAATGCTTTATAACTGAAAAGCTAATTGTTAAAAGAATGGGACAGCTCTCCTTTGATTCATTATGCCCAGCAGAGTCTAATGGTCATACAAGACACCAAAACAGGTGACGATGAAAGAAGTTGTTTTTACTTACCAATAATCAAGTCTAAGAGGAGTAGTCTCCAGACCAGTAATTTGACAATAAGGCTCAAATGTTGATAATTCAAAAAATTGAATTTCCCTATCCCTACAGAGAGAGAATTATGTCACTCAAAAGTTATTCTAAAACAAACATACATGTAATTACATAGTGCCATAATTTTTGTTAAAATTTTGAAAATCCCAAGGAAAAAAAATTCCTCACTTGCAAATACAGAGTCCTCATGCAGTTAAGATTCAGAAAAAAATCAATCTCATATAAAAATTTGAACAAATACAGTCTGAAGGTTTAACTGTGTACATTCATGTTCCTCTACATTTCTTTCATAAAACAAAATAAATAAAACAAAACTTACCCTGTTGAAATAATAAATTTGTTAAATTGAGGCATAAGAACAAAATCTGTAATCCACTTTGTCTTCTTTGTTGAGCTTTCAAACTAAAAATGGCCAGCACAAAATGGGATAAATTCACCTAAATAGAACTCTAACTTATCATTTTACAACTTTATTGATGAATTGTACCATTAAGTTAGTTTAAATTAATTATCCTTCTTATAAACAATCTTTCTCATACTTCATCAGTCCTTAAAATACAATTTACACTAACCAATGGCACACTGGAATTCACTAGAGTTTATTAGCCAGATGCCTAACTGTGCCAATCACCCTATTTACCCCACCCGCTTCATCCCCATGGAAAACATTTTTTTTAGAATTAAAGATTTGGAAAAAAAACCTCAAATGAGAATTAATACAAGAAGAAATATCGCTGATTTGCATGCATTATTTGTCATGATCAATATTTTTCCCTCTTTGCTTAAAATGTAAAACCTAGCCTGGATACTTTTCAGAGTCTGTACTTATTTCTCAGAGTCTGCAATAATGAGAGGTTCCTTGAACCACAGACCCTAGACAACATGGTACAAGGACTACTCACATGAACTGCATGTTTCATTCTTTTAAATTCCAAATTTTGAGACCAAAATGAAACAAGGCCATCCTGTAAAGACAAAACAAGACAATTTCATTACATTACTGTACTTCAAAACCACTACTTGCAGTTAAATAATTAAGTGAGAAAGTACTCAGAGATCAAAATTACTTACAATAAAGGCAAATAATGTATATGATAACAACCAAGACTCAATAAATTCTCCTTGGATTAAATGGCATGTCTTATTCAATGAGTTTTGTAAAACCAAATCATGAGCTTCTTTAACTAGTTGGTGGTCGTTTCCTTTATTCCCAAGACCTAGTGCAATGTTTGATTCTGGGTGATATTGTGTGAAGAAATAAGATGCAAGTCACTCTCAGGGTTTGAAAGAAAATATCACAATGAGCAAATGAAAAATTAAGAAAATCAAGCAAATCATCTTAAGTGCAAGAATACATGAGCAACCAAGTGGTCAGAAAGAATAAGTATCCAGAGTTTTCCAGGGCAATCAAAGCTACTGGACAAAGAAAAGCAAAATCAATTGCAATCCTTCATCTCCACACTCAATGTAAAAATTGCTCTATTTGACTTGAAGCTCAACCTTTTTTGGTATAGGTTAGGAATCCTTTATTAAATGTCTCCCACTCATGTGTTAAGCTATAAATATCCTAGCACCTTGCTAACAACAAGGAAGTTGTTGTCTGCTGTATGGCACAGTCTTATCACATGTTCTCTCTGAGAGGAATTGGAGTTTTCACTCATAGCAATAATTGCAGGGAGAGTAAAAGCAGTCTGTAAAAAAACAGGTCATAAAATTAATATATATGAAATATATATACATGATTGTGTAACGCTTCTGAAGTGACAAACATTTAACAGGCAGACAATTTGAACTCCACTTTACAAGTACCCTTCCACAAATTTCCTTGAAATTCATGGAATAATTTTGAATACTACTAATAATAATTATTAACAGACCTCTTTAGATCGCAAGTATGAATCCTCTTTTTCAGCATATTCAAGTTGCATGAAAGTGCAAAATTCATCCTGATAGAGAAGGAAAGTAATAAATAATCAAGTTAGAAAGAAAGAAGTGTCCAAGCACCAAATGCACAATGTGTGATGCTGCTACTGATTTTAGTAATGAATTACTTTGTATCCTCAACCCTTTAACTTCCAGAAGTGATTTAAACATAAAGATGTAACTTCTCACTAAATGTATATGATCCATGTGTTATTCTGCCAACAGGCAATGACAGAGACTACTCAAAGTTATCTAGTAGAAGTTACTATCTTCAGCTGATCTAACACCAAATTCTCCAAACTAATTTACAAGGAAGTGTGTGGAGGGGAGAATTAACAATCAAATCTAATGGGAGTTAAAGGGTTAATTAAACAAAAACCCTGCTTACCAACACCTCTCACAGAAATAAGAAAATTCCACACAAAAATTCAATTGGTGATATTGGATAATCAAGGCGGCACAAAATAAGTCTCACTGTTTTTTTCCAATCTTCTGTTTTTTACAACTTTTATAGTTACTATCAGTAAGAGCTTGCAGTTGTTCCCTTGTTCTTGGACATTAATTTACATGCGCATGACATATCTGTAGAAAGATTTGTGTCATGCACACACACACACTCACACACATAAAACCTTGTTGATATATGCAAATGCAATTATATGCAAGGAAAAATTACACATGTGAACTACCCTGAGGCAAATAAAAATGCAAACATGAGATCCAACACAAGATATGAAAAAAAATTTTTTTTCTTGCACTTGCATTTGCTTCCCACATGTTTGAACCAGGGCAGAACAAACACAACATGAAAACCACAGGTTCCTACTTTACAAAAAAATTGTCCCAAATTTCAAGCCATTTAAAGAATAGTCTTGTTTGGAAAGATGTGACCAGAGAGGTGGGCCTATGTTTTATGAAGAAAGGTACATAAAAATGGCTTTCCACCCACTCAGCAAACAGTAAAAGCATGCATTATCTCCTCAGAGCTCTGTGAACAAAAACTAGAAACTTGATCATTGTCAGCCACTGCTATTAAATATCTCACTTTCCTTCCTTTTTGCTTGGAAGTGTGAACATAGCTTGCACTTGTATGCACGTGAAACTCACAAAAGACATTAAGTCTTTGTTATTAGGCAAATTCTATGCCATAAAATAAAAAGCGTTAAATAAGTAAAGAACATTGTCTTCTATCTGAAGTTTTCAAATTCAAATTGGCAAGATGGTTACTCAGACAAGATTATTAAATTTGTCACAAGCTTTGTATCCATCCACATTATGAATCACATTTTAAAAAATTATGTACAGCTGTTTCTCTCTTAGTTTGTAACTAGCAGATCACCCTCGTAATTTCAAATGTTTCTTGCAGTGAGAAAACAAGACAAAAAATGTTCATTCCTCATAAAATGGACACTTGATAATGCAGCCCTCCCACAAGATGAAAATAATTTTGTTTCTCCAGGACATCATTGTCTTTATCACATCATTCTTGCTATTTTTTCAACCCTTTTTTATTTCCTTTGAAAAGTTCAGAGGTATCCATGACCTAAAGTCAAAAATTAAAGCTGTACATTGACATTCAAAGTTTCATTTTTCTTATTTCATCGAGTTGTAAGAATTTTGATAAAGGAAATACAAAAAAAAAAAGAAATAAAACATAAAATTAAACAGCAAAAACAGATGTACATTATGCCTTTTGCTATTTATCCAAAACATTTAAAGCACCAGATACATGAAAACAGTTCATGATACAAAAAAAAATAATAATTTTTTAAACAGGGAAAAGATATAATGCTGAAAATCTTTTACCTGCAAGTTGTAATCATTGTCAAAACTAAACTCATCACCCTCCATGAATATACATTTCTCCTAAATCTTCCAGAATGGATTTTAAAAATGTAGTTTTCAGTGTTTAAATTTACATAACTGTGATGACTGGACAATATATTTTTTTTGCAATTACAAAACATTGGTGTTGGAAAAATTGGCAGATAGCAAAATATCACACATTTATTCATTAATTTAAAGGCAGGCAGACATGTAAATGAAAAAATATGTCACTCCTTTTAATTTGACACAATTGTTAGAAACACCAGTAATTAAAGCTAGAACAAATATTACATGTTACCTTTCCAAATTAACCAAGCAAATCAATTACAAGGGAGTACACAAACTCACCCAATTTATTTCACCATCAGATGAAGAATCTATTTTCATGAACAGAGCTGTAACCTGGTCTTCATTCTGTGTCCATGAAATTGGGAAAAAAAAGGGATGAAAACAAAAAAGAAAACATTATTAATATTACAAGTATTAATCATAACAGCTTAAACACATAGCTCAAAAAATAAATTAAATTTGTTGTGTAAGAACAATCTGTATCTCACTTAAGTTGGACAGCTTGTCTAGTTGAAGGGATAGTTTTTTACTAAAAAAACTCAGCCCCAGTTTGAATTAATAAAGGTGTATTTCCATTTTAGTTTGATTTAAAATTATACAGTATTATTCACTCAAGTAAGTTGACAGTCTTGACCTGAAACTCGATTATCAATCCTCAAAGGTTTCGAGCATCAAGGATCGAGAATTGAGGTTTGAGGCTCAATCTATTAACTAAAGGTATCAAGGCTTAAGAATTGAGGATCCAGACTCTCCTAGGACTATAGGAGAATCTTGATCTGCTGTTTGAGGAAACAATTTAATTCTCACATTCTGTTAATTGATCTATAGTCCTTGTATGCGCAAATATAATTCTGATCCATTAAATGAAGTTTTACCATAACTTTATCATGTACTTTAAAGTATGGCAGGTATAGCAGCGACTAACCTTGAATTGAAAATGAAACAAGTTTGTGATGACATCTTTGAACTCCTCTAAATCCAATGTTCCATTACCATCAGAGTCAGCTTCCTGTGAAGGAAATATTCACATTAGACAAAAATTTGTTTTGATAACAAAGTTAACACAGTATAAAATTTAAAGTCAATATTTCATCATCTAATCAGAAAGTACTTTAATTGGACTAATGAAAGTAGGGCACACAAAGACGAAACCAAGCAAAGAGACTGCAAATCTCACCTCAAAAGCTTGTCTCATCTTATTCAAATGGTCCAAAGTAATTCGGTCCTCAAGCTTGACAATAAGCAAATAAAAAAAATTCACGTGTGTTATGAAATAATTGCTGTCAACTTTTAAAAATGAGACTTATTAACTAACTTCATTTTAAATTAACTATTTCAAAGATAGCACAGTAGAGTGTTTAAGGTCCAAAGAACTTTATTTTATAACTTCTTTCTTGTTACCATGTACAACTACAAAAACCAACTGAAGGCAAATTGCAAAGTACAGGTTGCACAGCAAATGTTTTATTAAACCCAAACTTAATAGGATCTCTATGGGTACACAATGCTCCAATCTAGCAGTCAGCCTAACATGAGATCCCAACAGTTTGCTGTCTGAACCTCACATACACAGATGCAGCTTTAAGTTGTTTATATCCTTGATATCAAGTCATCCAGATTGATTCATATCTGAGTTGCAATGTTCTTTTTCAAATACACCAGCAGAAGCTACTCATTTTTGAAGCACCAGCTAGTTAATTAGATAAAGCAGTGAAATGCAGAACTTACATTGAAATACACCATAACCTTTGCCTGGAAGTGTTTTTTAAAATTATTTTATTTTATTTTATTTATTTATTTATTTTTTTATCCCTTTACACCCTAACGTCATGTAACGTCATCACATCTGACCTGTGTGTGTTTCAACATTTACAAAACACTTTGTTGGAAACTGTAGTTCTGAAATAGTGATGCTAAATATAGTTTGACATATAAAAATAATTGGCCTTTATGGGTCTACCATATCCTTAAATTTCAATCTAGCCCAGGAATAAGATATTATTGTAACAGCTAGACTTTTCTCACTTAACAACATACTTGAGATTATATAACATTCCTATTTGGTCATTGCTGACAGTATAAATATATGTAGGTTAAGGAGTGGAATCCATGATTTTCTCTTGCCACTCTCCAAAAAGTTAAGCTTTTTAAGAAAATCAAGAAAAAATTAATTTCTCCAATGTTTTGTTTGAGAGGAAAAATTTCCTTGAACTGCATACACATGCATTTAGTGATTTTTTTGCAGACTCTTATAATGTTTTGAAAGATTCTTAATTTGCACTTAGTTGCAGAATATGCAATCACAGAAACTTTTAAAACATCACTCATACCCATACTCCCAAAATTCTTGTTCATCTAGTCTTGTTCATGTAGTTTCCCATTACTTGTTAGACAAGTTACAGATATTATGGTATAACAGTTGGTGAGGCACGGGTTTGAATCCTGCTCAACATCAATGTCTTGCATTTCTTTGACAAAGCACTCTACCCCTACAGTGTTCATTACCCGATCCTTTGCTCTAACCTGGGCCTAGTTATTCAAAAGGCAGATAAGAAAACATATTGCACTATCCACCTGGATCCAGTTGTTCAAAAGGCAGATATTAAGCTACCCAACAGATAGAGGGTTATCCTGGGCTGATAAGTGTTGACAAAGTGTAATGCATTATCCAGCAAGCTATCCAGAGGACAGTGCACATGTAATAATCACCCTTTGAACAACTGGTGCCAGATAGTGATTTATCCAGCAGATGGCAACCGAGATCAGGAGTGTAAATGGGCACTAGAATTCTCTCAGGAGGAAGTTGAGGTGGGGTCAGAACCTGTGAAGGACTGGCCAATAATTTCAAGGAAATTTTCAATACTCCTTGCTGTTATTATTCCATAGGAAAGAGGAGAAGCTCCAACAGCTTCGCAAATCAGCCTCACAAGCAGAATTAAAATTTGACCCCACGGAACTAGTGCTCATTAACGAAATCGGCACCTGCTTATTAATATGGTGAGACAGGGACAATCAATTATTTACATGGATCTCTGTTATTTAAAAACATATTGTGCAATTATAAAACAGTGCACCAAGATCGCGATTAAACAGCCACAACTAACACTTCAATAAATTTGCTATAAACTTAGAAATGGAAAATGCTCAAGTACTCAAATACACTTAGAGGCACATGCACCAAAAGCATAAATGAGTGTTTACCTCGTTGAATTTTAAGCATTGAAATCAAATGTGCAAAATAAACCACAACGACGAGTAAGTTGTAATTAATAGAACTGAGAACGTCAATTATTTAAGCAATCACAAACAATTACCTCAACTCAACTTATAAATGCCGAAATGTTCCAATTTGCACTGTATTTTCTTGCGCGGAAGGGTCAAATTTCACAAGCGAACAATTCAACATTCAGCCTCTGAGCTATAAATTTAAATAATTTACCTTAATCTGTTTAGAAACTCCGATGGCAGTAGTCGGTCTCTTGGGTTTTTCGTGCTCTTCCACATCCTCTAAGCCACCCAAAGTAGCCCTTCTCCCTTGCAATCCTTTGAAATCATTCTCGGGAATACCACCAAAAACTTGCCTTCCTTTGAACTTCGAAGTAATTGGAACACCAGGAACATGATGTCTCGATGTAACATATGTAGGATCGAGACCTAGTAAGTTTTTTCCCGGAGCAGTAGAAGGTCTTAGCTCGTCCAGTAAATCAACAAATTCATGAGATTCCAGTGCCCCCGAAGCCGTGGAAGGGCGAACTTTCTTTTGCGATTTTCCAGGCGGCATTTTGAAACCTTCCACCGTTCGAACTATTTTGCTACTCGCACGAGCGAAAAACCGATCGTTAATTGGCTCGTTGGTTGCTAAGAACCCTTGGCAACCAGTTTTGTTCTGTCAACTATGATAATTTCGACTTAATTCCACTTAGAACAATTTTCTCACATCCTTCAGAACCCCATTCGATCATAGATATTTAGAACAACGGTAAAAACATGCAGCAGTGATTCAGACTTTTGCAATCTGCCTTAGTCTCATGCACAATAAAGCGAAAATTTGATGTGAATAGATGATTTCTATTTTTTCCGCTGGATCAATTTTTAATCCTTTAAAACACGAGGACACGTTCTCTTGTTTAAAGGGATTAGAAGAAAAGAATCGAAACCAGGGGCCAGTTTTTGCATCTCGGCGTATGTCAAAAATGTATTTGTAACTCTTAAGGTCATAGAAAGGAAACCTAGATGGGGTTTTTTTTTTTTCAGCTTTTGACGTAATATTAATCATGTTTTTGCTAAGGCGATAGCAAGTGTCAGAATTTTACTTAAGAACAGTGTCATTGTATTTTTTGGCATTGTAAACTGAACGAAAAATTGTTATTTTAAAAAAATGACACTAAAAAACATAAGAAAGAGCCAGCTAAAATGATTAGATCTAGCAAATTGAACACAAATGCAAAAATAAACTAAACACATTCGAAACTTGGCGTGTTCCCGTGTTTCGCAAGAATAATACATGAGCGCGCGTACAAAGAGAACTTCTCTTCGAGTGTTTAATTCGATAGCTCAGGAGTGGGCGCAGCGAACGAGTGAGATGTCGAGTTGAACACGATAAGAGAAATTTCACATCTACAAAAAACCATGTACTATTTTGTTTATCATATAAACACAATAGTCCTTTACTGACAAGAAAAGTCGACATTATTAGTAAATGAAAATAAAAGGATCGACAATCCCCGAATAAAAATCGTGAAGTGCGTTGGCGTTAAGGCTCAAGATGGAAACATGCTTTGAATCACCACAAAAACAAACAATGGGCCTAATTTAATTTTTTTCAAAAGTCTCAGTTATTGACTTGGTCCTGACCGACAGCAGCCAAAAGCAGCTTGTAACATAATTTCCAGTTGTCGATTTTCGTTCTCAGCGGCGAGAAATGCCATTACCAAAGCCACTGAATACGTAACTTTCGGTTTTTCTGATCGTATTTTGGTTTTCTTCCTCTGCTAGGAGAGTTTGAACGTCACTGTCTGTAAGCGATACGGATTTTTCTGTGTTTTCGCAACCATAATCCGAAAAAATTCCGACAAACGACCTTAGATTGAGAATGGTGAAGGCTTTGTCGTTCATTCATCAACTTGATCACGTGAAGAAATATTGTATTTTTTCACATGTGTTGTTATGGCTTTTCTCAGGACTGGAAATCCTTGTATAACACCGTTGTTTATGTAATGAAATCCTTTATTCAACGCAATGGTGATTATAGCTCAGCAGCTTGTGGATTCCTGTATTGAATAAACATTAATTATAAAAATGATACTTCAAAACCTACATATGTAGACAAACGTAAAAATGTTGCAGTTTATTCGGTTCATCTAGGTCTCCTCTAGTTATGGTGAAGATATAAAAAAGTCACTGAAAATGCATATAGATCGTTAACCGCCGTTACTCTAATTCGCCCCCTCACGAGGATTCAAATGATGACATTCGGCTCATGAAAAGTCCAGAGTTAGAATTGAGCATGAACGTTCATAAAAAAGAGTATATAGGATGTATTGGTCGTGTCTTATCAGCTTACACTTTGGGGGAAGGAGTGAATTGCTTTAAATTTCTAAACAACAGGTAACATTTTCGTAATAGCTTCGATTTTCTTACTGAAATACCATCTCGAAAGAAATAAGAAGAAACCTTACGGGGAAGAAAGTTTTTCAGAGGTGATTAGCATTAAAAGACCGTTCAATATTTATCTCGGGGGGGGGGGAGGGGAGGTCGTAGAAGTTTTGTTTTGTCACGATAAATTTTCCCTTGCCCCCCATTTCCCCACTCCCCACTCCCCCTCCCCCCCGCCCATAATATTTCTGTGATCTTTAACTATACTCTGTTAGAGACGACTGATCTCCCCACCGTTCCGCCTGAAAACCGTGTGACCTCCCTCTAAAAATAAAATACCCCACTCCCCTCCACTTGGGCGATATATTGTGAGTGGTCCCTCACTAGCATTACAATTTTAAACATGGTTTTGAATCTGTGTAGAACCTCGATTTAATGATTTAACGAACCTCTATATGACGAAGTCCTCGGTATAACAAAGGATACTTTTCAGCCCGGCTAAAGTTGCAGAAAAATGTCTGGGAAAGAACCTCGATATAACCTGAAAATCCTCGTCATAACGAACACATTCCAGAGGCCCAAACGTATGATAACCCCGATATAACGAACAAATGTCAACACGTGACAAAAGACAAATGCGAAACAGACCAACAAGAATCAAAATCCTTCAATTCTTAACAACAGAACAACTTCACAGTTAACAACTTATTCTACATGCCAAACGAACACTATAGACACATCCAAAGATCCCCTTCATCCTTCTTGTCTCTTTTCAGTACTATTAGTTGAATTCAACCTCTTTTTTTTTTAAAGGCTTCTTGTGGTAAAAGGTGTGAGAGGCAGGAATTTCCAGTCCAATGCTCTTTTTTCTCCGTTTGCCAGTGACTTCCATTGAAATTTTTCCTCCGTGCTTTAAAAACAAGGTGTTGTAGCTATATACAGACCTGTACAGTGTACTGTAACTTCATGAAGAAATCAAAAGCACAAATGTATTTACAGTAATCGTTCCGATCCCAAAATGCTGGGTAGCGCGACGTCACACCGCAAAAAAAAGAGGAAAAAAATTAAAATCTATGTACCATTCCTCGATATAACGAACATTTTGGTTGTTTTCCCGCAAATTCGTTAAATCGAGATTTTCGTCAAAGCGAACCCTCGCTATAACGAACCAATTTCCCCAGTCCCTTGTAATTGGCTTTTCGTTAAAATCGAGATTGCACTATACCCGCAAACAAGTTTGCATCGTGGGGCTGGAAAATGGAATGAAGTGAAGATTCAAAGCACACGGGAAAGCTCAGTGATGATGAAGAAAATAAGAAGAGAGTTTTCAAAATCTAAATTTAAAAAAGGAATCAACATTTTCTTGATATATGTCTAAATGTTGGATTTTCGTTTAGACTGCAGGAATCTATTAGATTGAAGCTGACGTTTTGATTGATTGGAGACTACCAATACTTAGAGGCGCGGTCGGTTAATTCTAATCAGTTTATCTTTACAGACATTGGATAAAGAAAAACTTTTGAAATCGCCCTGATCGAACCCGTGAGGATGAATAGAAAGACACGAATTATGTTCATTCGTATTATTTTTGGGTCGGTAACAAATCCCTTTATCACTAAAAATACCAACTGTTGTTGGTGCAGTTGTTTGTTAACTGTTTGCACGTTTTCTTTTACTTTCGCTTCGTCCTCAGCGCAGCTTAAAACTCGCAGGTTTAGACACTAAACATTTCAATGGTATATCCTATTAAAGACGAAAAAGTTCTAAAAACCGTATCGACTGTCTGGCGAAACTTAGACCGACTTAAAGGGGGTAGAAAGTTTTTTTTCATAATCGTATCTCGGTTTTTTTATTTCTGCAGAAAAGTAATCCGATTTTGTAAACTACAAATATTAGCAGCCTTAGACAAAGACTTCATCCCAGTGTCACAGCGTATTCGGTAAGCGGAGTCACTCGATCAAAATCACATTATAGGAAGCTTACAACGATTCCAACTAAATTCAATTGTGCCAGCCATTGCTCAGGACAAAACCGTCTCCAGCCCATTTCCTGTAATGGGATTAGTATAATCAGTTTTGTGTCTGTCGCTGTGAGTCAGGGTGTCTAAGTTTGCGCAAATCACTTTATCATCGACCAGACAAACTCTAAATGTCTTTATTCGAGGTATTCATGCAAATCTATTTTGAATCAGATAAGGGTCCCAGTAGTCTTGAAACAGGTATTTATATCTTTTAGAGGTTGTGTTCTATATTTTGGTGTAATACTTTATCAGTTTAAATAACATTACCGGGTTTAGCTCTACTAGGCATTCAATTCGACCAACGATCTCCTCCGGCTGGAATTGACACACGGTTGAGTTAACGTTTCGTATAGCCTTTCAGTGCATGGTATTTTAAAATTAAAGAGATTGGTTTCTTATTTTTTTAATTTCTGATAACACAACATAGCAACTGGAGTAGAGGGTTTTAATTCTTATTTTTCCTAACTTCAGAAAATTCTTGAATTACAAAAATTGTTACCAAGGTGACTTATACATTACTGACCTATCCGATTAGAGGAAACTTGCCCTGAGTCAGTTCCGACAAACACTTTATCTTTGTTGTTTTGTTGCTAAGACTTTCTCAACGAAATTTATATAAGATCGATGTCCGTTTCCTTTAATTAAATCGGTCCCTTTTCGGCGACTGTTCCAATCCCGCAACCTATCGCTATGTTTCATTCCATCCCGCCGCAATCAACATTTTCATCCCGATCCCGCTTGGTCAAACCAGAGTTGCTCCAGTTCACCACCTTATTTAAACTGATGGACAAATTACAGCCTTTGCAATATTGATAATGTACTTCAATTAAGGAGAAGGGCAAAGACTTGCTCAAGCAGGACCATTTTTTGAAAAAACGTGGGGGGGGGGGTTAAAGCCCCCCCCCTCCCCAACAAACCCCTACCTCCGCGCGGGTCCCTGTTCCTCCCGTAACTTCGGTAACGGAAAAATTAAAGAAACGAATAACAATGTTAACAAGTGCATAGCACAACAAAAGGTGATCGAAGTCCAACGTTCCACATCCAGGGAAATAGATAAAAATTAACGGAACACATTTCTTCTGTTGAGGTGAATACTTCTTCCGAAGCGGGAAACTCTTCCGAGGAGAAAATCAGCATCATCATTACATGCGGTCTCGTCGTCTGGAAATGACTTATTCAATTCTTTATCACTACTTTGGGCTTCCTCTTCATCTTGTTGCCCGCTGTCTTTTTGCTGCTCCTCGTAGTCAGAGCGTTCGAGGCTGACCGGTCCACTCGGCTGAATTTCTCTCTGATAGAGGTAAATTGGTCAGTCACTAAGCAATCAAAGGTCACTGGCGCAGGCGTAGATAGGACAGTCATAACAAACCTTTATGCGGCTTTTTTAGCCTCCTACGCTTACGTTTTTAGGGGATCGCATATGTGACTTTCGCGTTTTGGGGAGACGTGAAACGCGATCTCGTAAAAGAAGTACGGCGGTGTGGAAGGCTGGACTTTTTGGACTTTCACGAAGATCAGCTTCTCTATAGTTTCCCGTAAACGGACTTCCCGCTTCTCGGTTCGTATAAGCGATTAGTTTTTTTTAGAGAGCACGGTAACGAATCCTGCAATCTGATTGGTTCTTTACCCGGTCAGTATTTTCCTATCTCTGCCCACGGGCCACGGTAGTGCTTTTGTGAATCGCCGAGTACATCCCAACTTTCGTTGCCATTTTTCATAAATATATCTCGTTTTTCCGGCTGGGCAGTATTTTTAATCAAACACGTCGGTCACTACCTCAAGTCGATAAATAACTTATGAATCCTCTCTGTTCTCTCTCTCTCAAATCACTTTGGTTGACAGAAAAATATTTGTTTCAAAATGAATTTGTATAAGTGTCATCACGTTGGTTGACAAGCGGCCTAAAAACCGTCTGCAATTAATTTTAATCGTTCACAGAAAGTACCAAGAAAGTTCAAACGTGAGGTGTTTGGTTACAGTTAAACTGAACGATGGAACTTTCATTCATTTAATATCTGAATTTTCTCAAACAATTTGTTTGTAGTGAAAGAGCGAGCGAAGTTTTAAATTCAGTTCTACAACAAATATACTCTCTCAGTGAGTCTTTCCGAGTCCGTTCAATTTGGACATTTGTACCGTAAATTGCACAACAGCAAGCAATTTATTGAGAAAAGGCCGCATTAAATCCCCTTGTGTCTCGTTGGAGTGTGCCATTCGAATTTAGTTTTTGTGGAGGAAAGACCAGATTTACACACGCCATTGCAGCAAACAAACAAGCAAACTCTCACAACTTCAAAATAAAAAATTTGAATTTACTCACAATTACTTTCCTCGCCGTTTACTTAATGAACAGAGGTAAATCTTCGTACATAAATGAATCGTCGAAGAGAGTGAATAATACTTTCCGTGAGATCATCGACTGTTTTTGAAGAAAACATTGTCATGACAGTCCTTGCCAAACTAGTTCCGTTGTTTTTCAAATGTTCTTGCGCTTTATTTTTTCTTACGCGCTCTCTAACTGACAGGTGTCAGATTGTGACAGATACTTGTAAAAATAATGTTTCAAAGTTTGTGTGGAAGCCTTTTAAATCACCTTTATCCTTGCAAAAATGGAAATGTTTCGGTGAGGCATCTCTCTTTAATTTGCATCACCTCTATTTTAACTACCATGTACTGGCTCAAAAATTGTTCAGTTTATGGAAGATCTTGCCGTATTTACAGCCCTAAATTATTCGGGTTCTTTCGGAAAGAATTTCGTCAAGTTTTAAAAAAAAAAATTTGTTATTTACCGGCTAAGGGTCGGTCCGTATGGTGAAAAAAACCTCGGTCTTGAAAATGCTGCCCTCGGCCTACGGCCTCGGGCAGTATATTCAAGACCTCGATCACAGTTTTTCACCATACGGAAGGCAAATAACATAAACTTATCTCAGGAATCCCACCCCTCAAAATCGCCGATTCCCGTGCCCCTTTAATGATAACAATCCCGCATCTCGCTCCTTTCGTACTCTAAATTCCCAGAACCTGGTCATCAAATAAGCCCAATCCTGCATGCCGAAAACCTGTTTGGGACCCTCTTTATTGGCAGGCTTTGTAAGTGAGACACACAAACTTCACCTACTTTGGATTGAACTGAGTGGTCACTCTTTTACTAGGTTAGGTTACTACCTAACCTAGCGATTATAACCTCTTGGTTACTAATTAATTTTTTATGAGACTAGCGGTATCCCCTCCCCTGCCACTTGCAGATTATTTTAAATGATCGCGATTGCTGCTTTACTGTAGCAGAGTAACGAAGACCCCCCTGCAACAAACAGGGGACCTTTTAAAATAAAAGGTATAATGAAAGATGACATCCTCCCTATCCTCTCCCCACCCTACTGTACCGTCATGAGGTTCCTCTACGAATAAAGGGGGTAAGTTTCTAAAGAAACTGTGGTGATGCGTCGGTGGGAGAGTATAACAGGGTAATTTATTATCATCAACTGAGTTTACAACTTAAATTGGCCATCGTAAAGAGTTTAAAAGCTGACGTTTCGAGCTTTAGCCCTTCGTCAGAGCGACTTGACGAAGTGCTAACGCTCGAAACGTCAGTTCTAAACTCTTTATGTTGGCCAATTTACGTTATCAACTCAGTTGAAAATACTAAAATTACCCTGTTCCTCTGCTTTCGCTCATCACAACAGTAATGATCTTTTCTGGCTGAATGAGTTACAAGTTCTATTTTGATCTCTTTCCCGTTTGCTGTTGTCGTTCCTTTGACAAAAATCTTTGCCATACTACCATACTATGCTAACATACCACCGATGTAGATCTACCATGGAAAGTTCTTTCGGATATGTTAGAAGACCCTAGAACTCATGCAAAGACGTAGCACAGATAGGCATAAGGTTTCCGTATGGGATTATGTAGAGAAATGAGTGATTTGGTACACTTACAAGATGTGGCTGTGATTGCACCGTTATGATTTGGTAACTGGTACGTGGTAGGCACATAATTCGACAACAGGGGAATTATTAGTATAACTGGATTAGTTTAGTCTTCGAATTCCTGAAACTGCAACTCCAGGGACATGTTTATCCTAGCGATTCCTGTTGCAATTTAAACTCACAATCTTGACATAAATCTTGAGATTGCAAACTTAATAGGTGCATTGAAGTGCCTGGAAAAAAACGAGCAATCTGTTGTTTGCTTTATTGCGCAGGCGCCTTGCCGGAAGGGTGTTTTTCGTGAACACAGCTATTCATCGACTGCGCGATTGCGAGGACAGAATTTTTTCCTCTAATTATATTTAAGAATGCTTTTTTTCTTAATAATTTTTTCCACCCCTTTTTTTTCAAATTTTACACAGCGCAAAAAAGGATTGAACTAACTAAATAATTCAAAAACAGAAAAGTGAGAAAGATAGGCTGCAGAGTTTGCTTATGAGACAGCTTACATTTCTTTCTCGTCAGTGGTTCTTGACAGCCAGTTTTTATGCGCAGAACAGATTAAGCAGTGTTATCACCTTAAATCACCTTGTCTTTGAAGTTCCCGTTGCGGTTTATTAGCTTTTTTGGACTTCAATTCTGTAAAGGGTTGTCGTTGTTGTCTTGCAGAGGACGTATAAGAAATGTCCAATTTTAAAACGCACGTGCTAGCTATTGTTCTGTCCATTAAATCTTTTTTTTGTTTCTACGTTCTATTTGCCATCCAAGTGTTTTGCCTGAGTTCCCTGATAACTTTCATTCCAACTCCGACTTTGGTAATCCAACCCTTGGGGTAATGTAACCTACTAAAAGGAATTTTTTTTTCTGGTCGGGAAAAATCAGACTCCAACGTCTCGAATTACCCCGGCGCTATCACTTGCTTTAAAGATGCCAGACCTGCCATTTTCCATAACTCTGGTTATAGGTTAACTCCCTTTACAAAAGGCCGTTCATGTTATACTCGAGATCCAAACTAACGGCACAGGTGCACATGCGCACGTGAACATGAGCAAGGGATTTGATCGCGCGTGTGCCTCAACGACCCCATCAGCTCAGTCTAACAAAAATCTAGACACATTCTTATCATTTTGTATCAATTTATTTCTTAAATTCTTGTCTAAGACTAACACTACTGCGGTTTCTCTTCAAAATCCCCAATTTAGTAGTTAAAAGGATTTTCCCCTTTTCCCTGATTCAATAAATAAACAATTACCTTTTAGTTGTACATTATATCCTTTTTCTCCAAAAGTATCTTAATTTAGTCTTGCCCAACTATCAGGGCTCTCTATTTGTTATACAAAACTTAATGCTACAAATATATGGTATCGATGCATTTTCAATATTAAACTAATGTCTAATGCATTAATATAAGTATTTTTTGTTACCTTATGTTATGTTTGTTATAATGAAGGAATGTCTGGTACCACTCTCCATATTTTTTAAAAGTAATATCAATTTTTTTTTTCCCTAAAAAAAGTAGCGCTGGGAGCAGTTCTTAACGTACGCTTCTCAACTAAACAGTAAGTCATCTAAGTCAAACGCAACAACGTCTTTGCTTAAAAAAATAACACAACTTAAACTTAATATACTCGACTGAAATTCGACGAGAAGATTCTACTGTTAAAATGGTTCAATGCGTATTTGCCGATCATAGTTTTAATACATAACAATCCGCACAAACGACCCATGCGCATTGCGCTCAATTGTTAGTTTTTAAAAAATGAACTACTTTTCTCTTTTTTTTTTTTTTCATTTTTAAAATGAATTTCTAAGCATCAATAAAATTATATATAATTTTATGTTGTTGGAACGAACTATTTAACGTAGAGTGTATGTTACTAACAAAAAGTGGTCTCGTGATCATGAGAAAAAAAAGAAAAACACAACAAGGAGCAAAACATACCTTTGCCGAGATCAACAGAAAAACAAACACAAGAAACGACAAAAATCTAAACTAATGAGGCATTTACAAAAAGCTCAAAGCTAAAAAACCCAAAGCTTCTGCTTCAAAACGACGGTAAACACACAGTTTTTGATATGAAAATGATTGGCATTCTCGACCTTATCTGGAAAGTGAGTGTTTTTGGAGCTCAGGAGGATTAAATTAATCAACGATTGTTTGCCATCTTATACCTTCATACAATCTGAGAAGGCATTCATACTATCATTTAAATTCATCCGATTTTCACGATTGTTCTTCACTAGTAGGACTATGAACAATATTTACACAAAACCTTGACAAGGATCCCTATAAATACGCTGATTTGTTTGAAATTTGTTCTCTGCCGGCATTTCCGTTAACATCCAGTCTCCGTAATACTTTTTCTCCGGGGCTCGAAATTCCGGGCATCCATTCAAGGGATACCTGTCATTTCTGAGGCATTCGGGACAGTCACAATCCACGTCTTCACGAACTAGCACCCTTTCCACGCCGCTTATAGCCTTAACAGGCGAGAATTCGCTGGCAGAATTACTTCCTGTGGCCGAGTCTAGTTCGGAAATTTCGCCACAGGTACATCTTGGTACATGATCTGCATCACAAAGGAATTCTGTCCTTCGCGTCCTTTTTCTGTGTGACGATCTCCTTCTATCGCCTTTTTTAGTTCTTTGATTTCGATAAGTTTTTGAGGGTTGGTTGCTGAAAGTTTCGTCTTCAAGAGGAGACGACGTCCCCGTTGATCTAAGCGTGGACTCTGACGTACTTGAGCTTCCGCTGGACGATGAAGGAATATTTTTGTGGTGTTGGCGCAATTTTGTGAAGACAATGAACAGAAGAACCGCAATAACCAACACAGCAAACACGAAGACCGCAAGAAATGTTACTGCAGCCGTTCCCAAAGTCCTTCTGCGAATCACCTCGACTGGCTCGTCATCGGCTACGAGGATGTGAAAAATAGAATTGAAGTCACTTAAAACGAAATAAAGTCAAATCAAATGAACAGCACGCATATATTAATACAACTTAACTATACAAGCAACATCTCGATTTTAAGGGTTTGTCTCGTGTAACTGTAAGTCTATCTTCTATACTTTGTTCCATAGTCGGTTCATTTCACGATGAACTGAATAGTCTAAAGTGGTTGAGATGATGACGAGTTAAAATTTCTCGATCGTACGGTATGTGGTCGTTTCGCTCAATAATGTTTTGGTCTGTCTCAAATACGACTTAACTGTGCAACCAGCAGGAATTTTCACCATGAAAGAAAGTCTTTTTACAAGTTTAAAATGGAAATGTTTCTCTTTTACGTTAAACTGACCATAAAACGAAGCAACTGTGAATCGTAACTGAATTTCTAACATTTGGCAGGACTGCACAAAGCATTTGAATAACACAGCACACCACACTTACTTTCCGTGCTGTAAGAAGCGGTAAATCCTCTTCGTGTGCCGTTGGTCCATCTCCCATTGTGTTTGTAAAATAAGTACATGCTGTTCCCAGTTGAGACTATTTCCTCTTTGAATGAATCATCATTTATAATGACCAGTTGTGGCGCACTGCGATCTTTTCCGTCACGAATTATGATGGAATCTCCATTCATTTTTAAGGCATCAAACCATAGACGCACCCTTTTCCCTTCTGCTAAGGTTATAACCCACGTACAGCTAGGATTTCCAGGGCGGGTGAACAACTGCGGTGATGATGTAATCATTCCTTGAGGTTCTGTTAGCCGGCATCCACATGAACAAGAGGTTCCCGACTCTGTTTATAAAAGTAATTTTTTAAAGCACTGAGTTCCCAAGTTCGAAGAACAAGCATGCAAGAATTTTAGTAATGGCTCACTTTGCTCCGGATTTGTTGTAGGGAACGACTCGTATTCGCTTTGAGAGCGAGTACCTTTAAGCGGGAAACAACATAGTTCGAGTTTGGCAGGAAAAAGAAATAGAGGGGCAAACGAGTTGCGCTAAGGCGGGAGAATTTCATTGAATGCATCCTATAAAGTGCTATTTAATCGAAATTACCTACTGTTTACGATGACGAGAGTAAAATAATATTACAGCCACAGTAACACTGTTTCATAACATCAAAAGCTACTGTAACATACACTGGTACACATTGCTGAAGGCAGCGCGGAAGCAAAATTAGTAAGAAAGAGGGCCTTTCTCGTCATGAACACATAGTTAAGAAAAGCGGAGGATTTCAGCCCAAGAACACCAGCGTATGCTGATTTTGATGTTAAGGAAGAGGGTTATCTTGAAGAGTTTTTTAGTTGCACTATGTGTTGATAGGCTGAGTTCAACTCCAAAGTATGCCTCTCCACAACACTGCTAAATAGACAGGTCTCGGTAGTGCGCAAAGTAACCTTGATTGCTCAAATTTGTTGTTGTTCTCGGCACAAACTGCGCGTGCTGTCCTTCAACCCCGTGGCAATTTGCACTCTCTGCGCATTTGTATACAAAGATGCGATACTTAGTCCTAGCGTCAGTTCGTGCACGAACATTAAAATATGTGCTGTTGTACGCGAGGTATTCTACACAGTGGCCTTTTTTTGAGGCTGATACAAGTGGCAAGCACAGGTGCATTATCGGCCTGACATCATTTATGGAAACGGAACGACATATATATCTATATCTATATATTAATTTTGTAGTAATAATAACGGAAAACCCTGTCCACAGCTTATACATATATTTCCACTTCAGATGAAAAAAATGGCTAAAAGCAGACACAAGGTGTCCAATTTCAGCCGTTTGCCGTTTTCTATAAAAGTTATGCTTAACTTTATCATTTCCATACCTGGACATGGATTAAGCGCGCAAGACCTGGATATGAGAGCACTCCCATCGCATGTCGATTCCTTTTCCTTGGATGTGCTGACACTCAGACAGTATCGTGAGCGGTGCTGCTTCCCCTGCCCACAAGAGCTAGAACACAAGCCCCAAGAGGACCACGTACTCCACCCCTCATAATATGCTTTGCCTATCAGAACACAAAAAAAGAGACATTGACATGCGCAGTGAAGGATCTGTGTCGTCTCTAAAAAAGTCAAGAGGAACAAAGCAAAGAAACGGTTTAAGCATCCAATTTTTAATTTCATCAATCAAAGTCCTTTTCAGTCCCCGTTGATCTTAGCCATCTTCAGGTTTTCTCCCATATTTTTAGTTTATTATCACCATTTTATGTTTTAGTATTCAAGGCTAAAAAGATGAGTCCACAATCTCATATCTGGCTCCTTCAAGTTACAAATCTTTCTATTGCTATTCGAGCTTGGCAGTTTTTAACAAAGTCGATGTCTTTTATTTTTGCAATTGGTAACTCAAATTTTTTCTCGGATTGAAATGAAAACTTGATTTCTGGTGCTATTTCCGATCGGATAGTTCAACTCATCACAACCGACTTTGCGTGAGATCATTTTGAATTTAATCTGGCTAAAGTGCTTGAAAAGTGTCTTCGAGAGGCTTCTCCTCCAGTTTCCTGATTCCTGTTTACGAACATGTGCCAAAATCTACTGACGTACTTGTTTTCACACAAAGAAAGAGAGTATTGATCTGTTAGAAGCAAACTGAGTGACCTCGTGGTTAACCACACCAAACATCACAAGCTCTCTAAAAGCAAGTAATATCTGTCATTTATCATTCGGCGCCGGAAAGTCTCATTTGAAGTATACTTGCCAAGTTTCCGTCTTCCGTTTGTGTCTATTCAGCTTTTCTAAGACCAATATTCTCGTCACATCTCCTTCTTTTGATTTTAGTGAGTCTATACACCCAAATTGTGCTTATGAACAGTAAAACCAGCTTGCACACAAGTCTCTAACACACAAATCGATTAACTGGAATATAGGAAGGCCACTAAAAATATCACGTCTCTTAAAAATAATACAAAAATAAACAAATTGACCAACTTATGTCAAAATGGGAACTCAACTTACTACAGTTCGGGCTTTTCAACAAACAACTCTTCCATTAACTAAGTTTAGTTGATGAATAGCTAATCACAGGTTTAAGGTCGTTTTATTGTTTCATGCAATACAGTTTATACATTAACTATATTTATTATTATTACTCAAAACATTACACAATATAACACAACTCAGAAAGCCTCAGAAGATACTGAAGCAAATATAACGTCATCGTAGTTCAAACTTTTTTCAAGGAACTCCAAACAAAAAAACATAACACCTAGAAAGTAATTCTGCTTTTACCAACCGGAGCTCTTCAATAAATTTGACACAGATTGTTAAAAGAAAAACTAATCAGCATTTTCTCTCTAATAATGAATAAATTTGGCGTAATTGAGCGAAAGCAAGACATCGAAGCGGGAAATGGGTAATTATTTATTTTTCGTCATCGTTGTGACGAAAATGCGAAGCAGTCAAAAGAAGGGATGGTTTCGCGATGTAAGCATTGATTTTAGCGTAGCTTGAGGGCTTATAATTGCTTTGTAGACCTGACAAGTGTCCAAATATTTCTAAGCTGCTTCTCTCCATATTTTGTAAGGCACCGCTTGCAAGCCACGAAGACGGATTAAAAGTTAACCTTATTTTCTCTTTCCTGGGCCCTGTTTCTCCTAAACTGATTTAATCTTAGATTTAGGAAACTTGTAATCGCCTATACAACACACCGACAATATTAATCATAGCAAAATCTTGCGTTTAACTAAAAGCTTTTTACCTATTAGGAAAAAACCACTCTACACTAGACATTATTATGGCCTATTAGCAAAGTGCTAATTTATCAAACATTTTTAATTCATTATATTTTGCTCTAAGGGCCAAAAAAAAAAAAAAAAAAAAAAAATAAAGAATGACAAAGGCGAATGTTGAGCGGAAATTTAGAAAGGCCTTAACTCTTATTTCTAGCACAAAACTTCTTACGGAATAGCAAAAAAAGCTTAAAATTTGTCGTCATTCATCACCGATTTGACAACAAACTGTGTAGCTAACGAAAACAAAGAAAAATATTGGCACCTGATAAAGGCGCCGTGTTGTCTGATCTCGAGTATACTTAATGAGTTTTAAAATAGCTTCGACAAATTCTTTTTTCCAGAACCCTCTTTGCTACGTAAGAGGATTGAGGGCTTCTTACAAACCCCTTTGGTCAAATATGTATTACATAACAAGACCACAAGCTCGTGAATTTTATCTCCAATCACACCAAACGAAGAACATATCGAGACCCTATAAATAACTCGAACAAGTGGTAAACACGTGCCTTCGTATGTAGATAGCGTGACCAGATTCGTGACAACAAGAATCACAACCTCTTGTTACTCTAAATTCACGAAAGCCTGAATCAAGAGACATTTCTTCTACAGATTTTAAACGCTTAGGCAACCTTAAAATTAAAAACTTAGCGACGCTTAGCAATTAAAAACATTGGTTAATCAAGGAACATTATCTTAGAAAAAAAAACACTCCTAACGACCTTACTGGATTACCGCAGAAAAGGCGAACCTCAAAAATACATTCACGTCTTATATTCCATTTCCTAAATTAACGATGATGTCTTCCCTTAATTGGTACATTTTACATGACCCTCCGCGATACTGAATTCTCAATTTGTCAAAGTTTGTCCCTCCTAGACTCTCCAATACAGACTGGTTGTCAACCAAAGCCACTCCTATCAGATAATAATAAATACGACTTTTAAAGGTATCTTTGAATGAAAACGCCAAATCTTAACAAAGAGGTTTTACCCCAATAAACTTGTTTACTGGGGCAAACAAAGTTAGTGACTGAAAAGTATACGCTTTCAGACTGACGGCAACGTTTTAAGAATTGAGTTATAAACGTCGCAAAGAATTTCAGTCAAATATATTTTGGCTGTACAGTCTCGGGAAAACTCGCCTGTAGGCCTCGAAAAATACCGCAAAAAGCCCTGATCTTTAACTTCAGAAGCTTTAACTGATGGTTTTTTTTAATTCGCGAGGAAAGCAGACAAAATCACAGACTTCATATCGTGGAAAAGTCGCAATAAATGTTACTCGCGAATTTGCTGGTCATTCAGCATCCCTTATATGGTAAATTTTTCAGGCTTAAACTTATCTAGATCGAGAGTAAAAGTTTGAACAACATGTATCCCTACTTTAATATTTGCTTAACAACCATCACTACTACTACATGTGCACGCTATGGAGCTCTGATACAGCTGCCGAGTAGTTTGCTAAATACATAGAGACACGGGTAAATTTCATACAACAGCATGTGTTTGAAAGTAAAATCAGTCATTCCTAATCCCGCACCGAAATGACCTCCAGGGCAGCTAATCTGATTATCAAAAACCCTACACGCCCAAGTTGACATAATATTCTATTTAATCTACACTCTTGGCATGAAATGAGACTTCAGCTCAAAACGAAAAGTTAGGCAAGTTGTTCACATCTATAACTGTTTGTGCAGAATAGGCGACAAGCATAATTTCTCTTTCGCTTTGAAACTTCCATCACGATTAGTACAGATTATTATATTTCGAAGTGTTGAAAACAAAGTTCTATAATTAGTCACAGCAATCACGAGAAATTATCACAGCAGCTGGTATTAAAATTGTCAATATCTACTCAGAGTGGACTGAGTCCTTGATATAAAGCTTTCGTGATTTTAGCCTTGGAAACAAGAAATCCATAAAAGCTGAAGCGTCTGCTTTCAATTCACAATTAATTTCAATGCACATCGCAAATGCTGTTATTAGAAGCTGTTTTTTTTTAGAACTGACAACCGAATGAATAATTTCCATTTTTCACTAATTTTAAAAATAGTTTACGTGTTTGGGCGAGTGTTTAATCACTTGCTTGACACAGTTCACTGGGATCTTCTCAGACTAAGACACTTAGGGTTTTATGGGCTGTTATATTAGCTTGCCAGTGCAACACGCTCAGGGCACGAACGACTTTTGAATATTACATTAGTTTGGATACATGTAAGTTACCATGATAACCATTTTAAGGCTGAAATTACCACATGTCTGGAGCTTACAAAGTCCTCAAACAATGGTGGGTCGTGTGAACTAAGCACGCTTCTCCAGAATATCTTAGTAACGTGAACACTGCATGTCTTTACCGCTAAGAACCCTGGGTGATCTTTGTTACAAATTTGGAGCATTTATTTCTGACGTCATTACAATCTTGGAAAAAATGAATAAAAAAAAATAAATTTCCCTTCCCGTTCCTAACGTACCCTCTCCCTTCCCCAATCCACATCAGTGACAAAGCCGAAGGAAAGGAAGAAGAAAACTTTCTTGTAATTTATTACGAATACTGGTTCCTTTGTCAGACAAATTGAAGCGAAATTTTATATGCATTATCCTACCGATCCACGACAAAAAAAAAATTTTTTTCTTGTAAACAATACAATGAACGACGATAAAAACTAGAGCAACACGAAATTGAAGCGATATACAAATAACCTTGGACCATCCAATTAAAGGCCATTTTTTTCTAAACAGATAACGTACTAAAAACGGGAAATTACAAGTCATCCGCTACAACACAATGGCACTTCAAACCGGCTGGCCTTTTCCTAAGTGGATTAAATTTCACAAAAGAAAACGGGAAATCATAAAAAAATGTGTCGCTCTTGGACTGAAATAAACACTTCAGAGAGAACACATAGCCTCCATTCTTAAAAAAACACTTTTAAAATTATAACTGCGGTTACTCAGTTTTTTAAACTCTATTTTGATTTGATTGTTTAGCTTGTCACGTTTTAAAGTGGAGCAAAGATCGGCTGATTTTAATCTCAACATTCTTGGCAAGATTACCCCTTAGAAATCTGGTTGAGACCTTAGTAAAGACAACAACACAACTCACGCCAAGTCGTACCCACCCGAATTTCCTGTTTACAAATAAAGAAAAAGAAAAAGAAAATATGGCTGACTTTCAGCGAACCTTGATGCGTTAGAACTCTGTCGTTACTTTGCAAATGTATATTCAGTTCGAATGTCGATGCAAGCACGAGCGCATAACTGCTGGACTGAAATCAAATGTATGCCCTTCCCTTGAGTTGAATCGATCCCAAAAACGCATGCAGCCACTTGGTACTTTTAAAATTCTAGCTGCGTTTTGCCTTCATCCGGTTTTACCAAAGGTCAACAAAAAAGACAACAGGAAAATTGAAGTCCAAGCTATTCAAGAGTTGTATTTCTAATTTTCCGGAGCCGGAATTACCTCTAACTCTGCCAAACACAACGTGTGCAGTCTGCCGTACACTTGAAAGAGTTTGCCTTCCGACCACGTTGTTTGTACACTGATGATAGACTAGCTGTTGTTTTAAGTCATTGCGGGAGGCATAATTGAATGTTGAGTCAATATTTAGCCTGTCTATTGTTTGAAACTTTTGCTGTGTTTTATTTTGGCCAAAAGTAACCGTGGGCACTTGATTCACCAAGCCGACCTGGTTGATTTGTCTTTTGTGAAGCACAACAAAACGCGACCTCAATATACAGCATTCATACTTGTCAAGGGATTCCCTACGTCACTTAAAAGCTATTCTTTTCCATGGAAATGAATCGAACTAATTATCAGCTGACTTCTTACTGAGCTGAATTTCCATTATGAAGCGAAAATATTAGCAGCTTTATAGAATCGTGTCACACAATGGTGCTAATTGGAGCAATACCTCGTCTACGCCTCTGATAAAAACCTCTTCCTTCCCGTGTAATTTTCACGTCATTTGTTTGTCATTAACGCTGAAAATCGAGCTCTCACTACGTGAACTGAACTGAAATATTAGACGCAACTTACGTTATGAATAACATCCACAAAACTTAAGCAACAATTTACTCTTGAAACACACAAAAATCCAAAAATAAAAACATTTCTAAAATGTTTTTAGAGTGAAACCTAAATACTTCACATGTCGTAGGTTCGTATCGCAAAAAGTGTCTGAAGCAGTAACATGTTTGTAATGAACTTCTCACGCCTTCCAATTTTTCCCTGCAACTGTTTTCGACGACTAAAACCATACTAAGTGACAGCAAATGAAAATTCAAAGCGCTTACTAAAGAATACAGAGAGTGCACTTAAAGAAAAACAAATTTAACAGCAAAAACAAACCATTAGCAAGGCTGTATTTACGAGCAGAAAAATCAGTGTTTTACAACATTCCATGTAATTACCAAGGTCAGAGGTTCCCGTTCAATAATTATAGTTTATCTCAGATAAAATCACCGCTCTACTTACCTGATGGCAGACAGAGAGATGCAACAGCCACAGTACTCTTCGTGAGCCTTGACGTTGTAGAGTAATGAAAGCAGTATTCTTCCACGTAATCTTTGAACAGTGTGCACGAGAAAAATGTCACATCGTGCCCTTGCTGCACGGCTTTTTGCACAATGGGTTTATTGGAATCTTTCTTGGCGAGGACTATAGCATCTTGAATTCGTGCATACGAGCAGCTCGGTTGAGTGAATGATATTGCCAGAGAGTTTGTGCATGGAAAAATCGTCGAGACAGGAGAAAAGAGAGTTTGTTTACCCCAATTGACGTAGACCGCTGCACTTTTTGCCAGGGTAACATTAGCGTAGCCAGTGCGATACTCGAAGAAGTACACTCCTTGCGCGTCGAAGAAATTGCAGGCAAAACCCATTCGAATTTGGGGCATTTTAGGAATTCTTTGCTTGCCACTGGACAGTTTACGAATGTATTTTCGAGTTACAAACATCGACTTGCTGCCACCTTGGACGTAATAAAGATTGAGTTCATCGCGGTATGCCTTAGGCAAACATTTGCGATCATGTCGAATTTTGATCGATTTTAACCGGGTTAAGACCGTGTGGTTCGTCGGTGAATCGATGATGATTCTTCCCCATTGGAGCTTCAGTTTCTGTGAGATAACCCCTCCATATTCACTGTCCGAAATGCGATACTTAAAGCTATATATGTCTGGGTGGTCGAAGATTTCACATGGTAAAATGACAGAAATTTCTCGGCGATCTAGCGGTACAGTTGTTTTAAAAAGTTTTCTGTCAGTAGCGTTTTCGTGGACGAAGACGTAGAAAGTTCGGTTACCAAAAAATCCAGTAAAATTGTTGGGAAATTGGAATGACAAAGTAACATTGCCGCCAAGAACTTCCAATGAGGTTGGGTGTAAATTTACGGCAAGACCTTTGAGTGGTCGTTTTCCAAAATTACCTGAAAGAAGAAAAAAATTATCAGTTATTTTTTGAATACAAGTTTACGTTTACGCGTAACAGTTCCAATATGGCATGTCTGTTATGTATTTACGCTGCGGTCGGAGAAAGATAATTTACATTAACTAGAATTTAAACGCTCTTTTGTCAACTATTACTAAATTGTGATTTGGATCCGTCCAACGGCCTTTAACTTAGGATGTCGACGCTCTGAATAGAAAGAACACGCCATGGAGGGAAAAAGTACTCTAGTCTACCTAATTTGAGGTTCAAGATATGCGCTAACCAGCGATATGTCGCCTGAAGTATTATGCGCAAGAAGATAAATTTGCACCAGCGAGTAGAACTGTTGAAAGCAGATATGCTTACCATCGGCTATCGATGAAAGGACGCCGGAGGCTATTAGCAGACCACATAGACACACCAAACATGTTTCCATCTCTCTTTTCTCTTCATGGAATGTCTGTTGTCCTGAAATTGACAAGAATGGAATGAGGCGAGAGCGTTCGGACCGCACTTATATCTTCAGGTGATATGTGCCCGCCAGCGATCCGAAGGCAATGTTTCGCTTAAACCATTTAAGACATATAATTAATTGTCCACAATTATATTGTTACATTGTGCTGTAATATTCAATTAACGTTTGGTCCTGTTGTGTCCATTGAAAGTCAAACAATGACAAACTACTGGGCCAATAAGGGACTGCTAATTTGTTCCTTGGAGAATCCAGCGCTCAGCAGATGTACAGGAACTGTGACACACGAAAGCTAAAACGTATAAGACGACATCTCGCCGTATTAAGTGTCTCGGAATACATCACGCTGTCCCCTGACACCCGGGGAGGTCATGAAACAAACCTTCGATGGGTTTTTTAGCTGCGATTTACCTCCCGTCGACATAATCATGTTTACTTAACAGATTTAACCTACTTCGTCTGAACTTTGCGAACAAATTAGTGGCCAGTGATATGTTAATGAACAAAACGAGAAAAAAATACCACGATGTCAATTGCATTGATATCGTCTCAAAGCAACTAAACTACCTCCTTGTTGGACGTTTACATACATTAAGACCGATATCATTCTTCCAATCCATATGCAAATTTTGCGACTTTCACAAGTCGTTTTTCACACATCTGGCACCGTTGGGTGAAAATTACATGTGCAAGTGACAACAACCTGACAAGCAGGGAAAACATTTGAAGGCCCAATATTGCTTAGGACATGTTTGCTGCCGACCCGAATAAATTGAATTCTACAACACGCATTGGCCATCGATCGTTCAGCGCTGACAAATTTCCTAATTGAATATTCTGTTTTTACAGTAATTACGCCGTGACAATACATTTCCCTCCCTGAATACGCCCCTATGTTTGGTTTTCCAATAAGACACGTGGAGAGTTGTATTGAATATGTCAATCTCAATATTTGATGGTTGGCTGCGAGCCGTGACAATCGACGTCAACAAAATCATTACAGTTTTGTCTCAACAAATGGAAGGCTTCCAAAGACATCCGTGAAAATTATCAATAAATATCTCCTCCCTCTTCTTACAGTTTATGAATATAACACAAACCAAAGCTTAATTTTGCACTTACATACTCCTATCATCGGCTTAGGCGATTTCTTGATTAAAATGCGTCTTTGCCTCCACTTAAAATCGTTGCAATAATTAAAATGTTTGAATGGATTACGAAAATTTTGGTGGGTAAATTTTATGCAAACTACATGGTCGCTTCGTACAGCGAGTGGGATAAACAACTTTTGAGGCGGAGCTGAAGATTCTTCCTTCATTCACTCATTTGCCAAAACACAACGCATCGTCACGGCTAGGAAAAGTATAAATAAGATCAGGTTGCCAATCAGTGGCGGAGGTAGGTCACGGAGGTTTGCGGGCCAATTTATTATTCGCGATAGCAACAAAATTACGGCATGCATGACAATGTTGTAGACTCTTCCGTGCTTCAAATAAGAATTTTTCCGACACTATCGATCGATGATCAAAATCAGAAAATTTTGTATCATTCCAGACTGAAATTTGACGAATAGCAAATAGTTCAACGGCTTAGCGTCAAGCGAATTTGAACAGCTTCGCTAAAACACGCAAGCGGCCCTTGAAGATAACAGCGACTTGTGCATGTCGCAATGCAACGTCGTAAATTTCCCAGCTTAACGACTATGCTCCTACGCCAGGCCCAGCCTGGCATTTTCTCTACTGTGCACGCAAATTGATTGTAAACATTAGAATATTCAACGCCATCCTACCTCACCAAACGCAGCAAGACTTCGCAGTAATCGCCTAATCCGCAAATGATTGTTAGTTGTGTTTACCCTGGCTGCTGTCTGTTCCCAGCTCGTTCCAGCGTCGCTCTTCTACACTCTACGCGGTCCTAGCTTTCGCTAAACCGATTTGGCGTTTCATGCTGTGAAAGGCACACCGAAAGAAAACGGTTTCAGTTTGTTGGCGGTTTGTGCACGAGAGAGGCCAACCGAACACTTAGTATCGTCATTACCTGTTCTGGCGTTTATGTCTGCTACCGGAAACATACCGCACGCCACTGATCAATGGTGTATCTTTCATGGCTTATATCTTCCAGTAGATAAGAGGTGCACGTGGTCAACTTATCATTCACGTTGCTGATTTACATCAAAATATACCGTGTCTACTATTGACAACTGACGGTCGTGCTAAAGTGCATTTTGTTTGACAGTTCTATTGTATTTTGATGAGGTGGGCGGCGAAGTTTAAAATTTCGTCCAATAAAACAAAGACGAGACTTGTTTTGATGGACAACATATCAACAGTGTTCCACCTTGGGGCGTTTATGAAAACAAGGCTAGAGATCTTCATTAAAAATTGTTCCAATATTTTTTCGCAAGTTCATATCTGACTTGGCAAATTTTGTTTAATTTTATTGTGACTGGCGATGAAAATTTGCAATTCTTACATTTGTCAATAATCTATCGCCCTCTTTCTTCTTTTGAAAGCCTGTTTCAATTAGTTTCCTGCCAACCTTGTTTACGTTTGCCTTTTATTTTCATCAAAATAATAATCGAGGCTTAAATTTCTTAAAATACATAAATATATTTGGAAGATGTTGATCTGGTGTTCAAATTAATAAAAGCGAATTTAAACAGATCAGCAGTGAATCTGCAAATGTTTCTTTCGTACGTTAATTAAAGTAAATGAAAGTCGTTCGGTTGCAGACAAATGATTTTCCTTGATTTAAAATTACTAGTCTTTCTTTTGTTTTTAGATGGTTCTCTTTTTTAAAGAACAAGGGTTTTCAACCATATTTTAAGATTCATGCTATATTTCCTTGGGTAGAAAAATCGATTCTGAGATTTTTACAAACAGTAAACCCGAGTGATGTGATAGATGTGTAACGTTGAAGAGTAGCTCACATCCTAGCCCAGTGAGTTTTCCTGCCTCATTTTCACCGGTCAGATTTGTCAATTTATAAGACACTGAGATAGACGCAATTAGTACGTAAAGTGCCACTATGTGTCCATCAACTTCTTATTTTGCATACAAGAGAAACGAAGTCCAAGCAGGTAAAGCGCCTTTAAGTCTGTGTTGGGTTGTACATCACTGTTCTATTCAAGAACTTGCTTCCGAGCCACGCCGGCAAAGATGTCATAAATCGAAGCAGACTAATGTCGTTTTTGTCTCGTGCTTTTTTAAACCACCTGACGTGAAATGACATATGCCATGAATTTTTACAAAAGCACTCAGGGCTTTAATATTTAACATGGTCACCACAAACTGCGTATTATTGCCCAAAGAGCAGAAAGGTACCCAAGGTCGACACTGCAAAACCCGTGATAAAGAACTAAATTAGTCACCAGTGGGTTCACCTTGCCGTCACAAAGTGTAAATAAAGCTGTGCAGTTGAATAAATTGTTTTTGGCGTAGTTTGTCAGGTGTTTTGTCAATTGGGCCCTCGCTGGCGCGATAAAGTAAATATGGTTGGTCTTAACGGCGCGCTACGCATTAGCGAGAGATCGAGGTTATGTTCGTATTGCCTAAAATAATCAACCAAGAAGAGAAAATGCTTTGCGAAAACAAGCCTGTGATATTTGCCTTGCGATTCTGCGAAGAGCAAATATGTCTGTAAACAGTCTAAGACACGCAAGATAAATATTGCGTTGGTGACAGTGAAATCAAACCAAGATGCTGATTTTACCTGGATGTCAGTGTAATCATCTGACGCCACTGATAACCGCCTGGACTACCGTAGAGCTCGTCTTGAACACGAAAACTCAATAATGGAGCGAGTGGCGTATTCTAGGCCCGTACTTCGAATAAATTATGTCCCAGGATTATTTTCAATAGGACAAACAAAACACTAGCTACACACGATACTAAATAAATATTTTTGGACGAAAGAAAGCACATTTTGGATTGCAGATTTCACTGTCTTATCCGAAAAACGAAGCTTAATCATAGCGGATCACGACCATTAACTCTGGGAAAAAAAATAAAAAACACTGGCCATGCCAACGATAATCCGAAAAGATCTTGTTGTTATTTTAATACTGCTGGATGCAGAGCGGGAATTATCTAGGCAGTTTCAATTCCATTTCCGGATTATTTTGTCCAATGTACGGCTTAGCGAAAAGTAAAAAAAAAAAATTAACATTCACCGATTATGTTGCTCTCTCTTTGAAACGATTAATGCCTAGGAAACGAGAACATCATTTACTGACGGATATTTCAAAATTTTAACCAATTCTTACAATTTTCAGCGAAGCGAAAGGCTGCGTGATTACTTGAGAACTGGCGTGGTATCTAAAAAGGCTTAACAAAACCTTTTGTGTTGCCAGTAGCTTATCCCGTTTGAGCGCCAGCCGCAACAGAAAATAGAAAGCATTTGTCAGGGTTCATTTTTAATTCGCATCACTCTTGGGAAACCTAACTCCTTTACCGCTTTATTCACTTCCAGGCTAATCTGTATTTGGCTGAAGCCGTGTAAAGTGTCACTGGATTATGTCAACTATGAAACGCCCACGAATTTATTTATCCCTTTTGGAAAAAAATACGTTGAGGGAAACTATTTTCGATAAACAACGACTGTGTTTTTTTCTTGTTTTTTCTTTTTCGTTTGGTGATTTTTGTTTATGATATACAGTTGCCATGTAATCGGACTAACGTCTCCGTACATTTTGCATCCTCAAATATATGCTAAGAGAAAAAAAAAAAATGTTGCAGTTTTGCCGAAAATAATGTAAATATTCTTGGAATTATTGATCGCTGGAAATTTGACCTTGAATATAACCTCACAAGGAACATTTTGGTTACTTTTTGAAACATCCTTTTTTCAGAAACACTTGTTTTAATATCAGCTGCGAAGCTGATATTAAAAGTCTTTCTTAGGTCAACTTGAAACCATGTAATAGTTTTTGTTACCACTTAAGACTGTTCAGATTTTCTCCAAATGACAAAATCAGTCTCGGAGGGACAACTTTTATTTTTCAATTTATTTAGCACCTAGATAAAACCTTCACCAAGTGCTGATCTTGTCTAGACATCTTGTAAACGGTTATATCATTCGCAGTATAATGGCGAAATAAAACACATTCATGTTGCTGTTTAATGTAACACTCATGACACTAACTTCGAAAATAGGATTTATCAGCAATGCTCTTGGCCTGATTGTCATAACTCGCTGCTAGGTGAGCAGAGCAAATTTTATCACGTCTCTTACTTGAAAACTTGAGCTTAAACATGCAATGTTTGTTTCAAACTTACACTTGTATGGACAGATCTGTTGAGAAATTGATAAACCAATAAAACAAGGAATCAAACAAATTTAATAACACAGCTTTGGGATATCGTCGTTTCCAGGTCTTTCTCTACAAAAAAAGTCCACAATTGCAAAACGATAATTCGTTGCCTGCCGACGATAATAAAAGTTGTGGACGTCACAATCTATTCTTGTGAAAAAGGTATTTCTGGAAACCCACCCACGGGTAAGGATTTAGTTTCCACTCTTCCTTTTGATTTGTTTTGTTTGTTTGTTTGTTTATCTTCGTGAAGTAAAAGATTTCACCTTTAAATTTGAGTAATTTAAAAGGGCCGGTGAAAGGATGATAACTGATGGTTATTGAGATGCAATTAGGATAACAAAATTGATAGGCAGTTAGACAATTTGTTTAGCCGTTCATTCAGAGTCAACAATTTTTCATTGTGAGCATGAATGTTTAGCTATGTGCCCTGTTTCACCCATTTTGAAAACTCAGTCCCACAAACAAACATACTAAAAAACGAAAACAAATGACAAATGCCGAAAAAAAAAAGACCAGCTTAAAAGTAAGTTGTATTTAAAATTAAATAACTTCAAATATTTATGGTATCCTGAGAAGTGCTTAAAAACACAATGGAGGTGTCTTTTTTTGAAGGTGATTAGGGTTCATCTCAAGAACATTTGAAATCATAGATCTGAAAATGACCTGCTGGCTGACAGCTGGAGTACAAAATTTTCAGCCAATTTTTTTAGGCGTTCGTGTAATTCCTTAATCCACTGAAAGACTCAGGAAAGTTAACAGTTCTCTGTTGTATGGTTTTACCAACCAGAAAGCGAATAGCAAAGCTATGAAACTTCAACCCAAATTTTATTCAAACTGGACGGGGGCATGACGAAGGGCGCGTATATTAACCCTTCCACTCCCAGTTCTCAGCAATGTCTGCCAAGCATATAATATGATCTTGTCTCTGAGAAATTGATGGTTACTCAAACATTATCCTTTCCTTAGCATTTCTTTTTCTCCTCATAACCTTTTTGCCAGAAGCAGTAATGCCAGGGAACATTGCAAGGAGAAATTCTCAGTCGCCCACCCTCAGTATTTGGAGCATCGGTTAACATTTAAGACGCTTTCAAAGGAAGCAGAATTGAGGCACACAATTCTACATATGTTTAAACTATAACCTCGTGATCTAAAATGGAATTTTTCTCACGAATTTAGTAAAAAATACTTTCATTAGTTATCTTAAGTCTAGATATTCTGCGCTTGTGCAACGGAATCATATAAACAATAAAGGCTTTGAGAGCTAGATTACGAATGTTACGTATGAACATGACCAAAATGCTCCTTGATTATGTAAGAGGGTCTTGGAAGACTTTTAATCTTCTATATTTTCGATAACTGAGATTCCAAGCTAGTTTTGAAACTATGGAATGAATGTCCTTTGTTCTCAGAGGGGAGAATGCTTGTTTGGGGTATCTTCGGATCGAGATCACGAGAAACTGCGATGAAAACAGATAGTGTATTCTGACTTTGAGAATTATTTCCCTAAATAAAAGGCTGGAATGAAGAGATGATGAGAAAACGAAAAGAAAATAAAGCACCAGATATCAATTTACGAATGGTAAGTTACGTATTCAAAGAGAAGCTTTAAAGGTAATCAGAAAACGAATGACATACCAAGCGAAGTGAAGTTGATCTGCTTCGTTAAATTTCATCGTTGGAATGTTCGCGCTCTGTGCTGCGTTGAATCGACTGATTTGATTTTTCATCTGATATTTATGAAGGGTATGCCAAGTTCTTTGCAGGTAAGTGGAGTTTTAGAGCCGGAAAAACTTCCGTCCCTTTAGTGACAAAGATCCATAAGATGACGTTTTAATTCGTGCAGTAATCCAGGGAAAGGCGATAATACCAAGGAATTTTCAGAGTCAGAGTTCACAGCTGCGGTTCAGGCTAAAATATAATCTCTTAAAATTGTTTTCTCTGGTACCCTTGTGATGTAAGATTTTAACTCAGAAATTGCAGCCAAACCTCATTATCCATGAACTGATGTAATTATTTTTTCACAATAATTCTTCCCTCTTGCTGCTATTTTTAGACGAGTGAAATCAATATACATTCAAGGTGTGGCTATAGCAGTCCCAGGGTGTTTTTATGCGACTACCGTCTGAGTCAAGAAAAGGTGATAATTTTCCATTGTAGTTCAGTAAAATAACCTGATTTCCTCCCGAGACCAGTCGGATGCTGGGCTATGAACCCCTGCTGAAAGTTTGACGAGCAAGCACTCATTATCGAAATGGATACTTACATTTTTGCACTTTTCCCAAATATTAAGAAAACTTAACAGCCTTCTTTTTTTGGTTAGTTTGTTCTTTATCTTGGTAGTTTTTCCAGTCAGTTTCGAGGGGATAAGGGTGGGTGAGTATTGTGTGTGAGTGAGTGAGACAGCGAGCAAGAGACCTAGGTAACTGAGTGATTGAATGAGTCAGTTGGTCGGTTAGTTTTTCATATTTCGAAGCCTCTTTTCTTACAATAAACATGCAATCGTATAAAAAAGAAAAAAAGAGCAAACCATACAACTTGTTTCAATGATTAAAAAAAATCCGAAATCATAACCAGCTTAGACTACGTATGACAAGACTACGTATGACAAGATCAAAAACAAGAAGTATGCCTTTTCCACTCAGTCTCGAAAAGGTACTCCCTTTTTAAAATATTTTGTTATGTCCATTTTCATTGGAAAACGTAGCATCCACAATAAGACTTCTCCCCAGCGTAGAGGATAGAATATTCCCAACTTTTAGTCGAAAAACGCTCAAATGATGGTGGCATTTATCGGTGCAACAAAACTGAAACGATGAATTGCGCCGATCTCCGTAACAAATTAATCAAAAAGACAAACAGAGCTTACTTGTTATGTGACAAATAACCGCGTGTATCACCGACCTACCTCAGTATCAGCCTTGGGTTGGTTGATGATCCGGATGTTTCTTCAGTCAGTTTCCCGAACCTATCTGCGCAACAGGTCGAGAGTATCTGAAATTCAAAATAGAATCAAAATACTTTAGTCAGCTCTCCATATCCATTAGAGTCAATTAAGTGATAAAAGCTACTCAACGGATACACGTCGTCAAAATGTGATTGTGTCAAGAGCACGCAAGGGGCCTTGAGTGAAGAAATTGTAAAGCTGTTTGGCTGGAAAGTTCTAAAAACGCTGTTTACACTCTTTGGAACAAAGAATCTCGATAAAAACTTGGAAAATTGAATTGGAAGACAAAGCGGCGCGCATGGAGATAATCACCCACCTTAATGTGAAAACTGAGAAGAATCACAAGAAAGTAAATACATTTGTTTTTCTCCTCGTGGTCTTTTGCAGGTGCAGAGTGTCACTAGAACCCAAATTAAAATGAGCAATTAATTAGTTTAAGGGGTTCAACAAATTGACTTTCTACGAATCAATCACCAGTGCGAGAGAACAAGAAAAAATAATTAACAAAATTGTTTACTAAAGCAACCGCCCTATTTATTCAACCACAGCCCTACCCGGTCTCTGTGTAAATAAAACAAGTCAATGGGAGGGTTTACAGACACGTTGTAAAGCGTGAGCCAAAGTAATTAAATTTCTATTAAGTGAAGCCGATAAACTTTGGGGCGTGCAGCAGCGGGTATTGAAAAACGTTTTTATGATTCAGACGATGCATGGAAGTGTGGTCTTTACAGTTGAGAAATGTCAATTCTGAGATACCGATTCTAAGATTAAGAAGACTCCATTAAAAATATCAGCAGTTGCAATTTTATCAGATTTCAAAGACTAACAAAAGTCTCTCTTTCTTATCTTGTTCCGGTAAGAAAGGGAAAAGCATTATTCGTGCAAAGGGGGTGGATTGTCTAACCTGATTTTTTCCGTGGGACAGGCGTGTTTGCGGTAACTGAGTTCAAAAAATCGCTTTCTAGTTTTCCTTAGGCTCAATGGTAACATCAAGTACAATTGTAATTTTATCAGATTGAAAGGACTAGAAGAAGTTTCTCTCTCTTATCTTGTTCCGACAGGAAAGTGGAAAGCATTAATGGAGCAAAATGGGCGGACTGTTCCACCTGACTTGTTCCGTGGGACAGGCGTGTTTGCGGTAACTGTGTTGGAGATTTCCAGAAATCTCCTCTGTAATTTGCCTTAATTGAACAAATGAATCTTACCATCACAAAGAAAATAAAAAATAAAAAAAACAAAAGCCGTTTCTAAGAGGAAAAAACTTGAGGTATATATCCGGGATTAATGAAGCTCAAACAAAAAGCATGTGCCCGACCTCGTTTTGAGTTTAGTCGCGAAGGAAGATCACCTTCGCGCCATTGTTACATATCCGGAACAAATAAAACTTATGTTCCCGTCATTTTTATAACACCACGCGAGCAAAAATGTGGAGGGCAGTCTCTTCAAATGTAACAATTTGTTTCAAGAAGACTGAGAAGCCATATTTTGCCCAAGATGCTACATTTTGTGAAGGTACTACTCCTTGAAAGCCTCACCAAATGTTTGTGTTTTCGTTGTTCGCACTTACGACTATAAGCGTAACTTTGATGTCTACTGGCGAGCAAATCATTACTCTCTCTAACGCCCGCTAGTGTTAAAAAACCGTCGTGCTTTCTACTTAGTGGTTCAGGAACTAAGCAATCCAACATGGGAGGCATCCTCTGACAAAATACAAAGACACCGTTGAAAAATCAATTCATCTTTTGCTTTGTTGTGTTAGACGCCTCGTCATTTCATTTGTGGTCTTTTATTTTTTGGGTCACTCACTTATTTGCAAAACTATTATGCATTTTCTTGCATCGAGCCTAAAAGACTGCAATCGAAATTGTTTCGATCTTAACAAGGCTTTGAGTTGCGGAATATTTTTAACACAACATAGCTAAATGATAATCAACTTAAAACGTTCGTGCAAGTTTTAGAAATGTACTAAAACAGACAACGCATGCCGGCTTTTCTTCAGTTTTCTTGTGACAACAAGTTCCGCGTGTCTCCTTTCTTTTGCAGAAAGTGCTTTTTCTTTTCAACTCATCATCATTGTTTCTGTTGAACGAGTCGCTGTTAAGATGGTAGATTTCCTTGGAAACTCAAACAACTGTCTCGCGCAACAGCTTTGTTTAATTAATCCAACGTTTTGCTCACTTTGGCCGTTAGCTGAATAAACAGCTTTTACGACAGCAGTGCAATATCCTCGATATTTCACAGGCGAAAATGTCTCTCAAACCGGTGAGTAAATAACTATTATTTTCCCTGAAACTAAAACACTTTTAATACACTTTGGATGTTGGTTACACTAGAAGAAAAATGCGCACGTTTTGAATCTTTGTTACTGATTATTATGCATCGACTGTCGCCAACCCATCGACTTTCGGAGATATTGAAATGATTTAAAAACAAAGTCGTGGGAGGCCTCAGTGAGAAAATGTTTTGTTTGAAAAACTCTGAAGGGTTTAAAGGGACATTTCTTTCACTCCCATTGGTATAGAAAACTGGTGACAGTGTAAAACCGACATTAATCAAGGGAACAATTTTGTGCACCCACTTACCACAAAATCAGAAAGAAAATGGCTTATGCTGTTTCTTGTAAACAACTAGTGTATCATCTCATTTCATTTCTGAGAAGGTCTTGCTATGGTGTAGACGGGACTTTAAATAACTACTGTAACAAAGTGCTCGGTTTGATGTCCTGTTTCTATCACGTCAAGATGCCGATGAGACAGTTTTTTAATTTGAGTTGTCGAGTAACGCAAAGTCTGTCGGGGAACGTATTCATTAATAAAAGTGCCAAGCCAGTCAGGGCTTTCTGTTAAAAAGGGAATTTTTAGAAATTCTGGACATTACAAGAAGTCGTCGGTGTCTATCAAAAAACATCGTAAAAACGTACAACAGTTCATAGTTAAACTTCTATTCCTCAATTAGAAATTGTTAATGCATGGTTCAGAAGGTACTGATTATTCAGCAAAGGTTTAAATTTTCATGAGTGAGAGCCAAATGTTTATTCTACTTTTTTTTTTTTTAATTTAACAGAGAGGAGGAGAATATATTATCTTAACGCGATGTTCGTTTCCGAACTGAAGATTGTTGCCTAAGATCTTAGTGTGGTTTTATTCCTACGGTGTGAAAATTCACGATGTTACCGCACAACATGTTCACAGTTTCCTTGTCAATTTTCAGAAGGAAAACCAGTTAACTTGCATACAAATGGAAATTAACCGCTCAAGCTGATGTTTAATTGTCACCATAAAATTATCATAATTGCCACAAGGCATGGAGATAGCTTTGACACGAGGTAATGGTCAGCCGTTGGTAAAAGTTATAAAATAAAACTGTTATGCTAAAAGACGGTGAATTCTTACTATAGGATTGTTGACACCAATTTTTCCAATTTTAAATTGATGAAATGCCCATTACAAAGCTGTTCCGTATCTAAAGGGGAACATACAGGCTTGGAAAGATTATTATCGAAATGGCATACTATCAGCGGTTTTTAGAAGCGCACACCATTTTCAAATTTTTGTTTTTTGCATGGTTACCGCGAATTGGCGTTAGCTGTGAATAAATATGAAAGCAAGGTCCTTCCAAAAGCAGTTTGAATACACAATCTAACTTTTTCCTCCATCCAAAAACTTCATTCTAAGTTTTCCCTCAAAAAGTTAACTTTCTGTGAGAAGACCTTCGCCTGCATTCACCCTTATATCTTTAAGCAACGTTCTGAGTCTCAAACTGTCCAGAGAAAGAAAAATGAGAATTTCCCTCTCCGACACCATTGGGACAATTAGTGGTTTTTTAAAACTACTTTTTGTAATCGTAGCATGTCCTTTCCTTAACTTCAGTCATAAACTCTGTATATCTATTACCAACTTAAAATCAAGCAAAGAAGTGGTACTTGCCAGTGTTCTAGTAATTGCTGAAAAGCCTTAAATACAATTCAGATTGTGACGGGATTCGAACCCGTGACTTTAAGACACTAACTGGGCGCTACCTACCCACTACAACTGAGCCTCGAAGCCACAGGATGGGAGCGAGGTAAATAAAAAGTTGTTACACTTTTAATATTTTGAGTAAATCCTGTTTCTTAACCTTTGTGAAAGACATTTTTAACAGTATATAAAAGGCGTCATCTGCTCTTCAAGAGCACTTTGCTTCCTTGCATAAAAAACTAGATAGCTAATTAGGTCGTAATTTTTAAGTCCCCACAAATTTGAATACAAGCTCTGCGTAAAGTTTAAGTGTTATCAATTCTTAGTTACCATGCATTTAAGTAAAAACTATGCCTTCGGCTATACTGTACTAACAGTGTGTTGGAAAGTGATTTCCTTTAGAAAATATGATTGAGTTTTGCGCTTCAAACGTTGTAAACCACCGTAGGCATAATTCCGTTTAAAACTGTTTTTCTTTGAAGACAAATGAAATTGTTTTGACTTAGGGAAAGGAAAGAAAAGTCAGACAATTCTCCGTTCAAGCCATTTAAAACATAAGATGATCCGATAACATTTATTTTGGAAACTAAGATATAGCAGTTCTTTGCACAAACGGTCTCAGGGCTGACAAATGTTCCTAAAACCGATTGCCTGAAATTACTTTTTAACAGCAAATGGTTTTACCTTATTTCAAGTAATTTTCCTCTAAATGACCGCAATCAACATATAAAGGAAGCAGATCGACCACTTAAGAGCATTTTAACTTAATGTAAACCCGAAATGGGCAGATAACCGGAGGGTGTTGCTTCTCCATTTCCTAAGTCACAGCAGGCTTGTTTATACAATTAAGAGCCAACCCTTTATAAAATCAACAGCTATTCTGTGTTTCGAGATGTTTCAGCAACCACCACTTCAAGATGATATGGAGATAATTTCTTCTTTTATCGCTCTCATACCCTGGCACATTAAGAGTGACCTCAGCGCCCTCAAACGATAGTTGTTATGGATCTAAAAACTTTTAAGTGCTGCGCGCAGCGGAGGAAGATAGCATATCTAGTCAAAACACTGATAAATGTAGATTTCTGAACGCTCTCATTATTTCCAGAACCTGACTTCAGATTTGCACTCGGCACGGAAATTCGAACATCGATTAAACTGTCTTAAAACTACATGTTTGTCGAACCAAGCAAATAACTTGACACAAGATTGCGCACAGGAGGCTTGACAAGCGCGGCATTTGTCACAAATGTTATTTTGGCCTTTCAAGGCTTTCACGAAGTGAGTGAACATCATACAAACACTTTGGAAGCAGCTGGAGTGAAAATATGGTCTCTTGACATATTCCGTAGAAAAAGCTGTCGCTTTTAAAATTTGATCTCCACCAAAATTGATCTCAAATTATTCCTTTGATTAAATGTTTCTTCTATCTTTTTGCTTAAAATTTACTCATTTCTAGCGGCAAGTACAAATCATTTTTAGTCAATCTGAAGCTAAGTATTAAAGCCACATGTTTATGTGAGAATTTCATGCGAAAAGTGGTTTAAAAGCCACTTTATCTTCTTAGAGAAACCCGTTTAATCGGCGTGCGTTTGATGTACACCTCATGCGGTTAAACCTTTTTTCACTTCGTACAGGACTGTTTTTTAAGGAAATTTAGAGTGCCGGTACAGGAGTAAGTAAAAAAACATTTGAAATTGCAATCACTGAGTCTTAAAAGAGTCAGATGTTTTTTCAAGTGTGTTCAATTTACCATTAGCTGACTGCCAGTGAACTTCGTGGTGAAATTTTAGAATATTGGCGATTCATTTTTTCAATACGCAACTTATTATTATCAGCATTAACAATTTAACCCCAGTTTGATGAAGATGAAAGATGGGTGGTCTAAAACAAACCTTAGGTAACAAGAGAAGAATGACTGAGTAAATCCTACGATGTCCTTCCTGATCGCCAAAAGCGTTTACTTACTCTATGCCGTCAATTCATCCGACTTAAGATGCATACATTTTTGCTTAATGTCGATTTTTCGAATTATACATGCATTTTGGCCTTTTAACGCGTTATCAAGAAAATTGCTTTGAAATGTCACTTGTGTTATAACTTGAGACAGCTGGAAATGAACGAAAAGAAAATTAAGAACACCTCATTTTGACAAAGCAGAATCAAATGGTATTACATATTTGTATTCATGTTCAACCTTTCTGTGACTCTTCAAACGCAGTTCAACTTTACCTCGTTAAGTTGAATGAATGAGTTCATTCAAGCATTAGTTCCTGTCGTTAAAAGATGCAAATTGTTTTGCAAGACATTGGTGAAGGCCTTTTATCACAGCGGGGGCTTTTCATAGAGCGCATTAGTAGGGCATTCGTATTAATAACTTCTTCTGGTAAAGCCAAGGGAAAAAATATCACAAGGCGAACATCCTATGCAGATCTTTATGATGATCTGTTTTGTGCCACAGGCTTCCCTAGATCAAGGTAACGTCCTTTTTTCTTAATTTAGATGAAATCTTCTTTCTTATCGGTCAAATACCTGATTTTTATTGCGAAGGTTAAAAGCGTGTCCATCTAAATGGCAGCAGTTAATTGTTTCTAAAACAATTGTAATCCTTACTACATGGGTGAGTCAGAACCAACGAAAAACCTCTTAAAATCATTCTTACAGTATCCTTTACCACAAACTGGCCATTTTCTCCGTTTTGTAGCAAGTATTGATCAAACTTTGGATTCAACTGATCATACATGTTGCTTCTTCGAAAACAACTAAACATTTAACCGAGTTTCAGTAATCAAATCGCTTTGTGAAAAGTGATAACTCGCTTTTATCTCGATTAAAAATGTAAAAAATGGCAAGACTCGTTTTGCTAAATGAAAGGAAGTTTAAGGGAGGAAAACAACTTGTTATTTAAAATTAAGAAACAAAATAAAGTAACCGGATTGGTAAATTCAGTATAAGAGTAAATCGCAAACAGTGAGCATCTAAATGCAATGCTTGGCTGGATGGATTGTCAAATCAAAGGAATAAATCATTTTGTGGTACATCCCGAGCTTCTATTTCAACTGCCAAGCGGGAGTAACTACGTGACAAAATCGAATGATTTTAATTACACGTTTAAGCCCGGTTATTCCTTGAGGTCTCCTCACCTTACAGATACGATGCTGTAAATTTATCTATCGTTATTGTTAAAGAAAAGGCAAATAAATGGTCGTGAAATTCTGAATTAAAATGAGCGGACTGTACGCAGATTTTCAATTACACCCAAAACTCTCCTGCCAAAAGAAGAAGAAGAAGAAAAAAAGATAAGAATTAAAAAAATAGAAAAAAGATTTGATAAAATTTTTATTAAGTAAAGAAATGATCCTCGCAGGTGTGCCACAATTTAAATAATTGCAGAATAGAAGCCTGGCTAAAAAATTCAGGCTTCGACAGGTCTTTACCTATTGCCTCCCAGATATCAGTTGGGCGCTGCTACCAACTGAGCCACGAAGCCGCACGTTGAGGACACGGTGAATTTAGAGGATTTTGTACCTCAAATGGTAACGCCCTGAAACTGGGAGGTACGGATCCTGTCGGGGCCTATATTTTTTCAGGCTTCTTTTGTGCTTGGCTTACATTGTAAAAAACCTACGAGAACCATTTCTTTCCTTGCTTTTTATCCGCAGGCCAAATTAACATTTGTTGTGTAATTTATTAACATAGAAATGGGTTTCCTTTTAATGACATTTCCGCTTACGAAAAAAAAAACCCAAGTATAAAGAAAATGATTCTCAACACTTAAGGTCGTTGTATATATCGAGCGGTTTCAACAAAGAAATCTTGTTCTATGAGAAGCTTAAATACTTAGGACGATCCCGAAAACCGCAAAGCGGGAAACAATTTTTTGCTGTTGCTACTTTGAAGGTCATTTCGATGCTATCAAAAGAACGAAAAATTCAGGAATACAGGAACTCCAGCTATTTTTCATTATCGTATAAAAGCTTGAAGAACTTTACGAAACTGAAAAAAGCACCAAAGCTACCCTTGAAACCTTTCAGCGTTGTCGCACACGCTCGGTTGTTTTCCTACGTTTTAGTCTCCGCCATCTGCTCTGTTTCACTTACAAATTTTTTCCTCCTGTCAAGCAAATTTTTTATAAATTTCAACTGTTTCCATTAAATTTCAACGAAACTGCAGAGAAATGCACTGAGTCACTAGGAAAGATGGTTCCAATTGAATTTCACCATTTCTTTTCAAAATGTAAAAGAATAGCGTCATTCTCACTGCAAGTTTGAATTCAGCAAGTGAAAGAACCTTGCAAGTTTACCATGAAAATAATTTTCGCTCGTGTGAATAAATTCTAAAGTCAAGCACAAATTAAAACAATAAATTCGTCAATATCACAAGCATATTATGGTGGTACAAATAATTTTTGCTGATATCCGTGCAAGTTAACAATAAAAATAATTTTTCTTTACGAGAATAAGTTCTAAATTCATGCACAAATTTGAAAATAAGTTCGTTAGTATCACAAGCATTTTTTGTGGGTATTGATATACTTTTGTTTATAATAAACAGTGATTGAAAAAGTACTCACCAACTTGAGAAGTTTGTAGTTGTTCCAAGTAATTTTTCTTAATGCGATGGAGAGTAAGTGCATTCATATTTTACTTTAAACCGATCAACAACATCCGTATAAAATTCATGTGTGGAATGACATTCAAGGAACTTGTAAAGAATAGAGTCTGGCTCCTTAAAATATAAACATTTATTTTCAGTCATCGCTCAGGCTATATGTAAATAATTCTTTCTTAACGACAATTAGTCTAAGCAGTAACCTAAAATTAATTTGTCGTAAACTATTTTCTTTACGTGTCCTGCGATGAAATTTGATTTCCATTTCCTTGGTCCTATGGCCACACAAATTATTACCATTAATAAAAAGCCAATAGTAGTCCTAAATTTTTATTTTACAAAGATCAATGTTCATTGAAGGACTGAGTCAGAGAGAAAGTTGTTTTTGCGGCTGTTGGGCCTTCTGACTCGCTCACAGATGAAACCTTACGTAATAGATGATTAGGAACTGCTAAAAAAAGCCTGTAAATAACTTAAAAATTTTTATTGATATGAAAAATAATTATTAATATATCTTAACCGCGATGGACCTCAGCGATGGACCTCAGCATGATCGCAGTCAGATAAGTGTAAATTTTAACAGTTATGCCAGTTTGGCTATATATTTCACTATTCCTGTTCTGTCCTTTTTCGTTTTTGAACACGAAGCTCTACATACTACACGGGTATTAGCTATGTTTGATTTTTATTACCGTAGGTAAGCTTGTAATCTAACTAGACGTGAAAACCTTCAAAAATCGGACTGCTCGATCGTTTTCTCTTTGAGGATTTTCGCTTCTGCTGACGTCAATTACGGCACCTGGCATGTTTACAAACCTTGGTTTAGTTCTTCTGTTGCTACTTACTGGTTCGCTTGTTCCGAATTTTCACTCTAAATCAACGGAAAAGGCTAGAGAAAAGTCTGGGACATGGTCGGACGTAGTACAATTTGGCAGATTTGGAGAAACTAAACCATCATTGCTACAAGAGGCATTCCTGACATTGATCAACTCAAAAACGAGAATGAGGATGTGATTACAGAGATTCGTACACGTGGCCATAACTTTCCATCAAATGTTTCGCCAGCGCGCGGTTGGTCTAAACGGGTCGCGTGATCGAATATGCTGCAGGGGAGAATAACCGGTGATATTCCCCAATTTTCAAACCTTACGTCCAATACGATAAAATTCTCCGTTTAAATTTTGATTCGAGTTGAGTGGGCGTTTTGTTGTAATTTACAACTGAGAAGACATGTTTTTTTGTTCACAAAGTTGTATTCGAGAACTCTGAAAAGTGAACATCCAACGCAGCAAGCGGTAAGATGGCCGTAAACATTTTTTCCTACGTGCTGCAAAAAGAAAAGACAAAAAAAAAAAAAAAAAGACAGTCGCCTCCATTTAGGTTTATATCACTCCTTGGACATTATCTGTTCCTCGAAGCTCACAGTTTTCCGAACGCGAAACTCCTCGAGGCAGATAATGTCCATAGAAAAATATCCAAGCATATTTTCGCTCCAAGTGGAGGCTACGGATTATGTTTCTCAGTACTTAGCAAGGTTGATGTAATTGTTGGAAAACCCAAATTTGTAGTCCAAGGCATACCACTGACGATCATTGCCATTATATTAATAAGGATGATAACGATGTACTGAGTACCTCTTCGATAATTTGGGACGACGTAAACTTCTTAAAGAAATAAAATGAATAAAAATTCTTAAGAACCTCAAACGGTAGAAGGTAAATCCGTCAGCAATGTGAAATGCGCAGCGGAGGAAGTGAACTCAGATCTTTGAGTAAACAAATCTAAATCGCCTCATTCATGTTTTTAATACGAGTATCCAATTTCAACGTAAGCCTCGCTTTCAAATTTCAAAGAGCGGGCTGGTGATTATTTGAAAGAAACTGTTCCTACAGCGCTGAGATTTAAAGAAACCCCCATATAAAAACGGTGTAAACGAGGCCTTGAGTAGAATCGTCAGCAGACGACAAAATCACGGATACGGGATATCCAGTGACAGAGGGGTGAACATCATGAGTACTTTCAAATCCAGTTCCCAGGATCTCTTGGAAATACTGCTTTCGCACAGAAGATTGATGGATGTTGTCTTGATATATAAAAATCGTCTAACCCTCTTTTACTTACAGATCTTGATAGTGACACGGGTCAAAGGTCTTTCGACTTCCCGCAGTTCGAGGGGCCGAAATTGAATCTCATTTGTCCCTAACCATAAACTCAAATCATAAATTTCATATATTTTCATTGAGATTATTTTCTGGCTTTATTACTCAGCGTATTGTCTGATACACACAACATCGTAATAGAATGTCTTATAAAGAAAAACTGCTGTTCGGAGTACTCCTAACGAAGGCAAAGCGGCTCACTACTCGTCCTTAGGACTGTAGAAAGAAAAAAAAAACATCATTCAGTGTAGGAAAAAATTATTTCACGACTTCTATGAGTCAAGAATCCCATTTTGAGCTCCTCACTATCCAAATACGCCGCCAAAACTTCGAAAAAAAGGGCGACTTTGGGCGTCATAGGTAGGCGGCCATGTTACTTTCGTTATTTGCAAAGGGCTGGGTCCATAACCGAAATTTTTTGTACCTCTTTGGAATCTAGAAATCTCGGTGATTATATGAATAAACCAAGCAGTGAAGGGGGTGGCCATGGGTTGCAAACATCAACTGGGTTATAAATCAAGGACTGGAAAATTCAAGAGGGTGATGTTTTCAGGAGATTAAGATGTTTGCCGAGTTGGGGTCCAAGCTAGTTTCTGCACCGAACTTAAGTTGGTGGCTGGGATCGATGAATGATTGCAAGAATTCTCTTGGATGTGAACCAGTTTAAAACAAAATGTATCTCTCACGCTTACATCACTGAACTTGCTTTATCAGTTTTTAAGTTGAAGTGGTTTCTAACGATATTAAAGTGATTTCTGACGATACTCACTTTTCAATCTTTACCGGCAAGGCCCATAATTCGGCTGCAATTGTTGTTGGTAAATTTTATAGCAATTAACGACTTTAGGTTCTAAACTTACCACTGATAGTTGCACGAACAACACTTGAATCCCCCAGTACACAAATAGTCAAGATTCTTCACATGCGTATCATATGGTTCTGCTCTGCAAGACTCTCGGCAGTAGTTGACCTTGTGGTACGCAGGCCAAGAAAAATGATTGCACCTCGCTTTGAGTTAAAAGTAATCAACGATATCAATTAGGGCTTAACCGGTTCCTGACCATGTTTTAATAGTGGATTATCAGTCAATTTAAACGTGATATTTAAGACAATGGCTCTTATTTAATGCAAACTCCTCGGATAATCTTAGCCAAAAAAAAACAGCAAGAAAAAAAAAACCTCTTCATTGCGCATGCCAAATCTCTACCTCAGAGTGGACAAGTGGCTGAAAAGGGACGTCAAAAGATTCCATTTTACCGTCTGCCTTTTTTAAAAAGTGGCGTCTATCAGCTGAGCATTTTAAGACCTTTAAAAGTATGCTTTTAACGGTTGGCTTGAGACAAAACAAACGCGAAACTTCCCTTTAACTATTTTGTTCCCGGAAACAATCTGTGACAAAAGTGTCGGGAAAGTTCTACTAAAATAGGTACAAATACCATATCTTTTTCTCTGTAGTCCCTTTCCCCGCCCCGCTGAGGATTTTAATTTGAACCTTTGTGATCACTACCTTCGCTGTCACCTCTGATTACTGGAGGGGAAGGACTTTAAGGGGCACCTCGGAAATTCATAAATTATCAAGGTTGTCTGTTGTTAACATGGAAGGAAACATGAAACATGGACCTTTCGTGTGTGTTTTTTCGAAGATGTTTTATGGATTCATAGCGAGGATGGATGATGCACCATACTTCCAGCATTTGCCGAAGCTATATCGAAATTTCTTCGCCTTTTTCGGGGGGAAAGGAGGAATCATGAAGTGTGACAGAGGAGGGGTAGATTTTACGGGAGTATTTGTCACTATCCTTTTTAAAATTCCGTTCCGTTTAAGCTAAGTGACAAGCTCCTTAATTCACAACCTTTATAGTAATTGAAAATAGATATCGGGGAGAGGTTTTGTCAGCTTATTTCTGCAATCCGGGGTATGAACAAAGTTAAGGAACGTAAAATCCCCTGCCCCACTCCCCTCGAGGGCAGAAAAGGTCACGTTGTTGAAATGAAAGCGAAGTTGTCATTCCAGACATCTCCTACCTAGCTCCTCTCGTTTGTGGAAATATTCGTCCATAGGTTCGTTGGAGTTATAAAGATCAACGTTATACGGTTCGTACGGTTTGGCCAGAACCAGAGCTAATTGGAGAGCGACAATTGTCAGAAAAATCTTACCAATGAAAGCCATGTTTGCTGAAATGCAAAGATTGGAAATCAGTGACAAAGCTTTGATGCTGAAGCATGCTGTAACAAGCCCTTAGTTGAAAGGTGACAACGCCTTAATAACTGAAGCGCACAATAAGAGCAGCTACTCCTGAACGGAGATCAAGAAATATATGAAATCAAAGGTACGACCAGTTGTATGTACACGCACACCATTTACCGCTTCTTGCGATCTCTTCATGACTGCGGTTAAGAACTGTATTTCTCAACAAAAATTGAACTCACCTTTTTTGAGAAGTTACCACTCGAAATTCCAGCGCCGAAATAACTTTGCATGGATTGGGAAGGATAAATAAATTTCTTTGAATAAGTGACATCACAAGAAACCCATTTGCATCACGCCCTTTCTTTGATCTTGCTCATGATATCCGCTTCATTTAATTTTATTTAACACGTACCATTTTTAGCATTAAAAAAAAACACAACGGAACGATTGTCATAGTCTTAGATGAAAACGATGATAAAGTAATGTTTTTTCCTCAAATGTTAGAAATTGTTCTTAATCTCTCTTGTCATTATCATTTAGTGACAAACTCATCGGCATATAACGAATGGGTTATAGGAATTCACTCTGCCAATCAGTTACCCTTCATCGCAGTAAGAGTTAAAAAGCGGTAGACTGAACGGCGTCGAGATAGAAGAGCCCTCGGAGGGAATTAAATTTTGAATAAACCGTTCAAGCTTAAATTATTTAAAAAATAATCAGAAGCCTTAAAGAATAATACATGGGTGCGCGTAGATATGGAATTTCTTTTCGAGTGTTGAACTTGATATCTCACAAGTGAGGGCAGTGAATGTGTCAGATATCGAGTTGAACACTCGCACGCTCATGTATTACTTTTGATTATCAAATAAACACCAGAGGCTTTAATAGTCTAGAAGAGTCGACTTTATTCATTAATGAACCTGAAAAAAGTGGCGCGAAAGGCGAGTGACGTGTCAGCAGCTGATTGCAATTCTGCACGTGTGCACTTGCAACTTTTCTCAGGTCTGGAAATCCTTGTAAAACACCGCAGTTGAGATAATAAATGGAACCAAGATGGAAATGTTAAGAACTTTAACTGAACGAGAACTAATGGTGGAACACGGATGGTGTGTGTGTGCAACAACCCACACGTTTTTGTATAAAATTGAAGTGTATACGATGTCAATATCAATGAATAAATTTAATGTCAACCCTTAGCGAAAGCCAATCAACCGGAACAAAAAGAGAGCAAACATTGCCATTGCAGGTTTTCAGTTTGGATCTTCAAGGCCCTGATATTGCTGAAATTTGGAAAAGCAGTGTTTAAAATTGTTCCTCCGCTGCGCTTAAATACTTCAGTATTGCTCTGCACGTTCTGCAATGCGCATAAAACGACGTAATCAGGCGAATAAGCGCTCAATCCAAGATCAATGGACCAAGTAAAGAGGTACGAAAATTCTTAGCTCTTGAACGAGCACGGTGACCTATATTTTTTTATTGAATAATTTCGGTGTACAAATTATCCCCTTTAAATTGGAGAAATTAAAAAAAAATTAAGCATGGGGAAAAAAAGGTAAAAACGTGCACGAAATTCGTTATTCGAGGAGGTAAATGTTAGCCTTAAAAACAACGACTCTGAGAACTTTTTGAGTCGATGTCGTTTAAAATTGCGTGACTTTCCCACAAATTATACATCAAATTGTTCTTACGCTCGAGGTTTTCTAACTATCAAGATTTTTAGTGTTACTCAAAAACCCTTGCTTCCAGCTGCTGCAAAATGTGCCGTGATATGCCGTGCGTGAAAAGTCCTAGTACAGGCGTAAATAGAGCAAGCGAAACACATATTGGTAGAGAATATTTAAGGAAAGTAAAAAAAAAAAAAATGGTTCGATAAAGTCTTTTTCTTAGTAATCACCTTAACCTTCTGTGGCAAATAGAAATATAATCGTTACTAGCTCTCAATTCAAGCGTATTCTGGCTTTGCTCGTCTATTGATTTGGCATGTTTTTACTGAAGTGGGTGGCTTTTGACCTATTGTTTTCAAGCTTGATAATTTATTTATTATTATCCAGTATTATTAACAATATGAGGACTTTCACGGTTAGTAACCAGTGAACAACTATCGGTTTAGAACCCTACACAAAGAAGGGGAAAAGAACACGTATGAAAATGAATCTTTCTTTCTAGTTCGGTCCATTTGTCATAGCCAGGGGGCTGATATTTCCGCCCTTCAATCATGTGCACATGATGTAACAACAACTACTTTATCAGCAAAAATAGATCGCGTGACATTTGTAACATTTCCCTTTAAACGCACGTTTTGTAACGTTAAGCAAGTCTTTAACTCCTCAACTTAGGGTGACTAACATCTATTTCTCCTTACAAGATCAGCCTTGAATCACACATTAAGGTCATAAGATTGAAGAAAATGACCACCAGCCAAATAAGCTCTTGATTGTTAAACAAATTCTCCTTGTCAGCACCTTAGGAAATGTTTAGAGAACAATAAGGAGAATATTCAAAATGATGTTGGGATGCAAAGGATTAAAGATGCTCTAAGAGTTAGAGTCAGAAAATGTGTTCATTGAGATCTTGAGCAAAGAAAGTCGGTGAGGGAGGGGCCTGCAGGGAGTCTTATACCAATGCCACCGCAGTAATAACGATAGCGTGCCCACAGGTTAGAGAGCTGGGGCAGTGACAAAGGGCAAATAACTCAATTCTTTTTTTCTTAAGTCACTTGAGGTCCCTACAGCATGAAGAGATATATTTTATAATTGTCAGTGTTTGATAAATTGAGACGTATTAAACTGTTAGAGAATTCGTGTTTATGATTTAAAATTCTTCACTTTAATGCTGAAAAGTGATGATTAGCATGGGGTCATTACGGATTTGCTACAGTAAAACTGACGCGCAATTTTCATCGTTGACTTCAATGAGTTACCTTCTTAATCGATGGCTACGAAAGCTAAAATTAGTCCATTGCAATTTAAAAGTAAAATCAAGAACAATAGGGGTCAGACGCGCCTAAAAAATGCCATTTTGTCTACGTTTTAACAGTCCCAAAAAGAAAAATAATCTGGAATGTGTTGAGGATATCTTAACTCAAAGTGCATACATTGATTTCGGGGGTAAATATGGATTAAATTTGACTTCCGAGTTTATTCTTAGTTTTATTTGAAGGGTTCCACTCAAGGTGACCGTTCAACATAGGTGGAAGACAATAGAAACAGACCGTTCGGACTCAGTCAAGGGTTACAACGGATGTTTAATAGAGCCGGTGAATGCTTTAGTACTTAAACCCCTAAGAGTGACTGGCATCTAATTTCTTCGTACAATATCACCACTGAATCACACATTAATGTCATGAGAATAAAGGAAATGATCACTAACTAAAGAAACTCTTCGTTGTTAGACACATTCTCTTTATCAGCACCTTGGTAAATTTATGGACAGCAGTATGGAGAATATGAATACTCATGTTCGGGTGAAAAGGGGAAGATGTCGGGACTACCGCTTAATATGGTGCCACTTAATATAGGTTCGACTGTGTTTGTGTCCTTGCAACAAAGTCATCAATTTATTTCACGTCATCGTTTTTTTTCCTCTGTCTAAGATAACATATGACTATCTTTTCTTGTTTCGTTGTTCTCTTCAAGCCCATCTTCTCTGCAGCTGATCTCGGCTCAGGATCAAGTATTTTAGAATGGATTTGTTCCGTGCTGGGGGCACAATGGAGCAGATGTACTTTACTGCTTCAGGCGGACAAACGACAACCTGGTATCCTCGCTTAAGGATAAAAGCTTAACACAAAGACCATAGCGAGCTATTTTCTCATGGTGTTTGGAATGAGGGAAAAGGGTTTTATTTTAGGTTTGGAAAAGGTTAAAATCGTAGACGAAATGGCAGCGACACGCTCTTATCTATTCCACGTGTCCAACTTTGTTCATCAACACTTTCTTCTAATTAAAAGAAAGCTTAAAGGTAACCGAATGTCAGAAACTCAGAAAAAAAAAATCTTGACAGCAAAAAAACTCTCATGTGGGTTTGATTAGCATGGTAGCTTTTATTTTTCAGTTTGTCGTCATGTACGCGTATATAACCCAAATAAAATGCCTAAAGTTACTGAGTCAACAGAACTGAAGTACTGCACATGTAGGTCACACTGCTTATGGTTTGCTGTAGAATGAAAAAGAAACCCATGTCTTAATACTTTTTAGTCTTACTGGTCACATTCAGGGCTGTTTAGCAAAACAGAATCATTAGCTTTTGTGGCTATTTCCTCATATTGGAGGCGAGGCCACATATGTTACTGAGATGATTGACGGTAACCATAATATAATTTTTTTGCTTTTTCATTCTTTTTCTTAGACAAGAATTGAACGTTTTGTCAAGTGACAATCAAATACCTGTTCCAAAAAAGATTTATAAAGTTAAATCGAGTGTGTTAGTGCTGCAGTCTGCTGTTAAAAGCAATTGTTGCTTGAAATCATTGTGGCTCAGCCAAAAGAGTTGATAAGATTCAGCTGCTTTGTAATTCCTAAGAACTGATATTGCCTAAAGCGCAGTGAATGCAGTGCATACGAATGAACAAACCGTGTCTGTTTTGAGTGTCGCATCTAATTAATAGAGAGGTTGGCTTGTGTTTTCAAGGTCGATTAAAGAGCCGAAGAGTGAAAAAAATTTCAGAATATCATTGCAATTCCGGATAACTTTCGAACCTTTACTCAAAAAAAGAATTACTGTTATTTGAAATGCATAACTTACCAAGTACCTAAGCCCATGCATTCGCAGCATTTTTGGCTTTCAGTACATCCATGCACTGGCCCTTCGAATGCTCGCTCCCCTTCATTACACGTCACTCGGCAGTAGCCCACTATAAATCTGCCAGGAGAACATGCTTGGGCTTTGGTTGAAGAAGAAAACAACAGAAAAATCAACGTGATTCAATTGACTTTAGAAAGAGAGGGGATTGATACGAGGGATTAATAACGTTACTTTTTTCCAGTTAGAAGTTTTTCAGTCGACTGCCTTACCTTTGGCGCTTTTACCATTGTCATTACTGCTGATAAGATAGCTCTAAGAGTTTGCGGAATTCAATAAAGTATTTGGAATTTCTTAGAAAAATAATTGTGAAGATCTAAATAATTATAGTACCACAATGAACAAAAACAATTTTCTAAATGTCCCACAATCACTGTATCAACTAGCGAAAGCGACCTTTTCCTCGCCCGATTAGAGTGAAATACAAATGTTTTTCATGATTGAAACGTTCTTGAAAGCAGTAAATTTTTAACCAGTTTATGGAACAAAAATGTTGAGTGAGTTTAATTTAAATGGTCTAAATTAATACTGCGACGACATAGAAATGAACTGTAAATTTTTTATCTGGCGTTTTCCGGTTACAGCATTGAAAAACTTGAAAAATCTGTTGTATGTGAGAGATTGTTAAATAATCAATATTCTGTGTGGCTGAGAAGAACAATTGTCTTAGTGTAATTATCAGGAGCTAGCAGTTGTTTACCGGTGCAACTGAAATTTTATTGTTATAGAATAGTTTCTTCTTCAAAATATCAAGAAATCGCGAGGCAGCCTTCGATGTTGGGGCCTAAGTATTACTAGATGACAAAAGAAAACTAGTGTGACTCAGTAATAAAACTGATAAATCAACATTAAAACAAATCTTGTCACTTTTTGCGATTAAATTGATGTATTAAAGATATGTCACAAATGCTTCGGAAAAATAGCAAGATATTGTTAGAAATACCTTCTCGTCTGTGGAAATACTCATCCCGCATATCTCTATAAGAGGGAAAAAGTTCATCGTAAAGGGAATCGTAAGGCTTTGCCAAAACCAGTGCCACTTGAAGAAGGACAAGGGCCAGAAGAATCTTACCACTGGAAGCCATGTTAACTGAAATGAAAAGCTTGACTTTAATACACAGACCAACGCAAAATATGCAAGTGAAGATGATACATGCGTAATTGTGTAGCATCTTATTTTATCAGGATGTAAAGCTACGCAACAATCTCTTTTTTTCGATCGCAGAGTGAATTGGTGGGCGCCATTTGAGCATTTTTCTCACCGGCCCACCCACCCACCCGCAGCATATACCAGTTTCCTTCGCATGGAGCGAATAAGAGTATTGCTACTTCCCCCCTGGATGGAATACCACTCCATTGCAAGGTTACGCCAAGCATTTCATCATGCTTCCCTGACAATTCGCCGGTACCCATTTATACTTCTGGATGGAGAGAGGCACTGTGAGAGGAAAGTGATTTTCCTAAGAACACAAGACTGGAGTCCAGGGAACTAACCATAAGGATACTGCGTCTTCCTGTTGAACCTGGGAGGAGAGTGGATAACTATTTTTCGATTGATATATATATATATATATATATATATATATATATATGAAAAACTATACGGCTGTGGAATGATTCAAGTAATATTTTAGTGTTAAAAATTGAGTTACACGCGGTGATTGGTATGACTTTTTGGAACACTTACCGCTCCATTTCCTACTTCTTAAATTCTTCGACAGAGGGGTAAAAAAAGTTTATCTCAACGAAATTGGTCTTACCTTTCAGAGTTGAGATGCCAGCTCTAAAATCAGAGAACACGAATGACTCATTTAGCCGTGAGAATGACGCCTAAAAGACCATTTCACACAACGGTGACACAATTAACTATTTGATTTTATTCCACCCTTCTTTTGATCGTTACCATTTTTAGTTTCCTTATCATGCTAACCTTTCATAGAGGCAGCGATAAGAAATCCCTACTGCACGCAAAAACGTAGACGAGAATTTCAAAGAAATTTCTTCCCTTCTGTTTTTAGTGCCTGTTCTTGATAGAAAGGAGAAAATACTGTTTACATCAGAAGCCAAACTTTTCACTTAAGGATTTATATTTTTTTTTAATGATCCATTTCTCATCGAAATGCTTCAGCAACTTTTCGGACGTGATTTTTTCCTCCCGTCTGTGCGTCTCACGCCGCCCTTGATCACGCTCGAGAAAGTAGCTCAATACCAATAAACGCTGCCAGCATTCAGAACAATTAAGTGTTAATTCGAGGAATGTCAGAACATCAGATAAAAACTAAACTAAACAAATCGGCATTCTACACTATCCTTAAATGTTTTCACTCTGCGTTTTTGCTCAACTTTTTCTGATACTGATCTCGACACAAGAATAAAGTATAGAGTTGATTCAAGCTGGGCACTCACTAGTACTCATAGAGCTTTGAATTAAAACAACTTGATATGCTTCAGTAACAAATATAACCAAGATACGATCTACTTCTCTAATGAGATGATATCACTATAGGGAAAACAGTTCAATAGTTAGAAGACAATAAGACACTAGACAGTAATTACACCTGGAGGGATATTTACTCCATGGGTAACGCTGGAAATTTAGAGCTTTTGAGTAATCTTACCTCTCATGAAGTTTTGACTGGAATGATAGGTATAAAAAAATAATTTCTCACAGGAATCGAACTTATGACGTTATATATTCCGAAATTGCTAACTTCAAACAAACATGACTTGTTAAGGCCAAGGCCAAGGCCCTTGACAAGGCCAAGGCCCTTGACAAGGCCAAGGCCCTTGACAAGGCCAAGGCCCTTGACAAGGCCAAGGCCCTTGACAAGGCCAAGGCCCTTGACAAGGCCAAGGCCCTTGATAACTTGGTTGCATCCTCAAGATTTCTCGGTTGTCATCATTGCGTGAGAAAATCCATGGTAATATTTCGGCGTTGCTCTTTTGTTTCAATTTAATAGCGCAATTACAATGATGGTTATCTCCCTTTGCGGATTTTTGGTTCAGTGAAAATCCGATGAAATGACTAAAATCTGTGTTTGACTGTGTTTGTTTAAAACTGTTTTGCCATAGGGGATCGTAAGATCCACATGTGCAACGGCGAACGATGAGGATTGGAATTTCCGCTATGGAGCAGAATACTGGGAAAAGTTTCTTTAGAGAAGACGGCGAGAAGATGTATCAATTAGTATCGCATTTTATTTGCATAGTGTGGGTTTGCAATTCTTTAGCGGTACTTTTGAAAGGTGCGTAAACAAAACGAACAAAACAAAGGCGGAATGAAAATTGAATGATTAACTATTTGTAAATGGTCTGTGACTATATGATTTGAAAGGATTTTCCTCGAGTCACGAAACCTATCTCGGTCCTCTTATTTCTTGTGGAGGCATCTTGACTCCGTAATGTAAGCTTAATCTTCGAAGGGAAAACATTTATTTTACCCTCAGGCGACTTGTATTAAAAGGCATTTGCAAATGAGCAGCAAGCGCTCCACATAGTCGTATTTACTATTGTCAACGCTACTCGGATTCACAAGGCATCAGCTTCTAGTAAATGAGCGTGTTAATAATTTTAATCATTGATAAGTTTTACCAGTTCATTTAATTGCCGTCTTAGCTGAAGCTGTTTCTTCTCTCTTTGCATCGGTTGTTCTCTAAAGCTGCTGTTAGTAACAAGGGAATAAAATTTTTTTGATCGCACTCCAGAAATCAACCAGTCAAACAATATTTCAGTCAGTAAGAACATCGCACCATTGTTTGTTTATTTTATCCGCTAACGAAGACGGTTACACTAGAGACTATAGTCGACGGAAAGATTGCTGCTGGAGCAATGAACAGAAGTACGAGTATTGCAACCATTTTACATAAGATCACTCATATTTCATTTACAATCGAGTCCTTGCAGACGTATCTAGTCCTCTGCAAACTAAATCTCGCCGGGGGCCACACCACACCGTCACTTGGCATCAACAAATTACTGTAGAACCACGGGTGCCAAGTGACGGTGTGGTTCCCCGGCGAGGCTCAGTTCCCAAAAGAGACAGGGTTACCAAGCTGGTTTGCAAAGGTACGCGGGTCGTTAGAAAATTTTGGAAGCAGACTGTGACTTAGCGTGGGTTTCACAAGGAGGACTGAGTTGTTAATGAATTGAAATGAAACTAAAGTATATGTGCTTGGATTCTGCGTTGGATTTGTGGACACGGGGTCATTTTGAGCTTGGATTTTTTTCGCTTCTCGGATCAGGTGTTCGGAAATGGATTATACAGCCTTCTCCTCCTCTTAAGGGTAGTAAAACTAGAAATGGATACTCGCCAAAATGGGTTCTTTTCAACATAGTAAGCGGTCACATAACAAGCGATGCACGGTGGAAGTAAGGTGAGGTAGTTTTATTGAGAATTTGATTGTATCTTTACTTCCTAAGAGCGGTCGTGAATATTCTCATACAAACTCTTATATTTTCGCCATGACTCTTATTTTGCAATATGATCATCTCACAGCTGGAGCTTGGGCTGCGTGTGATCCAGCCATCTAACCTTGGTCACTAAAAGATTGTCACATAGCAAAATAAGGAAAAAAATTGCTTTCTTGCCTCTATATCACTTTGCCTTTTAAGACGCGTGAGGGTCTCAATGAGGTGACCGCTACGCGTTATAGCGGCTAACCGTTATTTTCATTCCGTTACAGATGACAGAAATGTAAATAATTATTTTCAATGGTTTTCAAAAGTTAAAGATATATTTTCATTGTTCTAAAACACATTTACTAACGTTCTTTAATGTCCTAGGTCAATTCCGGAAAAAAAAAACCATAAACGAAGTACTTACGGTACTATAAGAATTGAAATAGGTTTTTTAGCATACTATGTTTAGACTACGAGAAATCTCTCACTCCCAGAGTTCCCCGCAGCGCGCTAATATCAATTTTTTTTCACCAAAAAGGAGGGACTACACCTAGTCTATTATGTTTAAAGAGAAATAATATATCATAGGATGTACAATCAACAGAGACAGCGACGCCATGCAAATAACCTATATCAAAAGTATAGTTAATTGCATAATATGTTTGTGTAAATTGGGGTTGACAAGCTCGGCTACAATAATCCATTGTGCGTCCAGTTTAATTTGTAACATTTGCAGATGTTAGAAGGCCTACACGGCTCCATAGCATGACCGGTATATGTTTTTGAGCGAATGCCCTTTCTGTACGATGTTGAGGGCGGTTCTTTGAAGATTTCCCTTAGCAATGGTTGTTACTACGCTGTACCATATTAAAAACGCTAAACGAGCTGGACAGATTGGCGTTGGACAGTTTCCATCTAGCTTTTGAGAAATCAAATATATCCGGGGAATCACTATACATAATCCACTGGATATGCTAATCTACCGCAGAGAATTTATGCGCTCTTCGAAAAACCAAGACCTGCACTTGTAGATCTAGTGCAGTGCCTAGCAGTGTGTATTTGGGTCGAAAAAGGAAATCTAAAACTATTTACCGTCCAGCTCGCTTTCACCATCAGAGTGAGACAAGAAGAGTAATTCTAAATCGAGTAGCTGTTGCGTTGAAATCGCGTAGATTTCCGAGTTTTTCACTGACTATCGCTAGGCAGTATAGTTTCAGGTCAAATGATTATATGGAGCGGCGTTTTTCTCCGATTTTCACTCGCGCCTCATACCTCTCGATTGGCCTCCTCCCCAGCTCGATACAAACTAACTATTTCTTCGAAACCGCCATCACACAGGTACACTGAATGAAGAATTATAATATCCTAAAAATGGTCTACTGTCTGTCAACTCATCTTGCGCGCAAAAATAAAACCACTTCGGTTCGTAGAATATGAATCAGCGGGACTTGTGCAAAGTTTCTTTGCTTTCGGTGCCAGGATAAAACTGTCGTAAAAGCATAGGCCACGATACAAGACACACACTACAGTCTTTTTTCAAAATGACATATCTTACATGAGAAAAACTTTTATGGTTAACCTTATTTACGCCTCAAGGTTAAAATTCAGCGTCAGTTTTTACTCCGAACGGCTTATTTATTTCGGCTGTTTTACGGATAACGGCTAACCCCATAATGAATCTCTTGAATTTTCAAGTTTTTGTACTACAATCAACTCACGAAACTTGCTTGTGCTTTTTTTTTACTTTGTTCTAACTGCCTTCTGTTTTCCTTTAAAAATTACCAGTATTGTAAGTCCACTCCACGCAAGGTTTTTTGTTTGTTTGTTTGTTTTTTTCTTTCTCGCGTGATCGAAGGGAGCAACAATCCTTAGTGGGAAAGATGGGCCTATCTTGTCCACTCGGATAGCCAATCAGAACACAGGATTAGCATTCGCCTCATCTTGCCCTCGGGTGCTGGCAGCCATATGATAAGGTCTGTTATTATATAGTTGGATGTATTTTTATTACATAGAGCGACAGCTTATGTTTATACAAAATTCGATGGTTTGTTATTAGATTGTGCGAGAGCTTTTTTATGACAAGGCGCCACAATTTTATCATGAGTGCGACAGGTATTTCAAAGTGCGACGATTATTACAAAGGGCGACATAACACTCGACCAGCTGGTCAAATAAACTGAATGGAAAACTAATCAAATTACAGCATAGCTACCCAAAAGCAAATCCTCTTGGAGCTACCACAACTGTTCACCGTGGATGGAATTAAAGGAGTTCAACGGTGAGACGTGTTCTGAAATCTTTATTATTGCAATATGTTATTGTATCATATCAAGAGATCATATTTTTAATCTATAGAAAGAAAAGCTCTCAGTACGACTTGTAAAA